TTTTTTTTTTTTGCTTTAACTAGTATAATTGAAAAGTGACATAGTGTGTACTTATATACTAGCTCACCTTTTTTTTTTTGGTGGGACTGGGTTTGAACCCAGGGCTTCCTGCTTGCAAACTGGTTGAGACATGCCTCCAGTCCATTTTGCGCTGGTATTTTGGAGATGGGGGTCTTGAGAACTATGCCTGGGCTAGCCTTGAACCTGGATCCTCTCAAGTAGCTAGGATTAAAGGCATGAGCCCCTGGCTCCTTGCTCTGGCCCAGCTTTTTAAAATGTCATTCAAAATATAACTTCTCTTAGTCTAGAAGGTAACACCCACGCACAGGAAATCAATGTGAGTCAATGCCTGTATAGCTATCCTTATCTCAACCAGCAAAAACCCTTGATCCTTCCTATTATTGCTTATACTCTCTCTTCAACAAAATTAGAGATAAGGGCAAAATAGTTTCTGCTGGGTGGAGAGGGGGGAGGGGGAGGGGGAAGAAGGAGGGGGCGGGGGAAGGGGGGAGAAATGACCCAAACATTGTATGCACATATGAATAAAAAGAAAGAAAGAAACCTCTTTCCTCATGTGACTCAGGGTTGTCATTAAAAAATGTTTCACAATGCTGAGATTGGTTTTTGGTGTATGTGGCCTGTTGACATCAGCTTCTGAAAGCTGCAGTCTGCCGAGGTTTCATGGTGGCTCCACAGTCGGACTTCTCAGTACTGACCTGCTCGCGGTCCACTTCTCCACGTGTGAGCTCCGTCCACACAGACCCCGAGGGGTGACTGGGCAGCCATGCCTGGGTGAGGAGTTGGAGGCCTGTGTGCAGCGGTCTTCCCAGGGGGACTGAGCAGCACCCCTGCACCTGCTGCCTGGGCTTGGGGCTGACTGCACGCGGCCTCCAGGAGAGGGACAAGTCCGTGGTGCCTCTGTCACTTCAGGACGGTTTCCTTCCACCATAGCTCAGTTTTCTAATCCCGCAAATGGGGACATTACCAGTGCCTACTTGATAGGATGAAGTGAAGGCCACCGTGAGGTAGATGGCCGTGGGAAACAGCAGCCAGGAGCTCACAGATAAACACTTCCTGAACGGCTTGATGAAAAGCACACGGGGACTGTTCTCTTTGCTCTGCTCGAAGCCTCACACCTTCTCAGCAAGCTGCAGCTTTCACTAAAAAGAAAAAGAGGGAGAAAGAGCAAGCGAGCAAGTCTCCTCTGACACCTAGTGTGCTCTGGGAACGAGCAAGGATATCTTAAAAGAGTCACTTGTCCTGGGAAAGACACGTGGGGATGGGACTCCTCTGGGCACACAGGTGTCTACACGAGGATGGACCCCTGTCCTGAGGGGAGCACCTCCCTTCTGGAGACCTCCTCCTGGAATGTCGCCGGTTCTGGAAACAAAAGGAGAGAGCCTGTGCCCGTCAGGCTGAGCGAGGAGTGATCCCCGGCTGTTGTGTCCGCAGAGGGCGCCAGGTTGCCTGGTGCATCTTGACAAGATCGGTTGTCGGGTGGCAGACCTGTCCCCTCATTCAGGGTAAAAGTACTTTCGTAACTTAATGGAGTTTCAGTTTTCTTAGCTGCGAATCTCTGTGTTTAAGTGACGCACTTCAAAAAGAAACCAGAAACGACACTAAACACTACCTGGTTCAACTTCATATTGAAGCATATGACTCCAGAAACATCTCCCGAACCTCCCTCCTTTTCTTCTTAGCATGGAAAACAGACTTGTGGCGTTTCTGCCTCACGGACGTCCTCATGCGTGTGCTGTCGTGTGACTGGGAAGAGAGGTAGCGTTGGATGCTGTCTTGCGCTTGTGTGGGCCATCTTGGGGAGGAGGCTCGGGACTGCACAGTGGGAACCCCACCCCGTGGTCTCTACTGCAGGCTCTCCTTTGCTGCTGTTTGTCCTTACACCAAGCAGTCAGACTGCTGGCCTGGGGCGACTCGGTCGGTGGGTTAAATGCAGGGCCAGGGCGTGCTCTCCCCTGCCCTCTTCCTTAGTCCCTGTCCGTATAGCAGAGGAGAGGAGGGGACCTGTGGAACACTAGGCCAGGCTAGCATGGTGAGGCCGCTCTTAGAACACTTTAGATGCAGGTGACAGATAGATCAGATTGGAAAGCGTAATTGGTATAATCAAATTTTTATTTAGTTGAATCAGAACTTTTCTTTAAAACTCTTAAAGTTGCCTTTTTTTTTTTTTTTTTTAAGAGTTGCATTGGGATCCAAGCTTAGGAAACAGGTGAGCAGTGCCCCTACTTGAAGGTTGGAGTGGAGCCTGGGTGGCCTTCCCTGTGCCCACTGCATGCGTCCTTGTGACCCTTGCTTGAGGAAAGCAGCTGAGACAAGCCCTGCGTCAGGGCACAGTCCTCGGGTCCTCTTCTGTTCTGGGGTGTCTGGCTCCTTTCACCCACTGCTGAGAAACCCCTTGCTACTGATGTGTGATTAAAGCCACTCTCACCTGGCGCTTCCTTGTGCTCATCAGCTCCTCCATTCACTGTTTTTCTGGTCTTCCTTCTGTCACCTCCCATCTGTTAGTCACATTGGTTTTCTGCCTTAAGAAGACATCCCTGTGCTGCCCTGTCTTGGCCAACTCTGCCTCTGTCCTGGAAACGGCCGTAGCCAACTTAGTCCCTTAGCCATTTGCACCAGGCAGTCCAGACACAGTTTGTTTCCTGGGTCTGGAACCAATTCCCTGCTCCCCACCCTCTTGAGAACACCTAATTAACCTTTCTGGCCTTCGTTCCCTCGACAGGTGGATGAAGATGAGAAAGGTGATAAGTGAGCCTTGCCTGGCCATGTCCGATGAGTTATTACACACACAGACTAGCACTTGGCAGGTGGTGAACAAGCAATAAATGTTAGTGGTGAGTGATCCTGGGGTTACTGCCGGGATCGGAACTACTCTCCCTAAAGTATTAAGCAGATGCAGTCTCCCCTGGCTTTCTCTCTGTTTTGAAGTTTTGGGTTTTTTGTTTTATTTTGAGATAGAGTCTTGCTGTGTAGTGCACACTGGCCGGGAATGGTGAATCCTTCTGCCTCAGCGTGCTAGGATTTCAGGCATGTGCCACCTCAGCCCTGTGTTCCGATTCCCTCTCTGGTCTTATGCCCTGCTCGCCCTGTCCCACCCACCTGACCTGCGTCATCCTCCTCCTGCCCAGCCATGATGCCTTGATGCTTCCCCTGCCATGTCCTGCCTCCCTTCCTCCACCACCCAGTTCAGCTCCTGATGCAGATGTCGTGACCTTCCTTCCTCGCTTTTTTCTGTCTTGGGAAGGTAACTTCTCACATCTGACATCACCTTGTAAGTGCTTGTTGGCCCACCCACTGGGCCAGAGTTCATCAGAAATGCGAGCGAGCGACTTTGTCTCTTCGTTCATCACGTTAGCCCTGGGACCGCTGTGTCTGTGGTGGGTCTTGAGGCGGATTTGCCAAATGGATGGCTAGAAGACCAGGTGGCTGGACATAGAAGGACCCTCCTGCCCCTCCTTCTAGGCTTGAGAGGCTGGCATGGCCACGTGGCCAAGTCTGAGCGGATCAGATGAAATCACTGTGGGGAAGAGTTCAGGTTTGGGGAGAACACCCATTCTCAGTTAAGGGCACGTGGGCGATCATGCTGTGGTATCCAGGCCTTGCCTTGGCAGCTGCTGACCCAATCCATGGGCCAGTCTTCATGGAGCAATCTTAAACCCGCCGCCTGTGCTGTGCTTCTGTCCTGTCCAGCGTCTCCTGTCAAGAGTCCATCTGGAGTCTGAAAAAAAGACACCTAATCTAACATTCACCAAAATCCCACTCCTGGTTGGGGTGTCTCGGAAAACCTTTATGTTTTTTTAGGGTTCACGTGAGGTGCTTGCCAGTCCGTCAGAAGTGAACCACTGAGTTATTGTCTGCTGGCCAGTTGAACATGAACTCTACCATTGAGCTGCATCTCCATCCCAAGACTTGACTTTTGAAAGTCGGCGTCTGTCATTTATCATCACTGGGATGGTAGAGTAATTTGCTGAATGTTGAGCAGCTGTCTGCTAATCACTGAGTTAGCACACGAGGAAGAAAGGATTTTGAGAACTGGTAACCCTGGCCAGCTTTGCCCGTTTTCTTCATAATTTTTGGACTTCTGTGAAGTCGCCTAGCGATTTTAGTGGACTGTTGCACACTCCTGAGGGCGGAAGGTATTTACCATACCTTGGTAAATGAGCAAAACACGGTTTCCTTTCTGACTGAGTAGATTAGTCAGGTACTCATTTGTTTAAAAAAATCACTGACGTTAAACGAGTGGCTATTTGGAGTTGGCTGAATAATTGTGCTCGTCCAGAGTGGTCCCATTCAGAGAGAGTCTGTTGGCATTGGCTGGGGTGGGTTTCCCTGCGAGACGCTCCTGTGAGTTCAGGAGGAAGCACGCGGAGGTCTTGGTCACAGGAATGTGACATTCTGACAATCCAAGCTCTGTTGCTCCCTGACTTCCATCATGGGGAAGCCGAGTTCCCCAGGCTGGGGGTGGCTCTCTGGGGGGGCAGTGAGGGTTTATTCAAGCACAAACAAGGCCGCAGCCTGGCGCTGGGGTGACTGGTGGCTGGCGTGCGCTGTCTGAGGAGACGCGAGCCACCTTTGCACAGTAGATTTGTGGCTGTTGGCACACTTCCAGCTCCTGGACCTTGTGGAGCAGGAGCTTCTGGAAGCCACCAGGCAGCATGGCTTTGTGTTCTTGTTGCTCCATGACCGAGGCTGGGCATTGAGCCCTGGACCTCGGATCCTCTCACATGCATGGCCAGCAACCTGAGTCTCCCTCCATTGTGCTCAGCTCTGGTGCCAGGGAGCTTCTTGGTCCTCTTGTTGACAGTAATGGGCTTCCCTTGAGGTCCGGTGGCAGCCATGACGCTGAGCAGGAGGTGGCAGGAGCGGGACTGGCCCGCCTGTGCTCGCCGTGGGTGTCAGCGTGGGAGCCGGGCGGAGGTCTGAGCTGGGGCCACAATCGGAGCTGTTCACGCGGGCATCTTACGCTGCTGTTGTTGTTCCAGGCCATGGTCGCCTGTTACCCAGGCAATGGAACGGGCTACGTTCGTCACGTTGATAACCCGAATGGAGATGGACGGTGTGTGACGTGTATATATTACCTGAATAAGGACTGGGACGCCAAGGTATGCCCTCACCCAGCGCGAGCGCCTTCCGCACAGGCCGTGTCCAGCACGGGCCTCGGCCAGGACGATCCGATTCCTGTAAACGAATAAACGCTGCTGTGTTTGACAACACACTGGAGCCAGGTGGTGAGCACCTGGTACCTACAGGCAGTTCATGTGTACCCTTAAAACGAGGGTAGGCCTCCTGTTCAGCTCAGCAACCACGGGAAGGGCAGGAGGACATAGGCAACTCTGGGAAGTGGTGGATGGTGTAGTGACTGCCGTGATCGGTGGGTCCGGTTTAACCAGAACCATCAACGTGCACACTAACGCGAGTGCCTGTTAGTATACAGGTTTGACTCAGTGAACTGCTAAAAAGGATCTTAAAAATGAATTCATTTATTCCAGATACAGAAGAATTTGCCTGAAATTTAACTTTAACAGGTGATAGTATTAAAGTACCTTCCTTTTAATAGGTTTTATTTATCAAAATGCCTCTGAGAATAATTGTTGTATAGTCACTTGATGGATTGCTTGCACGTTTATTTGCATTTGTAGAGAGATGTTACATGGCATTGGGGTCGTTGCCCTAGTGAGGGGAAGACAGAAGTTTATCAACACTGGCAAATCCTGTAAAGCGGAGTAGAATGTACAGATCTGTAAACTTGTTTTAAATATTCATTCCCTCAGTTGACTCAACTCAGATGATTTAGAAGTCTGGCTGTTTAACCTAATCACCTAGGTCGGGGTTGATTTTAATGGAGAGTATACCGTTCTTAAAAATAAAATAAACCCTGGAATCCCCCCCCCGCCCCGCCCCACCCCCTGACACACAAACCACCAAGTCTGAGGGTTTAGATCTGGATCCTGTGGCTGGTGCTCCAGCGCCCCCTCTCCTGCCTGTCCTGCTGTCCTCCTGTCCAGCTGTCATCCTCGCCCACATGCTAACAGGGCATGTCGCTGTGTACTGAGGCATGGTGTTCACAGGCGTGGACTTCTGCTAGAGCTTCCAGAGTTTGAAGTAGAGAAGTAAGCTTGATGAGTCACCGTGAGCCCAAGGCACAAAATGTGTTAGTGTCGCTTCAGTTAGTTAAAACTAAAAATAGATTTTTTTTTGTCAGATTGTGTGAGTATCTGGGAAGGCAGAGACATTTGACCAGTTCTAACTTCTAATCTTGTTAGGTTCTTCCAAGGCTAATTAATTCCACAGGACTAGCCAGGGTCCTCGTGGTGCTACACCAGCACCCGGGCGGGAGACGGCGCCTGGTGTTCTCAGACGAACAGCAGAAAACTCCTTATGACATGGCGCTGTGTGCACAGCATGCTGGTCCCGGAGCCAGGCAGGGTGGAAACAGCGCAGTCCTCAGAGGAGGTGCAGGTCAGCAGGCTGGCAGCTGCACTGTGCTGTCCTCTGTCAGGACAGAGCACACACAGGAGGGCACACAGTTCAGAGGCCAGGGAAGGTCTCCAGGGAGGTCTTTCTAAATGTGACAGCTTCACATGCCTCTGTTCTGAGGACGGGGCAAGGAAAAAGAAGACGCTGAAAGTTCGGTTGGTTTGCTTGGAGACAGGCTCTCCTGTGTAGCCCAGACTGGCCTTGGAACGCAGTCCTCCTGCCTCCTCCTCCCGAGTGCTGGTGTTACAGGCAGGAAGCACAGGCCTGGCCTCTGAGGGTTCCTTAGTCACCCACTGACAACATGAAGCCGAGGAAGGCAGGGAAGGTTGCCAGGTGGCTGGAGTCCCTTGGAGACAGCCCAGAGCGTTCCCTCCAACTCTGAGTTCTCAGCGTAGCTCAGCTGAGTCCACCTGTGTAGGACTTGAGTTACTGAAGGCAGCGAGCTTGTGTGTCCGCAGCGGGGCCCCAGCCTCCCAGGGCACCCGATGTTCAGTTGGTGCTGAGCCCACCCCAGAGTGCTGGGCCTGCTCAGCAGAACAGCCCTGTAAGTGGCGGTCAGCTGCGGCTGAGGCCCAGGCAGACGGCAAGAGCCTGCGTCCTGGTGATGCCCAGGGCACCTGTGGGATCGGCGATGGCGGATCTGACCAGCTTCCACCCCACGTCTCCTTAAAGCAGAGCACCATGTTGTGCAGTTCCGTGTTTTTAAACTGAAGAGTGCAGTGCGGCATCCGGTCATCCCTGCGGCTGGAGCCAGATCTCCAGCATGAATGAAGCTTGAGCAGCGCTCTAGGACAGGCGTTAGCTCCCGTTTTGTGTGTAGTAAAGGTTCCTGCACTCAGCTTCTCGGCCCTGTCTTGGACTAATAAATGGTGTGTGCAGTACACTGCGATCTGGAAGGATGTTCTCCCATCCTAAACACTCGGTGTACATGTGCACCCCGGGACAGCTCAACACTGAGTCTAGTTCATAAGATGTTCAGTGTTTTTGTCTGTTTCGTTGAGAATTTATAAAAAATGTCTAGAACAAAAAAAAATCATTTTTCTCTGCATCAGTGATGTACTTAGAACCTCAGCTCACGTTTCTACCTTAATTGAGAAGCATCCGTGAAGCTGGGTTGTGGCTCAAGTGCTGGAGTGCTAACCCCGCATGCTTGAGGCCATGGGTTCAATCCCCAGAACCACCAAAAACCAAACCAACCAACCAAACAGAACGAACAAGAAGAAGAAATTATCACAAAGAATCCAAGCTTGCATTTCGATTGCCTGAGACAGTCCCGTCCCCACCCCTTAAATCTGGCAGGGTTCGTGGCTGCTCCTACTTACATGTTTGGCTCTTTCCTAGGTAAGTGGAGGGATACTTCGAATTTTCCCAGAAGGCAAGGCCCAGTTTGCTGACATTGAACCCAAATTTGATAGACTGCTGTTTTTCTGGTCTGACCGTCGCAACCCTCATGAAGTACAGCCAGCATACGCTACAAGGTAGTATTCCTTCAGAGAACTCAGTTAAGAACGTGGTAGGAATTCGGGTTATAAAGCACACACATGGAAATGTCGCAAGGAAGCTCCCTGTGTAGCCATCCTAAACACAAGTGCCTTTTTTAAAAACAGAGGACAGGGAGGTAAAACAGGACCTGTCTGGAAGTTGGCACCAGTGGTGGCGGGGAGGACACAAGGAACGGGTGTAATGTACGAGGGTGAATATGGTGGAATATTATGTACAAAAATGGAAAAATAAGACGTGTTGAAACTGTCCCAGGAATGGGGGAAGGGGGGGCTAAAGGAGAACGATGGGGTGAATTCAGCTGTGATATATTGTAAGCACATCTGTAAATGTCGCAGTGTACCCCCAGTGCAAAAATAATAAAAAAAAATTAAAGAGAGTGTGGTATAGCAGGAGGGGATGGACAGGGTGAACTTGGTTAAGAGCTGGAAGGAAGTCGGATGCCTATAATCCCAGCACTTGGGAGGCCAAGGTAGGAGGATCTACGAGTTCCAGGCCAGCCTGGGCTACACAGCCAGACCCTGTCTCCAGAAATTACAAGAGAAGGCCAAGAGGGGGTGGCAGGGTGACTTGGCAGTTCCCGGATTGAGGAAGTTTTGACGTTTGCATTGCCACTTCCTGCTTGCACTCCCTCCTCACCGTGTCCTAGGTCTGACTCCTTTGTGCACCTGCTGCCCGCACTGGGATCTGGGGACAGTGTTTCAGCTGCGTAGAAAGCTGGAGAAGGACCAGGGGCTTTGGAAAAGTGGTAGGAAAGAAGAGGGCTGTGTGGGGAAATGGATGTAGAGTAGAAAAACAAAACGGCCAGAGAGTGGATGTGGAGAGAGAGGGGAAGCGGGGCGCACAGGCAGGAGGGGTGCAGTCCTGTGCGGGTCACGGTGGGCAGGAGCTTCGCTGCACTCTTCTGCAGACGCTGCATTCTAAACCAGTTGTGCTTAAAGCATTCCTTCCAAAGTTTGTTCTTACCACTCGTCATGACACCATTAAGACACGCAGACTGTTCCGACAGAAGATACTGCAGGTGTTACCAGGAAGGTAGTAGCTGTAGAAAACAGCCCTGTTCGACACTTGTTTCCATTAGGAAAAGGGCCTGGAGCACTGGGCTGGGGAGTGGTCCCGAGACCGTGGTCTCTCTTGCTCCCTTCCCTCTGTCTGAGCCATGTTACCCTTATCCTGATTCGCACACGGGGCAGCAGGTACCTGGCTGTGCCAGAGACCGTGGACGTCCTGAGTGGGCCAGGGAGCCTGGAGCATTGCCCACTGGCCCTGCGCACCCCTGCTTTTCTCCTGGCCTCTGACACAGTGGCTGCCTCAAGGACCTTCCTCTCTGGGCAGTCCAGAGTGCAGTGTGATTGTCCCTTCCAGATGAAGAAATGACTGACGTCCTTGGGTAGTGAACAGACGCCAGTAGCATGGAGGGTAGGCACTGTAGGAGTGGTGAGGCCACTGGACCAGGTGACAGCTGCACTTGTCAGTGTGGGCCTGGGTAGAGGACAGACTGTCCCAAGTCCTAGTGCAGAAAGGGGTGTGGGGCAAGGGCTCTGGGATGGTTGACCAATAGTATGGACATGGAGTGTCTAGGGTTCTCTGAGGCCCTGGAGGGTAGGACAGGTAGGTACTCTAAGCACCAAAACACAGTGCAAGGGTTTTGATAAAAATCCTAACGAGCTTGTGAGCGAAGTTTGACTGTCTTGGTGACTCCCAAGTTGACTGTGAACATCCCTGTCACCCTGTGCCATGCCGGGTCCTCCCTCCGCTCCTCTTTTGGCATGTGTCTTCCTACCTTGGCTCTGGTCTGCGGCGGGGCCTGGATGGGAAGCAGTCGTGAAGGCTTCCTGCATCGGGAAAGGCGCAGAACCAAGGCTGAATTGGGGCTCTTGCTGCCCCCGTGCTCCTGACCCTCAGGCTGCTGGATGTGAGCAGATGCCAACCTCCTCACCCCCACACACACCCCGTTCCCAGGGCTGTCGGGGCGCTGCAGGCTTAACGCTTTGTCCCGAGTGATCAAGTCATAGTGCTCACCCTGTTCTAAATTCTCTTTTAGGTACGCAATAACTGTTTGGTATTTTGATGCAGATGAGCGCGCGAGAGCTAAAGTAAAATATCTGACAGGTAAGCACCTCAGGGGCCAGGGCTGGCTGGCGCCCTGTCCTCACTGAGTGTCTGTCAGGTTCCTTAATTCCCTGATTTAAAAAGGGTTTCTTGCCAGGCACTGGTGTCTCACGCCTGTAATCCTAGCTACTCAGGAGGCAGAGATCAGGAGAGTGATGGTTTAAAGCCAGCCCAGGCAAGTAGTTTGGGAGATCCTATCTCAAGAAACCTTTCACAAAAAAAGGGCGGGTGGAGTGGCTTAAGGCGCTGAGTTCAAACCCCAGTACTGCAAAAATCAGTCAATCAGTAAAAGGGTTTCTCTTTAGTCACCTCCTTTACCTTAAACCAACCAAATTGTCCAAACATCAGGGAAGCATGAGGTAAAGACGTGTGAGTAGGTCACTCAGACACAAGCTGAGTGTTTCCTTGGTTGTCCTCTTCAGTCACCCGGCTCTTGGTGCTGACTTCCTGTCGTTCTGCCTCAGAGAGCAGTGAGTGCCCCGCCCTTTCTAAACAGGCTTAAAGAACATGTGGACATGTAGGGAGGAGGCGATTGAAATCCCAGCTCAGGTGGCCTTTACCATGCGTGTCACCTCCCCTGTAGACTGCCCTCCTGGGACGGGGGCCTTAGGTTCCAGCAATGGACCACTTGCCTGTCTTGTTTAAATCCTGCCCGACGTCCCCCAGGTCTGCCCACTGCTCAGATTCCTGAATCGCTGTATTTTAACGAGCCGCTGAAAATGCAGCTTTAGTCTTCCGTAAGAATCTAAAAATGAGATGGTCACCCATTTTCTGTCTTTTAAAGCCATTATTTGTGTGCCATCTGAGGTACTCAGCGCCCGCCACTTTTAAAGTAGTCCAGTTGCTTTTGGCATAGGAGCCAGCGTTTGTCACAGTAGGAAGCTGAGCGCCACGGGGACAGGCTGAGTGTGTTTGCAGAGCTGGGGTGTCACCCCACCGTGTGAGGAATTCGGGGTTGCGTCAGGCGCTTTGGTGCTTAACGACTTTCCCTTGCAGGTGAGAAGGGTGTGCGGGTGGAGCTCAACAAACCCTCCGAGTCCATCGGCAAGGAGGCCCAGTAGGCCGTGCTGCACAGCCCACCGCACCTGCTGGCGTTGGACACTGTTTGCCATCGAGTGTGAGCACAGCGAGTGCGTGGAGGAGACGCCGGCTGGCATTTCAGCAAGGGACAGAGACAGCTCTGCTGGGGTTGGCGGAGCCGGCAGAGGGAGGACCGCGGCTTCCGGCGGGCAGAGGCGCCTTGGACACGGCTCCGCCCTGTGGAGAACCTTGTTCATTCTTGTATTTTACCACATCTGTCAGTTCATTTCACCTCTCTTTTTTATATCAAGTTTGAATTTGGGATAATTTTTGTATGATTAGGTACAATTTATCAAAACTGAATTGAGAAAAAAATTACAGTATTATTCCTCAAAATAACATCAATCTATTTTTGTAAACTTCTTCGTACTATTAAATTCTGCCCTAAAAGACCTCGTGCGACGACTGTTGCCGTGACGCCAGTTCGTTTTCTTTTGACTGGAAATAGGAAGGAGCACTTCAGTGACCTGCTGAAAACCCACTTGTTTTCTTGGCCTCTGATTGGAACTCTTACGACAGTGAAGCCTAACGGTGAGGTGGTCCCCGCTGACTGCCGAGTAGCTTTTAGTTCATGTTTTACAAGAAAAAAGGACACAGGAAGGGTTTGTCTTTTAAGTTAATTCTTCTTTAAGCTAAGTGACCGGGACTAATGAACTTGAGGCTGTCTGTCCTCAGTATCAAGTTCCTGAGACCAGGGGCTCTCTTCTGCTTCAGGGGTCTCCTGTAGACGGAAGATCCGTTTCCAAGACTTTCCCTTTGTCCCCTCCCTCCTCCTTCCTCGTAGGCTCCATCTGATCTGCAGAGCAGAACCTCATTCTGTTGGAGAGCATGCAGGGGTCCAGACCACGTGTAGGTGTGGACTTGGGTCCACTGGCTCCTCGGATGGCGGTGAGGCAGTCCCCATGTGACGTGGCCTTCTTCCTACCAGTACTGAAAGCTGCGTGCGTAGCACAGAAAAACCCAGTGTGACACCAAATGCTTTAGTTTTACCGATTTTCTTTTTCCCCTTTTAGAAGAGAGGGCCCGTTACCCAATCGTACAAGGCCTCCCAGGCTTGTCATCTCAAGGATGGACGTCCAAGACTTCACTTCCCCAGGCTCCTTCGCCAACCCCGTGCTAGGTGTAAGTTGTGGGAGTGAGACCCGGCCCCTTAGGTTTCTATCTGCCCTCAATCTGCTTTGCCAAAACTTGAGTGTACAGAAACATTTCTGTACATTTCGGCTATGACGGTTTCTGCAGCTGTATACTTTGTATTCAGTGGGAGACCTTTTCTATGGAAAGCTCAGTAATTTTTATGAAAAGATTGCTATTGTTCATGTAAAACATGAATGAAAATCAAGTGAAGCTGACAGTGTGGCCTTGGGGGATAAAGATACTCACTACTGTGACCTGGGGTGGGGGCTTGCAGGGCAAAGTCCAGTTGTGCCCCTCGTCCTCTCCTTTGCCCCTGGTGACCGCTGACACCTCTCCAGCAAGTGCCTCCACCAGCCCGGCCAGGAGCGCGGGGCTCTGCCGTGTGGCTGTGGTGCCGTCTGCAGGGCCAGGCGAAGGCCCGCGCGCTGGTGGAAGGCAGCTGTCGGGAGCCTGCCATCCTGCAGGCCGCACCTCCACAGGTGGGCAGAGCAGCAGCTCCTGCAGTCTGCGGTGGTGCCTGCCCAGCACGTCTTAAATTGTGTACTTTTTGGAGAAGTTTATGCACCTTCTTGGAGGTCATTGTGAAAAGGTCACGAGATTGGGATGGTCGTCCTTCCTGTACGTCTGAAATCCATTGATTTCATTGATTTCGGCACCATCAGGACTGTTTAAGAGGAGACTTGAAGCTGTGTGTGGTCTGCGTTAGTCCTGGGGAAGATAAAGCTTTATGCTGCTGTTTGTACTGGACACAATGACCAGCTGTAGGACACAGACCTTCGTCATAGCAGGCAAAGACCTTCGGGACTCGCACACAGACCGGCTCTCCGTTGTGTCACTGGAGAGCAGTGTTGGCATGGAAGCTCTCAAGTTGCTTGTAAAGCTAATCTAATAAAAAGATGTATAAATGTTCTTGAAAACTACCGTTGTCATTTCCAGCTGTCTTTTTTAACCAGCCTAGTCCAGCCTAAACGATGGGGACAGACACAGCCCTGGTGTGGGAGCCATGCCCATCTGGGTTCTCGGCCATGAACTCCCACCTGGGAGAGGGATGTGAGTTCACCCGCAGCGGTTGGGTCAGTCCTGAGCTGAGGAGGACGGTGCGGGTCCTCCGGTGCTCACAGGCCTGCCGTGCGTGGGCACGTCCTGTCTCTTTAAAACTTTTAGTGTGTTTTTAATGGTCTGGCCCATCTTAAGTAGTTTTACTGGAACATGTCGCTGAGTGGAAGAGAGGCCAAATGAGTTAGAAAGGAAGGCTAAATTAGGTAGGATAGCCGGGTGCTGGTGGCTCATCCTGTAATTCTAGCTGATCAGCAGGATCGGAAGTTGAGGGCTAGCCTGGGCAAAGAGCTTACAAGACCCTATCTTGGAAAAAACACAGACACAAAAAGGCTGGGGGTGTGGCTCAAGTGGTAAGAGTGGCTCCCCAGCAAGTGAGGCCCTGAGTGCAAATCCCAGTACTGCCACCCCACCAAAAAAAAAAATAACAGAATTAACAAACTGGACGCAATGACTCACACCTGTAATCCCAGCTACTCAGGAAGTAGAGATTGGGAGGATCAGGGTTCAAGGTCAGCCCTGCCAAAACGTTTGCAAGATCCCATCTGGATTAGTAAAAGCTGGGCTTGATGGTGTGCACCCACAGTCTTTTTTCCTGCCTGCCCAGGCAGAAGTGTGAAGCTCTATTCGAAACACACGTGTTCACCTCTGAGGTCACAGTCGCACCCCGGAGCCTGTGTGATCAGCGTTAGTTCTTGCGAGTGCCACCGGATGGGGAGGTGGAGGACAAGGGCTTGCTGCTGCGCAGGGAGCAGTTTCCTAAGCAGAGCCCGCGGAGGGCCGAACCTTCACAAGACGGAGAAACAGCTGCGCGCCCTCCCCACAGGTGCCCCGGGGTCAGAGGCTCCTGGACAAGGTTTTGCCTCTGCGGGGACCGGGCTTCGCCACAGCTACCATACTCTCGGTGTTCTGCAAGATACCTTTGCGCCCTCCTTCAGAACACGTGTCTCCATCTGTAACGAACACGACTGCGAGGTGACTCGCCGGTGGCAGCCGGTAGGAGGTAGGAGGTAGGGCGCCGGGACTGGGCCCTGGGCTGGCTTTCTCGTTTGAGTAGCCGTGTCAACCTGTCCTGTAAGGTCGAGAGAAGCAGCAAGCCGTACATTCTTTTAAGGAAACTAGTTTCAACTCTTAAAGGAGTCTTTGGATCGTCACTAGGTCTAGTTTTGTTTTCTGGCGGTACCGGGGCTTGAACTCAGGGCCTTGCCCTTGCTAGGCAGGTGCTCTACCTCCTGAGGCACCCTGTCGGCCCTCCACTACATCACTGTGTCCTGACCTCAGGCGCAGGTGTGACCTGATTGGCCACCGGGTGGAAAGCCCCGTAACGGCCCTGCTGCCCGAGGCTCCGAGGTGCCATGTGCCATGATGGCTTTCCTTTTATCTTTCGGGGTCTCCTGAGACAAGGGCTCACTATGCAGCCCAGGCTGCCTCAGACTCGCGGTCCTCCTCCTGCCCCTGGCGTGCTGGAATCGCAGGTGTGCACCACCAGGCCCGGCCTTTTCTCCTCCACAACTCGCGCTTCTCAGCGTCTCTGACACCACCTGTGCCCTGTGGTTGCTGGGACTCCTCCGTCAGGCCTGCCCTCTCCAGCTGCTCCAGCGCGTGGATGCTGGGGACCCTGAGCCCCTGGCCGTCTGGATGGTTCCTGCTCTTCTCTGTGGAAGTCCACAGAACGTCGTCTGCGGTTCCGCAGGGTTCGCTAGCGGGCCTGGTCTAAGCCACGGTGAGGTGTGCCGACCACTTGACGGCGTTTTGCTTGAGCCATTTTGCTCCTTCTCCCCATGCCCTGTTCTGTGGCCCAGACTTGGGGCGCCTGTGAGGTGACCCTGCCCTGCAGTCTTTGCCTTCACTCCGTGGACTTCTGTCTTCCAGTTCCTCAGCAACTGTTTGATGTGCGCTAAAGGGTTTTCATTTCTAAGGACTCTTTTTTGTTCTCTTAAACTGAAGAAATATATGTAAAGACCAGTTGTTTCTAATGGATAGTTTAGCCTTTTTAAAAACCTTGCTTTTTAAGGTTAGGAGTCCTTTCGTTTCAATCGTCACATTAGTTTTCTGACGATCCTGCTTACATGTTCATATTTAGGGGTGAGGCACCTAGAATCCAAGTTTCCCCAGGAATCTCGGTCTCAGTCTGAATGTCTGTCACCATCTCCCTGCCTGCAGTGTGACAGTGACGCAGAGAGCCATGGCTGACACCCAGATTGGGGTGCAGCTCAGTGGCAGAGACGCCCTGGGTTCCATCCCAAGCGTGCACACACACCCCCTGAGGACAGTGGAACACATCCAGCACCTAGCAGGGCAGTGGGTGAGAAACACATGGGGACGCACACTGGGAGTGATGGAAACACCAACATGGCTGTCACCGACACGACACGAGTGTCTCATGAGTGCCCCGGCCACCGGTGTCAGGAAGGAGGAAGTGTGAGGGCTCATGAGATTGAAGAAGATTTTGGAGAAGGAGCTGTTTCTGGAAGGGGGTTGGTTGATGTCTCCCAGAGGCTTGACAAGAAAGTCAAAGAGGAAGCAAGGATCCCAGAGAAAGAGAATTCAGAATCAGACGAGACTCCAGCCTCCTCCACCTCACTTACAAAGCAGCGCCAGCTCAAGGACTCCAACACATGTGGCACTGGACTTGGGCTCAGTGGCCGCAGAAGCCCCCAGCCCTGCCTACAGGGGGAGGGAGGGAGCCAGCCACCTTTGTGAGATGAGGGAATAAAGGAAGCCAATATCCATATCCTACTGTAAGAAAAAGTGAGACTGTCACAGCTGATGACAAGTCTCAACCATAAGGCAGAGAAAACTGTAATATCCAGCCTGAATTAAACAGGTCTTTTCAGAAACAAAAGTTAACACTTAAAATTAGAAAATTAAAAACCTCAGGCTCAAGGCAGAAGGATCACTTGAGCCAAGAGTTCAAGGCCCTGCGCAGAGCACCTGCCTAGCAAGTGTAAAGCCCAGGTTTCAAATCCCAATGCCACCTCCCCGCCTCCCCCACCCCGAAAAAAATAAATTTGAAATGCAGACTCTCAGAGCAAAAATGGGCTGAAAGACTCAGGGAACTAAGAAACGAGAGCTGATTTATGTCAGCAAAGAAACTGGAAAAGATTTAAGCTGTAGGGCTGCAGGCCCGGCTCAAGTGGCAGGGCACCTGCCTAGCAAGCCAGGCTGACTTCAGTACCACCAAGAAAAAAAGCTTAAGCTACAAGACGCCTAAGAAAGACCACATTCCAATGAGAAGACAACAGAGGCCTGACAAGGAGCAGGCAACAGGGTCAGAAGTAGAGCAAGGGCTCAATAGGATGCAGGTCCCCTCACGGCGAGATCCTTGCACAGTGACACGCGTGGTCTGAGCGTGTCAATCCCAAGACAGGCTCAGACATGTTGAAGACTGCAGCTAAGTCACCGGGCCACCTTACTTCGTATGCGAGTCTGTAAGATGCATATAGTGACTGGGTATCTAGGTGTCTATGACGCACACACATTTATACTTAGCTACGCGTACACCTAAGAGTCTGGAACCTTGTTTTAAAAACTTCCACCTCTTTCATGATTTCCGTCCGTTTGGTTTGTCAGGAATGCTCCACAACTTGGAAGTCACTTGGGTCTCGAACATCCACTCTTCTGAGCGGTGCAGGGCGAGGTTGGTGTTTTGCAAAGGGACAACCATGCAACTTGAGAACCGTTTCGTTCCCTCCCACGAGGGGAGTGTCAGGTTCTGAGCGGCAGCGGCTGGAACTGTCATTCTCGGGAGCTTTCAGAGCAAGGAGAAGAGTTAGGACCAGTGGGAACCCAAGGTCTGCCTGGTCTGGAGGGCGTCCTGCTGAGCTGGTGCAGACAGGAGGGGGTGTGGGTGGATGAGAGGGCCCAGTAGCGCTGCCACTGTCGGTGCGAACGAACGTATGTCCCTGCCTGTGCCCCTCACACGCCTCACAGGCCTGTTCTTCCTCTGAGTGCAACTGGCTGCTGTTCCAGCTGTTTTTCTAGCATTTGGCTTTGCCTTGCGTTTTTCACAGGAATGTAACCTGGCACCGGCGCCACCTAGCGCTCAGGAGACAGAGGGTGGGTGACTGGTGTCTGCCCTACCTGTCCCCTACTTTCCCTTCAGTAGAAGTGTGGTGACGAAGCGTGCGCTCATGTCTTCTACACTGGGGACCATGAAGCCAGATCCTTCCCTGCCACTTCCACTCCCTGGTCACCGGGATGTGTAGAAATAATCCTATCGCGTTTCACTTCATCTGGTGGACGACAACCGCAAGTTAGCTAAAAAGGCAACAGCCACAAGGACAAAAAAAGCTGGGCAGAAATAAAGGGAAACCACTGCCCCGTGAGCCAGGACCAACACGCAAGAGCCCCGACCCAGCCGGCCTAGGTTGGCACACCCAGGTTCTAACTAGCCTAACTGGTGCCTCAACCGCTTCTCCTTGAAACACTGATTTATTTTGAAAAAAACCTATCATAAAAAAGAGCTGGTGGAGTGGCTCAAGGTGTATGTAGATCCTGAGTTCAAACCCCAGTACCGCAAAAAAAAAAAAAAAAAAAAAATTTCTGTAAGCATTGAAAAAATTACAGTCTGTAAGCTTTGGGACAGCAAGAGGGCTTGTCATCCTATTAATTTCCCATCTACCTTAGAAATAAATTCCAGCTAGGATATACACTTACCATCTACCGAAGCAAGTTCATTTTCTTAGTGTGTAACCCTGACTTAAAAGTAGCAACTTTTTATACAAACAGAATCTCCGCTCCTCTCTCCAGGGTGGGATGGCAGCATCTGAAGGCTGAACCACAATTTCTGCCTTGCTAGTAAGGCAGGACGCTTGCTTCCAAAGGGAGGATGAACAGGGAGGACTGTTTCTCTGATAGAATATAAATGCACAGACTTGGGGGGTAACAGGTTCTTCGGGAGTGAATTTTCTCAGGTCTTTAACAGATGAAGTACAGGCTTCTTTAATCTCAAGTTTCTTGCCAGTTAGAGGCAATCCGATGATCTCCAGAGCCACTGTTCCTCCAGCCCAGCGCGTCCCCTCCTCTGTCCTGCCCCCGTCCTTCCTCCTTTACCAGGCAGCCCGAGGGATGCATCACGGTGCTGCTCAACTCCAACCCCACCTGCGTCAACAGGTGCTCATTATGGGGAAGGAAAGTGGAGAACCTGCACCCTGCCCTCAGACTCCTGCTAGACTGTCCTATCTGCAGTCTTCCTGCCCTGTAGGCCATTCACACTCCACTCCAGTGGCCAGCCTGCAGCTCTCGGCAAGGTCCCGTTGGCCCCTCTCGCCACCCCACTACCCACTAAAGGATTCTCCATGGACATCACCTCCCTGGGGAGTGTCCCCTTGGGTCCTGAGCTACGCTAACTTAACCCTTCCTGAGGCATTCCCACAGTACCAGGCACACCACACTGACATTGACCTGCTGGTTCTGCAGACATGACCTCACTGATTACCTGCATAGCTCACAAGTTGGTACCGTTTTGCTGAAAAAGTACTTTATTGCACGTAACGTGTTAAACTCATGAAAATTAAAGGCATATATTCAACAATATTTATCTATGCCATTTATCTATAAATAATTAAATACTGTTTTTAACTTCATACTTTAAGAAATACCACAACTTGTGCACATCTAACCAGACAGGTAAAAGCACTCAGAATGCTGTGCAGACACTCCCATTCGCTGCTGGGAAGGTGTGAGGACAGCAGTTACTGAAGCAAGGCATGAGCACCCCGGTGCATACCAATGGGAACGTGCAACGACATTCTTGCAGCACTGCTCACCAAGGGCCCCAACCTGAGAACAACTCAAATGGCTCGTTAACGTTAGAGCAGGTGAAAGATTCTGGCACAGTCACATAAATGAAAACCAACACAGGCATGAAAATGAACTTTTGTACACATAAAGACACTAATTTATAAAGTTCAAACTAAACTAACCCTTGGTAATGGGAAACAGGCAAGCACGGGAGGCCTCCACTGGCACTGAGGGAAGGTGTTACACAGGTGAACACGTTAAGACTTGTGCACCTTTCTGTGAATACATTTTCTTGCAGCAAAGTTAAACAGAAAACTGAACTAAGTTTCTGGGGAACATGCCAACACACTGGAGGTGCAGGCATGAGACAACGGAGGCTGATACCAGGATCTTTGTCCCTTGCTGGAACATGGAAAAAAATACCTTTACAAAAAAAGAAACTCTAAGTGCACAAATGGTACTCCTGTTGTTGCAATGGCTTTGATTTTGGCACACAAAGGTCACAACACAGCTTCCAGATACTTCTCTCATGTGAACTAGGCAACTGTCATGTTATTCAGGCCAGTGACTTATCAGCACCAAGTTTTGATCACTTACTTTGCTATAGACTCAGTAAAATCTGGCCTGTGGAATTAGAGTGACTATATGTTAGTAATATTCCAAAGAGAAATTACTTGTCTTACTATATTTTTTATCTACTGTAGAACCTGTCATCTTTTAGTAAAAGTAGAACTGAGAAATTTTTAAAAACTAATTCTCTGAAATATAAATTCTTTAAAATATAGAAAATTCTTTAAAATCTACTGCCACCGTTCAGTATAAAGGTGGAAGAGAAAATTCTTTAAAATATAGAAAATTTATTTCCTGTTATGATTTTGAAAAAGAGAAACAGAAGACTTGAGCATTCTAAAACAACTCTTATACCTTGTCCTTAGACTGTCTGGTTAGTATGCCTGACATTGAAGATTAACATTGGCTCAGGGAATGAAAAAGTCAACTGTCAGGATTCCTGATATGAGTATTTTGAAGAGAGTGTACAAATAAGACTGAGAGACTGAAAAACCTTCAAGAGTCAGAAAGAACAAAATACGTAAAATTACACATATGCACAGAACATCTACCAGGCTGCAGACCAGGGAAGGCAGGGGTGAATGCAGCACCTTGAGACGAAAGCTCTTTGTATCTCTGAGATAGGGTCTCACGATGACAGGGCAAGCAACCTCCTGCCCCAGACTCCTGAGCACATGGGACCCCAGACTTGCACCTCTGCACCTGGCTGGAGACAATGCATTAAACTGCTTCATACATGCATAGATATGACAGACCCACAGTCTGGTGGTCACAGAACCTGTGGTTAGGCGGCAGCACACCCAGGTGACAGCCACTTCAGACTGCCTTGTCAGACTGTGGTGCTGACACCTTCTAGGCAACCATCCAAGTGCTCATTGATCTGAGCCTCCAATACTTTGCCTTGACAGACTGGACAGCTGACCAGCTGGTTCTGACCACGTGAGCTGCTGGAACTCTGGACTGTGGTTGCAGGGCATGAACTACTCTTTGGATCACTGCTACCACTTTGTACTTTCTCCTTCTTGATAAAAAAGTTGTCAAAAGCAGTCTTATCCTCCCTGGGCCGTTTTGAGGGGAACTGGTCTTCAGACCCACTCCCTTCACAGGGCATGGATGCAGAAGCAGATGCCATGGCTTTGGAGGAGCTTCTCTGGGTTCTTGAAGATGGAACCCTTTTTTGTGAACCAGAAGAGGCTGACTGCTTGGTGATGTCACCAGTGGGCCCATTCTTCACACCTCTGAATGCCTTCTGGTTGGCAACTGAGACCTTAGGAAAGTAGCTACTCAGGACACTTTGGTGACTGGTATTTGGGACAGGAGAGACTAGCTGAGAAGACTTTTTACTTAAAAAAACATTCTGTTCGAATTCTCCAATGTTGGAATCGGGTCTTGGTGCATTTGCAGAAAGGTCTAGGCTTGAGAGACTTTGGGCTTCACCAATGGTATGTGAGGTGGTCAATTTCCCAGATGACGGAGAAATGCTTGCGTTTCCAACAACATAGCCTTTTCCACTGAAGGGGGTCAGCGGCTGCACCTCCACTTTACTGGGCTTGTCTGCAAAGGAAACAAAGAAGACTGTTCTTCACAGCAACATGAATGCAGCACAGAGCTCTCAAAATGAAGTGTTTTGTTCTAACTCAGAACCATGTACTAATTACCTACTGACAAGAGGACAATCTGGAAGTCAAGATCTGGTATTGAGAAAACAAAAAGGATGAGAAAAGCCCTCCTACAGCTAAAGAATCTGCAGAATAATCCCAAAGAAAAATAAAGTGGAGTCTGCTGCTTCACTATCTCCTCCTGCTCACATTCTCCTCAACCCTGACTAGCTGGCATTTCAGATCTGGGAACTTAAGCCTGAGTCCTGAGCTCCCCTATCAAACCAACGGCTTCCCACAGGAAGGAACAATTGTGGAAACCTGCTTCCACCTCAAAAGGTGGCAACTATCATCATGTCACAGAAAGGAGACACAAGCAGACACCTGTCACATCCCTTCATCCTCCTCCCACCGGGCGGGCTTCCACCACCAGAAGTCCCTCAGATAGACTCCAACTGAGGAAGGATGCAGTCCAGGCTTATGTTCTGGGCACTGGATTTGAATTATTGTTCTTATTTTGACAGTCTTTTTTGCCTTCTGTATGGTAATAACTCAACAAAGTCACAATGGGGAAGGGACTGCACCGTATGTACTGTCAGTGGAAATTCCATTTTTACTTGCTTCTACATAGAGTAAGGTGAACTTTCCTACTGTCATCTCAGATTTCTTTCTTAGGTCTATACTGGGCACAATCCTGCTCACCTGAACCGCAGCTCTCCACTGGGTGGTGCTGTCTACACAGCAGTGGGAGCCGTGGCTGGGAGGCAGAGGTACCCACCTTTCCTCTCCACACGGCACAGGAACCCACCTTCCTCTCCACGCAGCACAGGAACCCACCTTTCCTCTCCACGCGGCACAGGTACCCACCTTTTCGCCCCACTGCCAACAAGGGCTGCTTTCCTAGCCTCATCTTTCCTCTGCCTTTCTTTGAATAGTTCTCGGGCTCCTTGATTTTTATGAACGTGCCTCCACAGGTTTTCTGATGCTCAGCCCACCAGTAGTCATGACAAGAGGGCGCCCTGTTGGTGGCGCGTTTGACGTAGCCGTAATAGGGTTGTCTGTGCTGGCAAGGCCCACTGCAGCGCCACCAGTGACGTCGATACTCATCCACCTCGTCATGGAACGTGTGGTATATCTGGACCGAGGGAGAATTTGCAGCACTCAGTACACAAGTCAGCAATGCTGAGGAAATGCTTTATACAAGCAGTATTTTTTGTTTGTTTTTTGAAATATTCCATCTCCCAGAGGTTTTTGAAAAGTTCTATTTTGGGAAGGACAGCTACTGTATTTAGTTTCTGTTCAAAAGTCCTTAACAGAAGTTAAGAAGTTAATCGAATACTTCCTAAACTGTGTACAGACAGACACAAACAGGACAAAACCATGAAAACACCCTGTGAATGCTAAATGTTTCAGAAACCAAGTATTAAATGACCAAAAACTAGGATTGAAACAAAAGTCAATATCCCACTGTAGTAAGTATTACAGGAGCAGAAATAACTGAGAGCATGGCAGGGGGACTATGTGAAGACAGCACAGTGATTTCCTTAAGTCTGAACTTGTGGAGACAATGAGGCCTGCTAAAAGACTCAATCCAAGAGCTAGTGCCTGTCTTGGAAACAAAACCACACACACTGACAAGCACAACTAACATCTGACTCGTGCTCAAATGTGTTAACACGTCCCGTGTACTTTCTCTTAGTCCTGGCTCCTCACAAGGCTCCAGCAGGCGGGCACCGTCATTAAGAGGGCGTGAGGACGGTCATCAGTGGCGCTCAGAGCATTGAGTCCACAAAGCCTGATGCCTCAGCTTCGTGAGCCTGGGCTCTGCCACCTCCTCCAGTACTATGTCAAGATGTGACTTAAAACCTCTGAAGAAGGGATGACAGAAGTGGTGGAATACAGGACAAATGAGGGGGACACTGTAATGAGGGAACAAAGCTCGGAGGTTGTGCTAAGCACACCAAGGCAGGTATAGCAGGTCTTAACCCAAAATGCTTAAAATGCTGATCTGGATGAGGCTGGAAGCCTTGGGGATATTTGCCAGAAGGCTCTGCTGCCATCTGCTATGAGGGCCAAGACAAGCCAGCTCGCTTCTGCAGGTTTCTTGTTCACTGATGAAAATCCTCAACGATAATATTTCTTTCTACCCAGTTCTCTATTTTTAATTAAAACTCAGGGATAACTACTTAATGTCATAAATATGTGTGGCGACTGGGCATGGCAGTACACATCTGTAATCCCAGAAACCCAGGAAGCTGAGGCAGAACATTTGAAAGCTCAAGGCCAGCCTGGGCTAACTAGTGAGACCCTGTGCCCACTCCCACCTCCCAAAAGAAGTACAGGTGGCTTTATATACCGTTATATTGGCTCCAGTCAGGTGGTTGAGGCGGTGCATGTGTTTACAAAACTCTGGACCATGCCCTTCCCGGTCCTTATCGTTATTAGTGACAAATAAATAAGCATGTATCATTTCATGCAGGAGGGTCTGCAACAGAAGACAGTCAACTTGTTATGGCGCTTGTGACAATAAAGATGCATGATCTTACTCTCCCTGGTCTTAACCTCCTATGAGCACAAGTTCACAAACTGTGTAAATAATTCTGAAGCCCAAAGCCCTGCAGATCCCAGTAAACAACTCCCCACTCTAAGATGGTCTTTTTTTCTTTTTTTTTTGCAGTACTGGGGCTTGAACTCAGGGCCTACACCTTGAGCCACTCCGCCAGCCCTTTTTCGTGATGGGTTTTTTTCAAGATAGGGTCTTGTGAACTATTTGCCCAGGCTGGCTTTGAACCTCGATCCTACTGAGCAGCTAGGATTCAGGCATGAGGCACTGGTGTCCGGCTTAAGATGGCCTTTCAAGTACAATCCAAAATCCAGAAATGAGCAATAAATTCAACTACATGCATTCTGACAGGGAAAAACCCACTAGAAATGAGAAGACAAACTCAGACAATGATTGTGTCCAACACATAAACATTTATCAACTCCAAACATGTAAGGAGCTCCCAATGTCCTTACATTTTTGTCCACTTAAAGCCAGTGGACAAAAAGCCAGGTGATGTAGTATGCACCTACAGTCCCTGCTCCTCAGGAGACTGGGGCAGGAGGATCACTTAAACCAAGAGCTCAGGGCTAGCCTGGGCAAATGATCAACTGCACTCTTAAAGAGAGCTACTCTATTCAGAAGACAAACTGAAGAACTCAGGTTATATTTCAAAAGTTTTCAACATTCTAATTCTAAAAGAATGATAAATACATACCCATTCTCACAAAGAAGAACAAATTCAGGATCTAATTTTTGGCTCAGCTTAATTAAGTATTTTACAATGGCACATGGAACCAGACTGAGCATTCCAGGTTTTCTCCCTTTTTTTTGAGGAAGGGTAGTGGTAAAGGGGGATTGAACTCAAGGTCTTGTGCTTGCAGCCAGGCACCTACGTACGTACTACCTGAGTGCCATTCAGTTTTATACATCTACCAGTGTCCACATTTAGGTCAAATTCAAGGTTCTGGACAGCACTTGTGCTCGATCTGACCAAGAGTGACTTCTTCTAGCCATTCCTGGTATGCACCCTTGTATCCCAGAGCTCAGGAGTTTGAAGCAGGAGGATCTTAAGTTCAAGACCAGCCTGGGTTACATAGTGAAAACTGCCTCCAAAAAAAAAAAAAAAAGAGCAAATTAAAAAATCACTGAGCTAAGAATTAGATTTACGCAAAGAATACCTCTACGAGATCCTTCCTTGGCCTCAGCTTTAGAAGGGGTTCGCTGAGCCGGATGGAACACATTCCACCTCTCCCTTCATAGATGCAAATCCCAGCACACCTGGAAAGCAGACATCACAACAATGTGTTACCTTTACCAAACACACACAGAAGGAAACAGATCAAAGAGCAAATCCTTACCCCTTCCTGGACAGTTCTGGGTGAGGAGCTGGTGCAGATGGTTTTCTTGAACATCCTCCCCCTAGGAGCAGGCACTTGCACCGCACCCCACTTACACACACACACACAATGCTGAGAAGAAAATCCCTCTCTCAACCCACTCTGTTCCCACAGCCATCATCAGCAGATGGTGATTGACCAGCCCGCATGCAGCAGCACATCTCCAAAAGGGGCACAGAGCCTGTGCAAAGAGAACTGCTCTCTAACGGTTTTCCGCCAATTCCCTTCATTTCAAATTGGGATTCCCAAACTTAACAGTTAGAAAAGGGGTCCTGTTAGAGCATCACTGAGACCCCCCGCCCCGGGTCCAGCGCACTCTAGTGGTGTCGTGTGGGCCCACAAGCTTAGGGTCTCTGGGGACAGGGTCAGGGCCCTAGGCCCTGAAGGTCCCTAGGTCCAGAACATTTTAGGGATAAGGGTCAGGACAGCAAGACTTGAAGGGCTCTAGATCTAGTGAAATCCACGGATAGAAGTCAGGACCACAGGTCCTGAGAGTCCCTGAATCCAGCACATTCTGGGTACAGAGCGGTCAGGACAGCAGGACCGAGGGTCTCAGGTCTAGGACACTCTAGGGACAAGGCCAGGACCTGAGGGTCTCCAGGTCCAGAGCAGTCTGGGGACAGGGTCAGGACCAGACGTCCTTAGGGGCTCTGGGTTCAGTGCACTCCAGGTGCGGGCCAGGGTCAGGACCGCAGGTCGCCGGGGACGTCTCGCTCCCGCATGACGCCCACCGCGCGCGGGGACACCAACGACAGCCCTGGGCCTCGCTCCCCCGCGTTCGGAGCCGTTCGCGGGCGCACTCACAGTGTCATGCGCACGCTCCACTTCACCTCCACCGCCTCCAGCTGGCCCCAGAAAAAGCGGTCGTTGAACTGCACGAACAGCGCCTGCAGGTCCGGGGTGGGGTCCACCAGCTCCCAGGACGCGTCCACCAGGGACAACGGCTCCCGCGCCGCCTCGCGCTGGGCGGCCCGCGCGTCCCACTCCTCCTGCAGCCGTAGCGCCACCACCAAGTCCTCATCCATCGCGCCGCTCCGACCCCGTCGCGACCCTGTCGCGACCCTCCGACTAACCCAGCCCGGGTCGCGACCCTCCGACTAACCCAGCCCGGGTCGCGACCTCCGACTAACCCAGCCCGGCTCGCCTGCGCGCGGGTCTCGCGAGACTTCAGGGCCCAGCTGCCGAGCGCGCGAGCTCGCTTCGAACGCCGGAGCAGCGAAGTCTCGCGACGGAAGGCAACACAATGCTGCCCCGAGGGCGCAGACCTGGGAACTCCGGGTTCCGGCAGAGGAGGGTTTCAGAAAGCCTTCACACCTACAAGCACCCCGCGCCCCACTTCAGTACAGAGGCGACTGGCCTCTCACTTCCGCAGTCACCCGCCCATGCGCCCTAAACCTACGGCGGTCTCGCGCAGCCGCACGGCCCCTTTCGGGGTCGGCGCAGGCGCAGTGCGATGCTCATCTCAGCCCCGACGCAAGCGCCGTATGACGCCTGTCTCCGACGTAGGCGCAGTGCGACGCTCGGCTCGGCCCCGACGCAGGCGCAGTGCGACACCTGTCTCTGACGCAGGAGCAGTGCGACGCTCGGCTGAGCCCTGGCGTAGGCGGCGGCGGCGGCGGCGGCGTCTGGCTCTCTCGCCTGCTTCCCTCGGCCGCCGGGCTCCGGGGCGAGTGACAGCGACTACCGGTCGCCGGCACGGAGAGGGCGACGACCATGTCGGACAGTGGGGCGAGTCGCCTTCGGCGGCAGCTGGAGTCGGGGAGCTTCGAGGCGCGGCTGTACGTGAAGCAGCTGTCGCAGCAGTCGGACGGGGACCGCGACCTGCAGGAGCATCGGCAGCGCGTCCAGGCGCTGGCGGAGGAGACGGCGCAGAACCTGAAGCGCAACGTCTACCAGAACTACCGGCAGTTCATCGAGACGGCACGCGAGATCTCCTACCTGGAGAGCGAGATGTACCAGCTCAGCCACCTGCTGACGGAGCAGAAGAGCAGCCTGGAGAGCATCCCGCTGGCGCTGCTGCCGGCCGCGGGCGCGGGCGCGGGCGCGGCGGCCGGCGAGGACGCGGGGGGCGCGGGGCGCGGGAGCGGGGCCGCGGGGCCGCGGGCTTCCTACCCGGCCCCGCGGGCGCCCCGCGCGATGGCCCCGGCGCGGGCGAGGAGGGCAAGCAGCGCACGCTCACCACGCTGCTGGAGAAGGTGGAGGGCTGCCGGCACCTGCTGGAGACACCGGGCCAGTACCTGGTGTACAACGGGGACCTGGTGGAGTACGAGGCGGACCACATGGCCCAGCTGCAGCGCGTGCACGGCTTCCTCATGAACGACTGCCTGCTGGTGGCCACCTGGCTGCCGCAGCGGCGCGGCATGTACCGCTACAACGCGCTCTACCCGCTGGACGGGCTGGCCGTGGTCAATGTCAAGGACAACCCGCCCATGAAGGACATGTTCAAGCTGCTCATGTTTCCCGAGAGCCGCATCTTTCAGGCGGAGAACGCCAAGATCAAGCGCGAATGGCTGGAAGTGCTGGAGAACACCAAGAGGGCGCTGGGCGAGAAGCGGCGTCGGGAGCAGGAGGAGGCCGCCGTCCCGCGAGCGCCGCCCGCCGCCGTCAAGGGCAGCAACCCCTTCGAGGACGACGACGACGACGACGACGAGCCGGAGGCTCCCGAGGAGGAGGAGGAGAAGGTGGACCTGTCCCTGGAGTGGATCCAGGAGCTGCCCGAAGACCTGGACGTCTGCATCGCCCAGAGGGACTTCGAGGGCGCCGTGGACTTGCTGGACAAGCTGAACCACTACCTGGAAGACAAGCCCAGCCCGCCCCCCGTGAAGGAGCTCAGGGCCAGGGTGGACGAGCGCGTACGGCAGCTGACCGAGGTGCTGGTGTTCGAGCTGTCCCCCGACCGCTCGCTGAGGGGCGGCCCCAAGGCCACCCGCCGGGCCGTGTCGCAGCTGATCCGCCTTGGCCAGTGCACGAAGGCCTGCGAGCTGTTTCTGAGAAACAGGGCGGCGGCCGTGCATACAGCCCTGCGCCAGCTGCGCATCGAGGGCGCCACTCTGCTGTACATCCACAAGCTGTGCCACGTGTTCTTCACCAGCCTGCTGGAGACTGCCAGGGAGTTCGAGACTGACTTCGCAGGTACCGACAGCGGTTGCTACTCCGCCTTCGTGGTCTGGGCCCGCTCGGCCTTGGGCATGTTTGTGGACGCCTTCAGCAAGCAGGTGTTTGACAGCAAGGAGAGCCTGTCGACCGCCGCCGAGTGCGTGAAGGTGGCGAAGGAGCACTGCCAGCAGCTGGGAGAGATCGGCCTGGACCTCACCTTCATCATCCACGCCCTGCTGGTGAAGGACATCCAGGGCGCCTTGCACAGCTACAAGGCGATCATCATCGAAGCCACCAAACACCGCAACTCGGAGGAGCTGTGGCGGCGCATGAACCTGATGACGCCCGAGGCCCTGGGCAAGCTCAAAGAGGAGATGCGGAGCTGCGGGGTTAGCAACTTCGAGCAGTACACGGGCGACGACTGCTGGGTGAACCTCAGCTACACCGTGGTGGCCTTCACCAAGCAGACCATGGGCTTCCTGGAGGAGGCTCTGAAGCTCTACTTCCCCGAGCTGCACATGGTGCTCCTGGAGAGCTTGATGGAGGTCATCTTGGTCGCCGTTCAGCACGTGGACTACAGCCTCCGGTGCGAGCAGGATCCCGAGAAGAAGGCTTTCATCAGACAGAACGCCTCCTTTCTGTACGAAACAGTCCTCCCGGTGGTGGAGAAGAGGTTCGAGGAAGGGGTGGGGAAGCCTGCGAAGCAGCTCCAGGACCTGAGGAACGCATCCCGACTCATGCGCGTGAACCCCGAGAGCACCACCTCTGTGGTGTGAGCCACCCACCGCGGGCATCGTTTGCATTGAGCGCATCCGCACAGGCCTTCGCCCCTCTGGCTGCTTGCACATAGAAAGTGCCCTCGAAGAAGTGGAGTCAGAAGGAGGAAGAAAGTATGTTAACTTAAGCCCAAATAACAAAAATACCTTAGGTTATTAAACTGTTCTGCGCTTTCCTTTAACATTATGCTAATTCTTTGATGAAATGTATGGCATTTCAGATTGTCAAAACACACCTTTTCCCAGGATGTATTACCCACCGCAGAAATGCTGCCTGTAAATACATAGAGCCAAAATGACAGGGTTCTTCAACAGGTAGTTCCATGTAGAGCACCCCTGTGTTTCCTTAAGCTAATGGAACAATTTGGAGGAAAAGAACAAGACTTGGGAAAATTTTTTTTAGGGTAAATTTTAGTCAAAAGAACCCTTTCTTGAAACTGCTAGTGTGTGGATGGCAAACACTCCCATCCTTGTAGAAACAAACACAATTTGGCTGGCATTTCCAACATAATTTTAAAGGCTGATTATTACTTTGTGTGTGTTTGTATGTGGTACTGGGGCTTGAACTCAGGGCCTACACCTTGAGCCACTCCACCAGCCCTTTTTTATGTTGGGTCTTTTGAGATAGGGTCTCCTGAGCTGTTTGCTGGGGCTGGCTTCAAACCACAATCCTCTTGATCTCTGCCTCCTAGGATTACACGTGTGATCCACCAGTGCCTGGCCAAGGCTGGTTATTTAGATGCTAATTAGTGGCTTTATAATACTTAATTTGGGAGCATTTACTTGGAAATCGGAAGGACCACATACATTTATCAACATATTCCTGCATTGTGTGAATTCGCAGAGTACTGTTTTTGTAAATTAAATAAATAGAAGCAATAATAAAAACAGAACCCATTTTGGAGCCTGGCAGTGCCAGTGACTTTTGGCTCCTTGTAGGTTTCTCCACCCCTTTGGCATGCTTATATGGCAGCTCTGTCTTCAGGCAGATGGAAAAATGTTTCCACTGAGCTCATTGGGATTGCAGTACTGGGGGATGGGCAGTTAGAAAAAATCCTGTGCAAATCCTGATGTCTCAAGAATGATTGCTCGGAGCAGAGATTTGTATTTCTCACAGTGGAGAAGGGGTGAGACCAAAGTGAAAACACAGGAAGAAGGGCCTTTTGAGACTCAGAATGCTCCATGCCAGTTTCCTGTCTTATTTTACTATTCCTTGTTTTTGAAGGATTTCAGATTATGCAGCTTACTTCAGATCATTCAATACAACAAAAATATCTCAAGAAACGTGAGCTTCCCAAGGTATATTAGCTGTGCTCTGCTGTGCTATGTCACATTCTCAAGTCTTGGAGAGGGTTTGCTGAGATGCATCTTATCCCAGCTTCTGCTGGGCTTCTGTCACCGTGCCATTTTCTATGCCGTGATTTCTAAAGGTCATGTCCTTTAGCTGAATAAAAATGGTGGTGTTATGACTGGAAATTACATAAAACCTAAAATGGATTTTGAATAGTGGTTCAGGGTTGTAAAACTCCTTAATTACGCAGATGCCGGGCCAGCACCTTTATTTTCCTTGTAGCTATTCGGATTTAAAAGGTTGAAAAGTGTGAGTCATAAATTTTTTTTTTTTGGGGGGGTTTGAACTCAGAAATTCCTTGTAGGGCATGAGGTTGTATATTCTCCGAAATACAACTGGTTGCTTCTTTCTTCTGTTAAAAACTCACATGCTCCTTAGGCCAGCCATAGCTGAAGGACATCCTCAGTGCTGAGCTGTAGCACCTGTGCCCGGCACTGGCTGGCACTGCCCTCCTCTAGGTGGTGTCAGGGCTCTCTCCTCTAACAATGGAAGGCGACCACTTACACCTGCTTCTTGAGCGCTTCAGTCACAGCCCTCACACGCTGGGAACCAGATCTGGGTGAATTAATTACTGTTGGGGAAAAGGCACCCTGTGGGATTAAGTCTCTTTCTGATGAGACCCTTGTCACTTTGGTCCTGAAACTCATTTTTGTTGAGGATACTGCCGGCAGTCTCATCAGCTCCTTCACCTGCCACCTTGGTATCTTACCTGGAACTGGCAACTTGGGAATATAAAATGCGTGCATTTCACTTTTGATATGCTGTGGTATGAGGGAATCTGAAATGCTTTATAAAATAAAGCTTAAAATGTTCTTTCACTGGATAAAATCGATTGTTGTTAGTGTTAAACCTGCTTTAATCAATATTCTTAGGTTCTTGTTACTGTCATTTTTGTTTGTTGGCTTTTTTAGACAGGGTCTCCCTGTAGTCCAGGCTGGTCTCAAACTCAGGACTCTCTCACCTCAGCCTTTCAAGTGCTGGAATTAAGGTGTGTGTGACATAGTCACACATACGTACTTTTTTGTTTTATGTATGTGAGAACAGAAAGGTCTTAGCTTACTTGAATATTCTGCTTACTGTCAGAATTGTGAATAAACAGACTTTTAATTTTTTGGGGTGTTGGGATCAAAGCCAGGGACTCGTGCAGGCCAGGCAAGCATTCTACAACCACCCCTGCACCCCCCGTCTTCCGGGGTGGCTATTTTAACTTGGTGTGAAAACAGTGTCACTTTATTTGTAACCTTTGACTTGGTTAAGCTACCTGCTGTCCTTGGCTTTGGGCCTTTCTTAACACTTCAAAGCAGCGCCAGCTCCAGAGCTGACAGGAGGGGTAGAGGGGCAGAGGCTGGGGGTGGGGGTGCGGCAGTGTGCTATAAAGCTGAGGGGTAGGTGGGGTGGGGTAAGGCCCTGCTGGGAAGCTAACGCCTGGCCTCCCAGGAAGCAGCTATGCTTTGGCAGTTTGGGGTTTACTCGGTGTCTTGGGAGGATGGCTAATGAGGACACTGAAGACGCCAAGCCCTGCCTGCCATCCAGAGTTCCAAGTCTCCCTCATTCTTCACTGCACCCCATCACTCCCACCTGCCTGCTTGCCTGACTCCCTCTAGAGCAGAGAGATGGAAGACAAATCTGGCCACCTGCACCCCAAACTTGTCTGTCCAAACCCAGCCTGTGTTCTAAACAGGTCTAAAGGTAAATAAAGGCCGTTTTAGTCTTCAATATGAATGTGTCTGGCAAGGGTAACATGGAGAAAAGTACGCACACTGTGTCCAAGGTGCTTTCTACTCTGTTCAGTAAGAAGTGGACAGGGCACTAATCTCCCAAAGTCCGGCACTCATGGCACAGCAGGCCTCCCCTGAGGGCAGTGGCTCAGTGCCCATCAAGGAGCATCACCTGTGTGTGAGAAGGAACACTTCACTGACACAGCTCGTCTCCACATACGGAATCCCTCTGGCTACCCCCCAGCACAGAGGGCTGTCGCCCACGCACGCCATAGGCGGCAGCTCTCCAAACTGGGTGTACAGTAGCAGCAGTGTGGCTTCTAGGGACACAGGTAGTTCTGAAATCCTGAGCTCAGTGACTTTCCCTAGCTCTTAGATTCCACCTCACCTGTCTTGTGAGTTACCCCTGCTGCTGCTGCTGACTGGCTTGTACCCCCAATTCGTATATTGAAGCCCCAGCCCCAGTGTGCCTGTATTTGGAGTAGGGCCCAAGAGAAGCGACTGGTTTGATGCAGTCATGAGGATGGGGCCCTCATAACAAGATTAGTGATTTTTTTTTAACAGGATCTTGGTATGTAGCCCAGGCTGGTCTTGGATTTGAGATCCTCCTGCCTCAGCCTCCTGAGTGCTGGGATCATAGGTGTGTGCTACTGCATTAGCCCAGGGCTAGTGATCTTAGCAGAAGGGACGCCAGTGCTCCTGCTTCCTCTCTACAGAGGCCATGTGGGTGGGCACAGAGCAAGATGGCAGCCATGTCCAAGCCCAGAAGAGAGATTTCAGGACTTTGGCCTCCAAACTGAGAAATGAAAACCTGTGCTTAAGCGACCCATTCACCACACCGCCACCACAGCCCCAGGTGACCCCTGCGTCTACCTTTAACCTCACTATCAGCGCTCAGCCGTGCTGATCGTCTTTTGGGTTCCCCAGAACCTCCTCCAGGACCGTCTGACCACTGCTCTCTCTGCACACACAGCTCCACAACCCGTCCTCCATCACCAAGCCCCACCTCTGTGAGCTGCTTCTGGCTCACTTGGCAGCAAGATGCCAGGCTTCTCATCTTATGTCAAGCTTCTCTTCCCTTGGTACTTAAGCACTCTGGGCATCACACAGAAATCTCTTACACTTTTGTTGATTAAGGACCTTGGTGGCAAAATTTAAAGAAGATAATTTAGTGTACATCTTTGTCAAACTTGTACTTGTGTGAAGCAACTTTAATCAAGTATGTAAGATACAGGTTGAATACTCCTTATCCAAAAATGCTTGGGACCAGAGGTGTTTCAGATTTAGGGTAATATTTAGATTTTGGAACATCTGCTTATCCAAAATGAGGTATCTTGGGAATTTGAACCAAGTCTAAGAAATTTCTTTGTTTTATATATCCCTGACACACAGAGCCTGCAGATAATTGCACATGGCATTTTCGGTGCTCCTGGGTTTTGACTGGGACCCCTCCCATGAGGTCAGGAGTGGGATTTTCCACCATGGTGGCATGGTGGTACTGCGTGTTTTGGGACAGGGAATGCTCACCTGAGCCTCCTTCTCTAGTGGCTTCCCTTACCAGCCAAGCGGTCAGTGCTGACACAGGAGGCTGAGAGCTGCTAGTGAAGCAGGCTAGGTTTGCTCTTCCAAGCATGTTTTCAAAAGGTTGCTTTATTTAAAACACATACAGGGTGACACAAATGCCTCTGACCATCCCGTGGTGAGGAAGATCACACGACTGTTCACAATGATCACCTCTTCCTCTCTGTGAGTCCACAGGTTGCAAAGTCTGAAGAGCACAAGAAGATGTGTCTCTTCCTTTATGTCTGTTTGTAACTTCTTTTTAACAGTAATTATGTGACCAAGTTTTCCATAAGCATTTCGTAATCATTAAAGTTTTGCAGTGGCTGGTTTTCCTATTGGCGTCTTACAACCTAGACAAACAAGAGACAGTTCATGAGACGAGGGTGATTCTGCCCTACCTTGTTCCCAGACCTTTGTGGGCTGAGCAACCCCAGTGGGGATGGGGTCCACTGTGCGGGAGAAGCAGCCATGCTGAGAGAAGACGGCACAGCCAGGACTGCAGAGAGAGCCAGGTGCTGACTGTCGTTGCCAATTATGTGTCCAGTGCATTCACGTGCAGCTCATCTGCTTCCCACCCTCACGACTGAGGCCTATAGGAGTGCTGACTACCTGCTTCCTTGCCAAATGTGAACTCAAGTTTCAAGGTTACATATCCTGAGGTTTCAGCCATGACATAAGCAGAACCTGTGGCCTTTCTTCCACAAGGTCTCAAACTTCACCCTCCAGCCTGCATGACTCCACTGCCCTCTGCCCTCTCTTCCGCCATTCTCCTTCCTCCACATGCTCTGGCCTGGTTTTCCCAGTCCAGCACACATCAACCCAAAGCTGTGCTTTGCAGCCCTCACAAGTGTCCCTGAGTTATGCCACACTCAATAATATAGAACTTACTCAATATAATCGAAAGATGATTTTTTTTTTTTTTTTGGCAGTACTGGGGTTTGAACTCAGAGCTTCACGCTTGCTAGGCAGGCGCTCCACCACTTGAACCACTCCACCAGCCCTTTTTTGTGTTGAGTATTTTCAAGATAAGGTCTCATGAACTATTTGCCCAGGCTGGCCTTGAACCGCAATCCTCCTGATCTCTGTCTCCTGAGTAGCTAGACTTATAGGCATGAGCTGCCAGTGCTCCGACTTCAGACAATTATTTTTAAATGTTAACACCTCCCCTTCTAAAATCACCCTGTAATCCCTATCAGTACTTGGCTCACCCACACGTGCCTGCCTTTCTGGACGGGACCCTATCTGTGTAAGCTGACAGGGTGTGGTGCAGTGAAGTCAGTGATTGCCCCAATGACGTGCAGCAGCCCTAATTCTGCATCTGGAAAGACCCCATCCCTCTCCACAGAGAGGGATGTTCATGAGGACCAGATGAGAGGACCTCACCATGACTAGCTGTCAAGGGGCTGCACCTCTGATTCAGGTAATGGGCTCCACTGGGAGCTGAATCTCTGTGATGCACAACACTGCCCCTTTTATGACTGCTGTGTTTTTCTGTCTTTGTATTTTCTCTTTAGTTTCCTTCAGAAAATACTAGACTAAGTCAGTGGTTTTGTTTTAGCTCTACTGGTTCCTGCTTGATAAATATTTGCGTAGTTTCAGAGTCACAGCTGATAACACGAAGGGAAGAGTGCACTGAGTTTAGTTCAGCGTTGCATTCCAGAGGCATTTCCTCCAACTTGGTGGTGGCTGGTTCGTTCACACGGAATACAAAGCCATTATTTCTGGGAAAAAGAATGATGAGCTCCATTACTGCGTACAGCAGGGTGAAAGAGGATTTCAACGCGATACTGCACACACCACAGAGGCTCATGGCCTCTTGCCTGACCAACCTCCTGGCTTCATGCTTCCTCTGACTGTGCAGGGCGCACAACACAGTCAGTTTACACATTAAGCTTTATACTCATTACAGTCAGGCACTTAGGAAAATGTCTGTTTATCCATCCATCCACCCCTCCCCACACCCTCGCTACATTCCCCCCAAATCTTTCTTATAACTGATCTATAAATCTCAGTATTAGGTCAAAGCCAAATTACTGGCCTTCAGTACTTTTATCCTTTGCTTCAGGTTCATGGCATTAAGATGCAGGCAGCTCAGGCTGACTGAACCTCGAGGAAGGGGTCAGTTGACACAGCGCTGTCCCTAGGCAATACCTGGCAATGTCTGTGTCTCATGCTGCCGTGCCTCGTCACTCACACAGTACTTACACCTTCTTCTTCTCCACCACACCAAGTCGCACAAAAGCTGCTAAGGCATTCTTCTGCACATCAGAAGATAATACATCGTAACACTGAGAGGCGCCTGGAGTGAGGAAGGGGGTGGTCAGTGGATTACCTTGTTCTCTCCTGAAGGAAATCAGCTGACAGAGTGTGACTGACCTTGATCAAGAAGCTGACTTGTGAACTTCCTCACTGCACACAGGTAGTGTTTCTCAGTGAAGCAGTCCTCTTCCTCGTACAGGAGGTATTTGCAAATGATCTGATTTGGAAAGGGAGGGTGAGCTGAACACAGACAACAGTGGACACATGGCCCTCCTTAAAGACAGGCTCCGTGTGGGGAGGCCGACAGGTTCATCTCACAAACCACAGGCACCACGTGCCAGGAAGCCGGTCCAGCACCAACAGTCAGTGGTCATGGAACCAAGAGCCATAGAGCCCTCTCCTCTGGGATGTTCATGTGAGGCCCTCACATTTCAAACACCCTCCCCTCCGAGTTCTGGAGAAATTCCTGCTTTCTGTGCCTGCTCCTAACAAGCTCTTCAGATAACCAGCTTGTTCTCTCCCTTCCACCATCTACATTTAGTAAGATCAGTAACTGATGTACAACTCACTCAAGTCCTGCATTCACTGAGCAGTATGTACCAAACAGCTGACTACACACGAAGAATAAAACGGACACAGACTGATAGCAGTTCTCAGGTCTAACCGAGCACTCCTCTGCAATGGGCTCAGCCTCCTGTCTGCACCTGAGAGGTGAAAGACTCATGGAATTATCTAGTTCTACCTTTCACCTGGGGAAGACACTGCCCTGCAGAGCAGAAGTACGCAGTCTCAGAGCGTCTCAGGGTACTCGATACGGGGAGCATATGGGAGAATCTGCAAAGTTTACATACCTGGTAGCACTCTACGAAAGGCTTGAAGAGTCCCTCTAGAAATCCTGATATGGCATTTCCTTTGTCTGTGATGAGGATGTCCTTCCCAGTCACTTGTATGGCCTCACTTTTACAAAGCAAGTAGCAGCCTTCTTCAAAGTCCTAAAAGGGAAGGGGAAATCATACCACCTGACACAGATCTCTGGGTCCTGGTCCCACAGCCCTCCCAGAACCACCCTACTACAGACACAGCCAGAGTCCCAACACAACGAACACCTATGAGACTAAGATGGGCGATCTTGCACTCTGCATGGCTTGTTCCCCAGATTCAAACATCAAGTGCAAATAGCAAGTCATAAAATATGTATGAATGTGCTCCTACACAAAATCCCAGCAGCCCTGCCCTCGCCCTCAAAGAACAAAGATGCGCTCCGGAGCACAGCACACAAAACCTACTCCAATGGCTATCTATGCTGCCCGTGTCCACCTGATAAGCCCGCAGTTTAGCTCTGGGAGCCTGACCATTCCTCGGCTGCCCACACTGTCAGGCAAGACCACCACTTGCCATTCTCAAAGCACAGGCATGGCCTGGCTGACACACTGCACCATGTCTCGACATGAAAGGCGTTCTGATTTATAAATGCTTGCTACAACAGGACTCGTTTAAATATTTACAGTGGCTGCACTAATGGTTCAAAGAATGATCCTCTCACCAAATAATCCCTAAGCTCTTAATTAAATTGATTGAGAATCAAATCCGTGTCTGAACTGTGAACCCGGACAGAGACAACAGGCTGCCTGAGGCGTGCCGGAACAAAACCTGACATCTACAGGATGCTCACTGCAGCAAGCTTGCTCACCGTCAGGACTTACCCTGAGTGTGTTTCCTGGAAGGAAGATGAACTCATCTAAAAACACATCGTGTAGGAAGTGGAAGCAACTGTAGACATCCTCTGGAAATAATTCGTTACATCAAATTACAACACTGCTTTTTAACTTTCGGGGACAACCAGGAAGCCCATGATACCCTGACTTGCAGTCCTTCAAAGGAAGCAGAAATCAACCCAAGTTTTACCTACCTAGAGGGCAAACTGCAGGCTAGCACAGTCTGAATGGCTGAATATAAATACAGTGTGCTAGTATAGGAATGAGTCCCCAGCAGACAGGGTCTTCCCTCCAGGGCCAGGGCTCCTAGCAGAGTGGGAAGGGAACTGACAACCAAGTTCCCTTTATAACCAACCCATCTTCTACATCTCTGTGTCTTCAGCTTGCTGCCTTACGGTCATCCATGGAGTGCTGAAAAGAAAACCACCCCAAACACTACAGTGTGCCCCCATGCCTAGTGATTCTAGGGCAGACCTGGGTGGAGATCCCTGGTCTTCACTACAGCTCCTGTCAGCAAGAAGCATGCTTTGCTTGCCAACTTCCCAGGGCAGCAAGATGTAGCCACAATTAAGCATGGCTTTCCAGTTCCTCACATATACGGGGAACGAACCCTAACTTCTAAGTACAAACGCCTGGTTCTTGTTGGCGTGTAGACTAAACAGAGGTCACGATCCTGAGAGTTACCTTTCTTGAACCTGGGTGTCATGTGCAAGGCCACAGCTACTAGAGAGGGACGGACAAAAGTGTTGAGCAGCTGGTTCCTATACGCTGAGCACATGAGGAGAGTGACATGCTGGAAAATGAGCCCATCGACCACTTCCGAGTCCCCGGAATCCACTTTCAGAACCACCCGGTCTTTGACAAGGCTGGCAAGGTTGGAGTGCAGAAGAATGCTGGACAACACTACTTCTTCAGCAGGCTTGTTATCTACACACAGACAACATGTTTGCGTGAGTCACTGCAGCCTCCCAGCTGTGCCCACCCATCTCTCCAACGGGTCCATCTTCAGAGCTAGTAGCAGGTTGTTTTCTAAAGGCTGCCTGTCTTTCTTCCCTGCTTGAAACCCACACTTGCTGCCCATAGCCTGGACATTGGTCCAGATCTATGGCCTGCCAGCCTACCCAAGCCAGCTGTTATCCACTGCTGACATGCCCACCTGACCACTTCACATTCCTAATCCCTGTGTGAGCCAGTCTCCCTCCCTCATCTTCCTGAAGAGCTCCTCTCCCCTCAAGCTGGGCTCAAGGTCCCTTCTGTGAAGCCCTCCTTCCCCACAGTGCTCTCAGGAATCCTTGCAGTGGCCACAGCTGCTTGTGTGTCTATACCACTGATCCCATCGCTCGTTCACATACAACCCAGCCATCCAAACCTGTCGATTGGGAGACCCCCAGAACAGTGACGGCCACCTGATCACTTGTGTCCTGGAAGGACCCACCACAGATAGATTGCTCAGTGCACACTGCAGGAATGAAGAGTAGGTACCTGACTGTAAATCATTATCTGATCTTACAAGTACTGCATTTCAAACAATTTTAATCAACGGGCTTGAAAACAACATAAGCTATGATTGTCCAGGACACCTGAAACTCCCAGCACAGTTTTTGCTGAGATGCTTTATCAGAGAACTGCAACAGCTGCAAGGCCAGCCAGACCTGTACTCCTGACCACAAGCGGGGCAGACATGCTTCAAACACAGCGGGATTTTAAAGGAGGTGGGTAGAGGGAGGGTTTGTGCAGCTATTCTGCACTTGATAGGTGCCAAGGAGATGGTGTCCCCCAGGCTGAGAGTTTCGGAGGGAATGGCATGTGAACAGCTCTTCTCAGGTGGGCCCCACGCTGGGTTCCTCACCCCCAGTGGGTGACTGGCTTTCTGTCCCTTTGAGCAACACTGTGCAAAGACCTATATGGGTTTCTCATGTCCAGGATACAGCATTCACAAATTTGTTTTGGCAGCACTGGGGTTGAGCTCAGGGCCTCGTGCTTGCCAGGCAGGGGCTCTACCACTTCAGCCATGCCCCAGCCCTTCTGGCTTTATTCTTGATGCCTGGCTCAGCCTGGACTGACATCCTCCTCCCTAAGTAGCTGGGATGACAGGCATGTACTACCACATCCAAGTTTCATTGGTTGAGACAAGATCTAGTGAGGCAGCATCTCGCAAGCTGGGATTTAGTGAACTTTTTGCCTGGGCTGGCCTCAAACATGACCCTTCAGATCTCTACTTCTCAAAAAGCTACATTTATAAATCAAGAAGTGAACGAGTGAGGCTGAGGATGTACCACAGTGGTTGAGTCCTTGCCTAGCCTGTGTGAAAGGACAGAAAAAGCAAGTCTCCGTACACACATGGTCACCGACATACCAGGCCAGAGGAGGAACCCTCCGAACGCCTGGGCCAAGCCTTTCAGCCATAAGGTCTTCTCCACCAGGGCATCAAAGTCCATGGAAGGCTGGTTCTGAAGCAGAATAGCAACTGCCAGAGCCCACGGGCTCAGAACCAGGTTTTCAATTTGTAGAAGCTGCATTTTGTAGGCAACTTCAGCGACAAAGGCATGCATGTCCTCGGACTGTTTCTGAGGGATGTATCTAAAAGGAAAGACATAGAACAGGTTATAGTTGTGCTGTCACAAGCATGGGGTGGGGCAGCTCAGAAGACTTCTGCATATGCCAACCACATTCACTCAGGCCACATGCAAGCAGCTTTCCCTGCTTTACTGCAGTATCATCTGTCCGTATGTCTCCAGGGTATGGCCTTGACACATGACAACAAATATTATTTTCTGGCAGTATCACTTGTTAGGCAGGTACTCCATCACTTGAGCCACACATCTAACCTGAGAAATAATATTAGTTCCCAGTTCTAGGCAAAAAACTTCTGTTACTTTACAAATAGAATGTGTCACTTCTATAAAAACAGATGTCTCCCAGCAGAATGAATGACTGTCCTTCCAGAATCCCAGCACGTAGAACATGTGTCTGCTGTAGGCGATACTTGTCAAGAGTGACATCTGCACCAGACAAGCCATTGGCTGCCTGCAGCCCGGCCCCCTACACTCATCCTTGCCTGAGAGCATACTCACATGGAAGCCTGCACAGAGGCCCACACAGAGCTGGATGGAGCAGGGATCTTCAGGGGACCCACAAGCAGCCAGAGCAGGTGGCTTACAATGGAAACTACAGCTAACACAGTGCCTGTGCTAGAGCAGCTGGCCAGGCCAGCAAGCAAGCAATCTAAAGGCAGGCCTGTGGCAGCAAGAAATGACCTCTGCCTCTGATGGTGAAGGCAGCTGCTAGCGAGGCACCCTACTGCTGGGGAACTGCATCACAAGAGGCCTGGCTAGGCAGGTGGACTCTCTGCCTTATATCCCCAGGTGGACCTTCTAAATTAAGAAACCTCCAAGGCATATCTATGCCCTAATCCTGAAAGGGCTTAATGTGTTTTCCTGGAAAGGGACTCACACTAAGTACGAGTCTGCACTCCTTCCTAGGATCAGAAGTGTGCAGGGCCCAGGAAGCCACCCCCAGCAGTGCTCCAAGTCCTCCACATGCTTGCTAACTATGGGGCTACGTCTTCCCACTGTTAAGATGGCTCCACCAAAGGATGACCGCCATCTCACTAGGTATACCTGACATCCATATCTTGCAATTAATCTTTTCGTGGGCAAACACACATTCTTCTGTAACTGAAGGTGACAAAAATGAACTGATAATGGCTTCCCTCACATGAGCTAAGGTGAACCAAGACTCAGCCTGAGAGGCTGTCAACTCAACAGTCACAATTTGCACTTCTGGATTTTAATCCTCACTTCTTTGTTGGGCATTAAAACACAGGCGCTGCACCTTGGGACCAAGGTATACAGGCTCCGACTCATCCGCCCAGCTGCTAGAGATCGAAGTGACACAGGGTCTCCAAAGTACACATGGATGCTTCCAAAGTTCTCAGAGAGAATCCTTCTTGCTTTCAGCAACCCCTAATAGCACACCAAAGGGGAGAGAAAACAAAGAAGAGAACAGCTGCCAATGAGTCACTGTGTATGCCAGCACAGTCTCTACACTCAAAGAATATGAGGCTTGACATCCTCACGTACACTTGTAGATTCTCTTGGCTTAGGAACTCCCAGAAGCTCATAGGCATAAAGACTTTCTTCCAGTATCTTATCATAACTGATGCTGATTGGGACAAGGTAGGTATCAAAAACTTCTCTCTTAAAAAATGGCTCCATCACAATGTTCAGGAGACCTGTAAACACAGGGAGAAATGTTCCATGATGCATTCTGCAGAGCAGAGCACACAGGACACACATAGGAAGGCACCAAAAGTGTACACCACAGGTTAACATCAGAAACAGAAAAGACTATCATGTTTTAAAAAAAAAAAAGGAACTACTGAATTTAGCAGTTAAGATGATATAGCATACTCACTCAAAGCCTTTGGGTTTGTGTTTTCTTTCTGTCTGTGACCTACCGAATTTAGGAGTCAAGGTCTTGGCAGAGCGGCTCCTTGTCCCTTCAAGAAAAAATTCAACTGGAGCGTATCCATTCTTTAAAAGAGAAAACGAGACACAGAACCCACTGCCTACCTGTAAAGTAGCAAGTGTTTTTTTTTTTTTTTGATACTGGGGATGGGACCAGGGCCTCGTGCAAGCTGGGCAGGCACTGTACCACCAAGCCATGTCCCAGGCTCTGACCCCTCCTCCCAAGCACCATCCTGGCCATCACAGCAACGCTTGAACAAGGCTGGCACACAGATTAAACACTGCTGAGGCTTGGAAATTTCCTGGGAGGAAGTAAGAGCTAAGTGGTCCACGGGGAAGGTAAGGGTTAAACAAGGAACGGAGCTTGGTGAATGTGCATTTACCCGCAGCATCGTCTTCACGTACTCAGAGAACACGGCCCAGTACAGCCTGTTGCCGCCAAAGGTGCGTCGCATGAAGAAGGCCCCTGACATCCTCAGCAGCTCCCCGACCACCTTCATCCCCAGGAAGTCTGCAGCAAGGCAAGGCAGCAGGGGGATTCACCTGTGATGCTGGGGCTTTCTGTGAAGACCTCAACTCAGACATTACTGAGGATTTCATGTAGCTGGGCTGACACCTACGATACTATTATACTTCCTAAAATTAAACCCACAGCACGTCTGATAGTAACTATGGAACAGAAGGGGCATGGCCCAATGCCTACTCTGTGCACCACAGTGTTTACAACCAGGCTGTCCAGAAACACAGGCAAGGGAAGGGCAATGTGAACTTGATGGCATACTGACAAGTGCCTCATGCTCTGGAGAGCTAGGCCAACTGCTCTCACCTCCCAATCTCCAGGTAAAAACAGAAACCTACTTTTAGTGGAACAGATTAAACAAAGCAAGTCTACAAAGACAGGCAGAGTTCTGCCAGCACTTCTAACAGCTTTTCTTTTCATTTTCCCTAATTTTCAGATAATGTCCTCTCATCTACTCAGATGAAAGTGCTTTACAAAGAGCTGGAGTCCCTGGCAGTTTCACCTTACTGTTCTCCCACATTCATTAATAAGGTGAGCACTCTGATCCTGGCTTTCTTATAGAGCTGATCATTTGTTTGCTTTAGCAAGCTGACATTTAGGAATAAAAACACGGATACAAATTTATATTGAAACATTGTTTATGATATAAAAATTCTAAAAATAAAGTTACCATATGATCCAGCAATCCCCCCCACCACACACATCCCTGAACTGGGGCTTAAAATCAAGGCCTCCAAGTACTCTTACCACTTGAGCCATGCCCCAGTTCTTTTTTTTTTTCAGAAAGGGTCTCATCAACTTTTGCCCAGGCCACCAGCCTCAGACAATGATCTTCCTACCTCTGCCTTCCATGTAGCTGGGATTACAGGTGAGAATTGCCATGCCTGGTGAACAGGTAAGTGTACTTCCATGTTCACAGCAGTTATTTGGATAGCAGAAGCAATCCAAGTGTCCAATGGATGAAAGGACAAACATAATGTGATATATCCATATATAGGAATAAAGGAACAAAGTCCTGGTATATGCTATAACATGGATGAGCTTTGAAGACATTATGCTATGTAAAACGACACAGTCACAAAACGACAAGTGTTGATGATCCCACTTACATCAAGTATCTAGAAAGGTCAAACCAGAGAGACAGTGGTCTGGTGGCTGCTGGGGGAGGCAGGGGAGGCTACAGCAGGAAGCTACCATTTAACGGGTAGTTCCAGCTTTACAGGCTGGAGCTCTGGAGAAGGTGGTGGTGGTGGCAGTGTGACAACATAGATATGCTTGATGCCATTAACTGTTCACTTAAATGTGGGCAAGTTGGCCAGTTTTATGCTGTGTATTTTACCACAATTACAAGTAGAAAAGTCAAATTTACAGCACTAAGACACCATCAAATTTAAAAAGCAAAAGGCTTTTTAATGGTAATGGGATGTGGGTAATTTAGTCTCATTTTTCAGACCTAGCCCAAAGAACCGTGTGCACACCTGCCTGTCCTGTCTGAACAGAAAAACACAGCACAAGACCAACAGCCACATGCAGGGACTGCAGGAAGGAGGGGCGGCTCCAACATCTCTTCATATACTTTGGTAAAGTAGAACCATTGCCATGCACAGTTTTAGTTTGTACAGTTAGAAAAAACAGAAAAGTAATACGGACCCATCCCTGCTGCTATGACTGGCACAGGTAAGTCATAGTTGTAGAGCAGAAAAGACAGCATCAGAAAGTCAATGTAACTCCGGTGACTCGGCAGCAGGACCACAGGCTGCTCCTGGATAGCACGTTGCAGCTTTGAAAAAATTGTTAGGTTTTGAATAATGTCAGTTGCCATATAATTAAAATCACAGCTCAAATCAGAAAACAAAAGAGCAAACCTACATACAGAGGAAGCACTGGTCATCTCTTCTCCTTCCCCATCACACGCACAAACTGAATTTGTTCTGACAAGGCCTGAGTACTGCTTCAGAGTTCGAGTTAAGTAGTTTCAGTCAAAGCAGAAGCATTAAAAATGATCAGAACAGTAATGACGCTGATCGCCATCCACGAGTGCATGCTACACACCATTGTTGTGCAGCATGGTTTTATAGCGTGTACCCATAAGTGAGACGTGAACCTCAGCTGTGCACCCAAATGTGAGGTAGAGCCAGGAGCAAACCCACTCCAGTCTCCTTAGAAAAGCCAGCTGTTAACCACTGCCCTGTCCATGTGCTGGTCATACTAGAAAGAAAACAGCTTCTCTCAGGGAGATAAGCAAAAGATGCATAAATTATTAGGTCAAAGTGAGAGACCACACTGGACTCTGCAGGGAGAACTGGGGTTCTAATTGGGAGAGACACACCTGGGTTTCCAGATACACTTGTCAGGCCAACAACCTCAGGCAGTCATGGTATTAATGAAATCTAAATATAACTAACCACAGCAGGTCATTTGTGATCAGTTGAGACACAGCTTGCCAATATTCACTGGCACCAAACACTACACTGAATGTTCTTTGACAGGCCCAGAGAGAACAGTCATGGGAGAAAGATACACTTTGATAGGAAAGCACACGACTGAGTAGAAGTGTTCACAGGCACGAGAAAGGTGGCAAATGAGGCAACAGCTGTCAGAGAGAACAAAGGCATTAAAAACACAAATTAATAAACATGATGTTCATAGGACAGCTCTTCCTTACAGGAAAAAGAAATGTAATGAATGACAGGAGTGAGGAATTGACCACCAGGCAATCATTAGAACAGTGACTGATTCAGGCAAGAACTATTGGAGAAAGAATGTTGGAAACAGGTCACTAATGATTTTCAAAGTGCTGCTCCACAGGACACTCACTAATTACAGTGGGAAAGCGGTGACTTTACAGTGGAGAAGCCCGCTGACACCACCTTGACCAACAGATAAAAAGTCAACATTCCAAGTGATAAAACAGACATCACAAGCTCCTGACCCACAGAGGAGAAGGCAGCAGCCATTCCTGACACAATGCACTGCCTGACTCCGTTGCTGAGACAACACTGTTCAAATCCAACTTGAGAGACTCAAAAAAGGACTGTCCTGCTATTTAAAAGTATCACAAAACACAAACAAGACCAAGGAGGGCTGGGAAGTGGCTCACGTGGTAGAGCACCTGCCTAGCAAGCAGAAAGCACTGAGCTCAAACCCCAGAGCCACAAAACAAATGAACAAACAAGGACTCACTCTAGATTAGAGTCTATGGAGCTAAGGAAGCTGGCGCCAACACACTATCTAGGATTTTCTTTTACTATATAGGACATGATAGGGAGAAGTGAGGTCTGTATTGCCAGTTTATCTTGGTAACTGTGCCCTAAGAGAATGTCCTTATTTATAGGAAAACACAGCAGAGCAGTAGGGAAAGGATAAAGGAAATGTTGGAGGAATCTGGGTGAAGCATACACAAATTTGTATCACTTTTGTGACCTTGTGACATTAAGAGCATTGGTGAGTCTTACTTCACTAAGTAACTGTCAAGTCTGCAGATGTGAAGGTAACAGGAAAAAAAACAAGCTGCAGAGAGGCACACCCCTTCTGCCCACACTGGATGCCTCACGACCCCACCCCAAGCATTTATTGCAGTGAGATGTCCTTGAGCTGACTAGTCACTAGGGCTCCAGAGACCGTGTTTAGCTGTCAGTACTTACTTTCTGAATGCCTTCTTCATTCACGCACACCTTCGAGAAAATCTGTTTAAATATTTTGCTCAGGGCAAAGGCGAAAAAACGAATGGCTCCCAGACGAAGTTTATGACTCATTTCCTCCAAGATCTCACAAGCTTCTTCCCTGAGGGCATCAACAGACTGAAGGGACTCCTTGGAAAGCTGAAAGAGAGAGCAGGGATAAGTTCTGAAGACAGAAACCAGGATCCTTCTATTCAAACCAGCGTGACAGTTCCAAATGGACAGTGCTGTGTAACTTAAAGACAGTGTGTGCTCTTCTTCATTTCACTTAACATATTCCATTTTTTAACACAGGAAAGTAGATAAAGTGATTCATTTTTTTCTTTTATTCCTTCAGGCAGAGTCTAACTAGGTAGCCAAGGCTGGCCTTAAACTCAAAAGAATTTTTTTCTGGTATAGTAGAGTTTGAACTCAGGCCTCACACTTGCCAGGCAGGTGCCCTACCATGTGAGGCACTCTACCAGCCCTGGCCTTAAACTCAAGATCCTCCTGCCTCTGAGTGCTGAGGGCACAGGTTTGTGCCACCACATCTGGTGACAGTCTGATTCTATTTAGACATGTGGAAAGGATAGAAATTCAAAGAGAATCAGTTTTACATTGTAGATTTGAGAGTAAACAAAACACCCCCTCTTTTCCCTTTGCTTTGCTCTACCCTTGCACACAACTGTCTAAAGCAAGCTGATGTCTGTGGTCCAGAGTCCCAGTGTCCACAGCCCTCAAGTGCACTGCTGTGGTGCCTCACCTGCCTGCTCAACAGTATTACCAGGTAACACCCAAGGTGAAAACACAAGATTACAGGGAAATAACCAACTCACACTAGCTCAGATGTACAGGTCACGGTACAAAAGTCCCCGCTCTCAAAGGCTAGCAAGATTACGAATCTCACAGTGGAACTTTCTTCACTCACACGGCACACCACAGTGCTGTAATGAGAACAAATGCCTGCTGTGTGCTAGGCCCATCAAGGGCCTGAGGGTGAACCAATGACAGCTTCTGTTCTCAGGGAAGCTGAGCACCACTGATATGGCAAATGCCATCTATGCAACAGGAGGGCAAGATCAGAGATGGGGTGCTGAGCCCTGGTTTTTACATGTAGTCAAGACATTTATCTTTTTGTATTGATGTGAAGTTCATACAACATAAAATTAACCAGAACAATCGGTATATTTCGTTCACTCACAAACGTTGCACAATCCTCTCCACTATCTGCCTCTGTATCTTATCTTTTGGGGGCTAAATGCAACAGAGGCAAGCCTGGGATAAACTGTTTCCTCTCACCTGTGTTCTTTCACTTTACCCAGAGGTCATCTGAAACAGTGACCATGGTAAAGAAAGTTGTCATAATATGGTCAGACGAGAACCCATACTAAATCTAAATGAACTGAATAAAGAATGGAAGGAAGGGGGGAAGAAAAGACAGCAGCCAGAGAATAACTGAAAAGCAAATGAGGAGGGGATATCAGGTCAAGCAGAAGTGCTTTCCTAAGTTGAGAAAGGCTTGTACCTGTTTTGTTTTTATTTATCATTCCACTTTTTAAAAAATATGCTAAAATATACCCAGCATAAAATTTACAGTTTTAAGCATTTTTCAGCATACAGCTGGGTGGCACTAAATCCTCCCATACAGAGGAAGTCTCTTGAGAGTGTGGCTCAGGCCTGTGGGAGGCCCAAAGAGGCAGTGGCAAAGGGAGAGCACGGACACGTGGATGACCGTGGCCAGACGCCTGGGCTCCAAGGCTGGACTCAAGGCACACATGCTGCTGGGTGGGGTATGGACACACTGGGATAAGGACTGGGAAGCAAGGAAGGCAGCATCTACTATTTTCTCATCATCCCAAAGAAACCATATGTGATCATTTGCTAATGGCAAGTCTAACATGAATTTAGGGCAGCAACAAAGTTTGGTTGAGTTAGCGGTGGGGAGAAGGGATCACAAGCCCGTAAGGCCCTGACCCACTGGCTCTGCCCATCTTCTGGCATTTATATTTATATAAACAGAGGCAGTGACCCTAGACTACCTTTTCTCCTGGTCATCTGGAAGGCTGAGTGAGGCTCAGGAGAATTAAGGATGTGGTGAGATTGCTATTCAGACAATCCTAACAAATGCTGGATGGAAGAAAGGGAAGAAGGGCAGGACTAGACAAAGGAAAAGGGAAGGCTCAGGCACTGGTGGGAATGAAGGATTCTGGGAAATACCCATGATAGGGAGGACAGCTGGAAAACCTGGAACAGTGCGAGCCAGGCAGTGACAGGTGCTAAGCGCAGGAGGCAGGCAGGGTGGTGCTTGTCTATGCTGGAGCAACAGGGTGAAGAGTGGGGGCCACTCCTAAAATAGGGACCAGAGCCCAGGAAGAGAGTGCAGCACAGTGCAGGGGCCAGGAAACTATGAGCAAGATTCTGAGGTATTTGTGGGACTCACAGGCGGGGTGGCCAATGGGAGCAACACAATTGCATATAAAAATCTGAATTCTGAAAACCTAGCCAAGGCTAGAGAGATTGACTGGATATCATCAGACTACAGATGGAAGCCACAATGATGAGAATGGATAAAATGGGTTGGAGACCACAGTGGGGCAAGAGAGTTGAGACTCAATCCCAAGAAATGCTCAGGGGGCAGATGAAGACCTTTTGGAAGAGACCAACAGTAGACCTAAGAGGGGAGCTGTAATGGGAAACATCACAGAAGGCAAGGAAAGGAAGATCTTGAAAGAAAAGCAGTATCCAACAAGTGACACTGCAAGGGTCAGGTGAAGGTCAAAGGGCCCTACAGAAATCCACGATACCCTCCAGCAGACCAAGTTCTGCTATCTACCAAAAGCAAGACACAACTGGACAGGAGAATGCCATGCAGGTCTGCTCTTCTGAGAGGCCAGGAAGAGCAATGAGATCTGGAAGAAATAACACTGACAGGGAGGGCTTACTCCTCTTGGGGAAATGACTGCACAGGCTCAGGCCAGTGGAGAAGGCCAAAGGATGTGGAGGGTTGGACAGTCCAAAGCATGAGGAATGGGCAGCTTGCTCAAAAAGAATCGTCCACATCAAGACTGGAGGGAGTGGAGAAGCAGAGAATACCCAACCTCTTACTTTATATAACTGCGCTTTTCATTTGCCCAACAGATGTCTGTCCTTCTGAATCTGTCTTCCTGGCAACCTACCTAACACAGACTTAAAAGCAGTAGTCTCACCAGACATGGTGGCACATGCCTGTGATTCCAGTACTTGGGAGGAGATACCAGGAGGATTTTTGAGTTCAAAGCCAACCTGGACTACATAGCCAGACCCTGTCTGAAAGCAATGACAACAACAAAAAAAAAATGGATGTATGGAACTCAAAGAGATCCAGTCTGAAACAAGAGATACCCTTTATCTATACTTTTATTATTATTATTATACATTATTATTTATTGGGAGAAGTTGAGGTCAGTATACTGAAGGTAATTAAAATTCTCAGGGCTGGCAAACTGGCTCAAGTGGCAGAGTGTCTGCCTAGCAAGCATGAGGGCCTGAGTTCAAACCTCAGTGCACAAAAAAAAAATAAATAAAATTCTTAAAACAAGTAAAACTGCTCAGTGGGCAGAAAAAGAATGAAAGGGCTAGACAAAAAAATCATGAAGAAAAGCAGAATTTTCAGAATCAGGAAAAGAAGCCCATAGAAGCATCTGAGGAAAAACCCAAGAAGATTCAGGGGTAAGGGGACAGAATGAGAATAAGTGCCTAGCCTTGAAAGAGGCCGATGTAGCCATCAAGTCATTCAGCCTCAGAAAGAGCAAACAGTAGACTGGAAGCCAACAAAAGACGAGGAAGTAAGGCTGCAAGTGCAGACAGCACAGCCAACTTCTCAGGAGAGAGGACAGGAGTGGTGATGAAGGCAATGGAATCAAAGGGATCTATTACACTGAAGAGTTGGATCCTGATGAAGAGCGCTACAAGGAGGAAAACACTGAAGACAAATGAGGGAAGTCAATGAAGCACATCCCTGAGGAAGAGGCAGAGAAGGGAAGAAGCTCAACAGAAAGGAGGAAGAGGGATGAACTGGGCGCAGCAGTGGGAGGGCTGCTCACAGCTCAGAGCATGTTCACATAATGGCTTCAGTTTTCTTGATAATGGAAGAACTCACTGCTGAGAGGTGCGGGGCAGGGCTGAAGGTTCTAGAAGAGGGCAGCTGCCAGAGTTGCCATTTTGGAGTGGGGCAGGTCACTGGGCAAACAAAGCACTACTGGACAATACAAAATGCCCAGTTATGCAGCACAGTTCTGAATCTGTAAGGATTCCAAACTATATGGTTACGGGATCTCTCAGCAGCCCAGCCAGAATCACTGTGGTCAGCAGTGACACTGGCCTGAATCCGATCTTTTACATAGCTCACACTTCACTGGCTGTGCATTACAATTACTTGAGGAGCTTTGAAAATGGAACAAAGAGAGAGAGAAAGACAGAGAGAAGGACAGAGAGAGATGCAGGAGTCCTATCCGACCAGCTAAATCACGATCTCTGGACGGGACAAGGCATTTTTTTCATTCACAATTCAACAAATTGCCTCTGTGTGCTAGGCTGGGAATACACCAGAGGAAAGGCAGCAAAAATTCTTGACTTTGTGCAGTTTAGGTGCCACATAACAACATTTGTGAGTTGTCCCTTGAGATTATAACAGAGCTGAACAATTCCTGTCACCTAGTGCCATTATGGCTGTCACGACATCCCAGCACTCACATCTGTGGTGATGCTGGTGTGCACACTTCCTGCACTGCCAGACAGTATATGTGTATATAAATATATACACATATATATATATATATACACACACACACATATATATATATATATATATATATGCACAGTATGAAACGCTTCGGTTACTGGCTTATGTATATACTATACTATACTACGCTTTTTACTACTAGAGTGGACCCCTACTTACTTTTTTTAAAAAAGTTACTTTAAAGCCATATGCATGGGGTTGGGGTGTAGCTCAGTGGTAGAAAGCTTGCCTAACATATGCGAGGCCTTGGGATCATCCCAAGTACAGCAAAAGAACAAAAACAAAACAAGCAGTATGCTGTTTTGCTGGAAAACTCTCACATACCTCATGTTTAATTGGGTGTCTGGAATGCACTGTTCTCTCTTGTGCTTGATTTGATCTCAAGTTGCTTTGTTCATCACAGGTCTATGAGCAAAGACTGTATGTACACAGCCTAGGTGGAGAGGGGCTATATTATCTAGGTTCATGTAAGTGCACTGCATGATGTTCCCGCATCAATGAACTGCCTAACAAGGCATCTCTCAGATGTAACCCTGCCTTTAAGCAATACATAACTATAGTTCACTTCTTTTTTTGCAGTGCTGGGGGTGGAACTCGGGGCCTGCACTTGAGCCACTCCACCAGTCCTTTTTTGTAAAGGGTTTTTCAAGACAGAGTCTCACAAACTATTTGCCTGGGCTGGCTTCGAACTGTGATCTTCCTGAGTAGCTAGGATTACAGGCATAAGCCACTGCCACCCGGTTCACAGGTAACTCTCTGCAGAGAGTTATGAAAGAGCCAGAGGTGAGAACCACTGGCTATGAGCTTTAACTGATGAGGAAACTTGACTTCACTTATGAAAGAGGCCCAACCAGAGAAAACCAATAGCTTCTCCACGACACTTAAGGCCAATCAAAGCAAAGGGATTGAGAGCACAGGCCAAGACCTAAAGCTAAAGGCAAATCAGAGGGTAGAGATAAGAGAATTTTCCCAAGGCCATATAGGGAATTAAATGCCAGTTCAAAGCACAGGAGCAGCTGGGCACCCGGTGGCTCATGCCTATAATCCTAGCTACTCAGGAGGGAGAGAGCTGGAGGATTGTGGTTCAAAGCTAGACTGGGCAAACACTTCAAAAGACCCTATCCTGAAAATACTCAACACAAAAAACAGGGCTGGAAGAGTGGCTCAAGTGGTATAATGCCTGCCTAGCAAGCATGAGGCCCTGAATTCAAATCCCAGTACTGCAAAAAAAAAAAAAAAAAAAGTTACAAAATCAAAGTCTCTACAGGTAAGCCTCAGGGTGTGGGAGCTAAACTGAGAACCAGAAACTGTCCTTCCTGTTCACCATCATAAGCCAGGGCAGATTCCAAGAGGCTGGAGAAGAAGCAGAGCAAGCATGGTTTAACATGATGTCCGTCTGAGGCAGTCTCCCATCTCCGCTATGACAGGAGGAATAAGTGAGGCAGGGACCATCTGTTCTGCCCAAGGTGAGGCTGAGCATGATGCAGGGTGTCAAGCAAGAACACCGTGCTTCTAAATGTGTCCTCTCTCCCTACAAAAACACAACTAGCTATATGTGTGCCTCCCTTAAAGACATTTACAGACAACCAAAAACAAAGCCAAAGGAGAGGGAGCATAAATATTTCTTAGAGGAACTTTGAGGAAAGAGAGTATGTTCTCTTCTGACCAGAAAGCAGTGGGGTCTTGGAGTAGGAGGCCATGACTAATACAAGTTAGGCCCACATTCCAGCACTGCCATAGCTGTGAATGTGAGGAGCCAGGAGATGGAGCACCAGGCTAGCAACAGCTGCAAAGGCATTAGTTCATCACCTGGGGACCTATAGCTACATGAGCACCTATGCACTCAGATACCAAGGGCTGCATCAGGAAGCTCTACTCCTGTCTGTAGAACACCTTCCTTAAACTAGGCTGCTCTGGGGTTAGACACTCAGTGGTTGAAGTGCTAGCTAGCTGCACAAGACCCTCCCACATCTGTTTCCTAAGTTCCCATCTCAGTGAATGTCTCGAACATCCTAAATTCTTCTTGCCATAGACCCAGCCTGTCACTAAATATGGCCACTCCATGTCAAGGCTCTGAAGCCTACCCACTTCTGTTCCCACGACCACTCCCAAGTCCAAGCACCTAGACAGCACACAGGGGCTCCTGAGGGAACATCCCAAGGAGACTTCCCACCTTTGGATTCAGCACGGTCCTCCTGAACATTGACTATGCCACAACCATCTCGGGAATTTTCAGTGGCTTTGTCCCTCTCCTGCTCCCCCTTCAGGCTCACTGCTCTCTGCTGCCCTTTGATCTGCTTTCAGTGAACACTTGCAGCACTGGGAAAACGTTCCAGACCTTAAAACAAGCTGGTGGTTTTCAAACTTTGCTACACTTTGGAATCAACTGGCTTCTTGAAAACTACTGATGCAACCCTTACCCCCAACGCAGTCACTTAACTGACATGGGTGGAGACCTAGGCCCAGGGATTTTAAAAAGTTCCTCCTGAAATTATAATGGGGAGCTTTAAAACCATAGGAATAAGCTAGGGTTTCACCCAGGAAACCCCAAGCCATCTTTCAGTCCTCACTAAAATAGTATCATTTTGCTGGCTCCCTACACCAGATTCATTAGTGTCCCTGAATCTTGGGCTCCCCTACCACATCTTAGACTGTATTTCATTTTACAACTGTCATTGTATCATGGTCAGCCCTCCAGTGTCTAGCAGAGAAGCTACCACACATTATAAGTACCACAGGATTTGTGCCAAACAGCTAAATCTAAAAGGAACATTAGAGATTACAAAAAAATTCAGAGAAACAAGACAAGGAGCTTGTTATATATGTATTCTGGCTGTGGCTAAAGGAGTCACTCACCTGATTAATGACATAATGAATCTCTTCAGAATTAAGAACTCTATCCTTAATATCAGTTGGCTTGCAAGGAATAATTCCCTTATAGACAGGAGGTGTGTAGCATTTCATTGCAAATTTCAAGTCACTGACGTGCCTCCTCTCCTCCAAGATGTCTTCAAACTCATCCCACTTTTTCAGCTCTTTCTGTGGATAACGTAAATGAAAGAAAGTACTGAGCAGGCACTGTGAAATAAGGGCAGGTTAGGATGACATTGGTAAGGTTTCCCTTTGTCCATGACACATGAACAGCTGAGTGTTCCAATTGTAATTCTCATACACTAAAAAAAAGAAAAAAAAAAGAATGTAATAATTATGAGGTTCAGTAAGTTGATGCTGAATTATCACCACATTTTATCACCATTACATTTCTGGCTGGTATCTTTGTACAGAATTCTTTTAGGAAACTTAACAAAAATAGAGATGAGACATTAAGTGCTACAGTAATCCCATCAACTTTATAAAGTTTTACCTACCACACTGACAAACTTATTTCTTCTGACTCTGCTTAGCTTTAAGAATGATATCAGGCCAGGTGATGGCTACTTGGTAGGCTGAGATCAGAAGGATCACAGTTAAGGCCAGGGCAAATAGTTTGAGAGGCCACATCTCCAAAATAACCAGAGCAAAATGGACTAGAGATGTGTCTCTAGCAGTAGAGTGCCCGCTTTGTAAGTGTGAAGCCCTGAGTTAAATCACATCTCACACAAAAAAATTAAAACACACATTAGAAACCCAAACTATGTCAAACAAATTGACACCCGCTAGGTGCAGAGAAGAGGAAAAGTCACTCAAGAAGAAAGCCCTCCCACAGAGCAGCCTGTGCTGCAGTGACCACGTTCTGGCCTGCTCTGTAGCCCACTCAGTGCAGATTCTTCCCAGCAGCCCCACTGCTCTTCAGAGGGCTGCCCATGAGGCTTGGTTCACTTATTCTTTCTTCATATCAGTGCACATCAACTGTACAATGTACAGTAAGGGGTTCACGGTGGTATTTCCATACATTCATGGAACTTTGATTATATTTATACTTATATCAAAGTATAATCAATATACTTTGATTATATTTATCCTCTCCATTACTCTCTTATCCCCCCCTTTTTATCTTTCTTGCAATTTCCTTAAAAATGGGTTTCATTATTACCTTTTGATACATGCCTACAAGGTATTTTGATTATATTCTTGCTACTTTGGATTGCTAATTTAAAAAAATGTTTTTTCTGATCATTAATTAACAGTAGTAGTAATAATAGTAATAATAGCTACCATGTATAGCTGCTATTAAGTGTTGGGACTATTCTAAGAGCTCCACTGGTGGAGTGGCTCAAGTGGCAGAGTGCCTGCCTAGCAAGTATGAGGCCCTGAGTTCAAACTCTGGTACTATCAAAAGAAAAAAATTACAAATTAAAAAAAAAAGAGCTCAAAACACTGGAGACAATCCTCACGACAAACCTGCCGGTAGTTACTACTAGCCCCGTTACAAGAGAACCAAAGGCAGAGGTGAGCAGCTCCCCAGAACAGAAGGTCCCAGATCCTAAGGGCAATAGGACCAAAACGTGGGCTGGGGCTTAGACTTTTTCTAACCAATTCCTATACTGCTCACCATGCCTAAGTAAGGACATTTTGGAAAGAATGAAACATGTAAGCAAATATAAATTACAATGTTAAACCCCAGGAAAAACTATACAGCTATTTTCTTCTTTCTTTCCTTTTTTTTTTTTGAGACAGGGTTTCCCTAATGTAGCCCAGGCTGGCCACAAACTCACCATCCTTCTGCTCCAGCCTCCTAAGTGCTGGGATTACACCACCAAGCCTGGCCCAGGAATAACTACTCTTTTTTTTTTTCTTTAATTTTTTATTAGGATATATTCAGTGTACTGAATAACTAACTCAACGTAGTAATTACCTTATTCTTTTTCTATTCATAACTACAGAAACACATGCTTTTGTTCAAAATATGGGCCATACAAATATAGTTTTACCTCGTCTTTTCAGCTGTATTCCTATATTTAATATTATTTTAAAGCCTTTAGTTGCTACATAACCATGTTCCCTTTTTTTCAAAGTGACACAAAGTGCTCATTATAAACATCTGGAAAACACAGCAAGTGCAAAGGAAAACAAAACCATCTGCAATCCCACATCCAGAGAACATTCTAAGGAGCGCTTTTTTTAGGCATATGGACACTTTCCCCTATCACACAGACACTGAGACTTGCAACCTAACTCTTTCACTTAGTGTCATCAACCTCCCTCTGTGTCATCTGACTTTCTTCCATTATTTTTAAAGTTTTCGACTTTAATGCTGGACATCTGGATCACTCCTCACTCCTTGCTGTTATACAGAAATGCACAAACATTCTAAATGTTTCCTGTCAGCATGATCCTTCAATCCTGGCCTCTTTCTAGTCTTCACCTCCCAGACTCTACCGTGTGACACCATTTCCTGACTCTCTCCTTCCTTCCCTCTACTTCTAACTGTCCTGAAACTTCGCTGCTTTAGTTGCTAATGCATGACTTTCATCACAGCAGAAAAACCCTGGAGGAGGTTTTCCTGTCCCAACTACAAGCATGTCTTCTTTTCTTCCACTTCCCTCTTCCCTCCACACCACTGGGTACCTCACCTGCCAAGGGTCCAAGAAGCTATCTATAATGCTTCCAAATGGACCTGCTCTCCTTCCACACAGCTCCCACGCGCTCACCTGCTGCCAACACTTCACATTTGGCCTTTCCAAAGCCCAACACACTTCTCTGCCTGGTGCTACAACCCAATTATTTTCCTGAAACCGCCATCATCCTTCAGCATCATCCCAGATGCCTCCTGCCTCACCCTCTCCACCTGTCTTGAACCTGTCTATTCAGACCTGCAGGCCCTGCCTCACCCGGCTCCTAGCAGCCTGGGCTCTATCACAGTAGCCTCCTCGCTGGCATGCTTGCCAACCATTGTGCTCTTGTCAAAGCACAGGTTGGTCCTTGCTTATTAAAACACTTGAACAACTTCCACCTCCTTCAAATAAAAACTAAGCCACTTCCAGAGCAGGGCAAGGCCAGCCATGGCCGGCCTCTCCTCCCCACAGCAGACACCATCCACTCATCTTCCATTCTGCGCTGTTCATGCTGCACCTCTCCAGCCTCCTTCCTTGCTGGCATGAATCCCCCTGGGCCTGCAGGCATCTGCCCTCTTGTCCCTGCTCGTGCATTACTCCTCCAAGAAGGGGAGCCAAGTTCCCCACAAAATTATTCACATCGGCCTCACCAGGACTGCTCTGCCCGCTACTCACACCTATCACAGTATGCATCCCATGCACTGGATGTAACTGTCTGCTCATCAGACCACGAGGACAGGACAGGCCCTTTCCTCTTTATCTAATAACGTGACCATGTTTCTGGAATTTTGGTGTAAAGTTACAGTCATCAAGACGTCACACACTCTTGTTTGAAGCTGGAGAACCTTCCCACACTTCATGTTTCTCATTAATATATACTTATATCAGCTCACACTTGGACTCAACAAATTGTCCATTATATAATGTAAAGGCTAAAAGGGATCTTAGGAACTTCCCATCTAGTGATCTTGGCCGTGGGAGGACAGGTCAGAATCAGTAGGGAATATCGAGGGGTGATGTCCAGGACACACAAGAACCCAAAGGGAGAGTGGCAGACACATGTTCTTAAGAAGTCTCCCCGAATATGATCATCGACAAACCAACTGTGATCTTTTTCATGCAGGGCCAAGCCCACACCTCTTAGCTCAAGACCCTCGGCGCTTCGTGGTCTCCCCTCCACCCCGATAATCTCACTATTCAAAGACCTGCAGTTCCCTAAACAAGTTATACTAATTCACGCTCCTATGTCTCCGTGCAAGTTGCTTCGCTGAGAAGAGCACTGAAGCTCAAGTATTCGAGCTTGGTCTGTGGTTTGTGCCGGAGATACAGTGGCGACCATGATGGACACAGCATCCTTTATGAGTTAACAATGCCTGGTGGTACCAGCTACTGAGAAAAGGCCATTTACAAAGGCCTTTTCCACTGTCCATCTGCCAGACACGCAGCCATCACCATAGTTTGCGTTCCCTCTTTTCAGCACAACATTCTGGCCTCCCCTTGACCTAGACTAAGCTGGCCATCTTCCCCCAAATCCTTGCTCAATCACTGGGTTTTCAAGACCCATATCTAAAATACTTTATTAAACTCAAAATTTGATGCTTTACACACAAGATTGCAACTTCTTGTCCAGGTAGGTCTTACACATTTTTTGTACCTACTACTGCTAGAAGGAACTCAGTTGTAGAATTAAAAAAATGAACAGCTGAACACAGCTATCTTCTGAATCCTGTTCGTGACAGCTTTCTAATACTCATAGGATAAAGCACAAAGCTTCCCTAATCTGGTTCTAGCCCAATATCTAATCTGGTGTTTTTAACCCAGGCTGCAAGTTAAAGTAACCCGGGGAACTTTTTAATAGTACTGATTCCCAAGCCGCATCTCTACAGAGTCCTAGCTGACTAGGCTTGGGAGCAGTGCCCAAACACCCCAACTCTTAAAAACACTCCAAGTGACTCCTATGTATAGCTAAGACTGAGGGCCACCTGCTCTCTAACAGCCCTCCCTACATCCAAAGCTCACCCAGGAACACCAGACAGGGCCAGCCTGGCAAGGTTTAGATGAGCATCTCCCCCACTCAATTGGCCCCTCCCTCTGATGGCCAAACAGGCCCCTTCTGAACCTCTCCTTTGGCTGCTCTGAGGCTTCTCACTCAGTCACTGGACCCACAGTGTCCCAGGCACTGTTCTACTAGCTCAGAATGCAGCATGAACAGGCAGGCAACCACCACACTAAGAAGTACAGGACATTAAGCAAGGGCAGAGGAGAAATTGACAAGGCCAGTTCCTGAGTGATCGCACAGGAATGCGCTGGTCAGTGTTGCAGCCCTGACCTGCAGCACGGCCACTCTGTGGGAAATGTTCTCCCACCACACCGTTTCAAAGCTTCCCATGGAACTCTCCAGAGTTGTGCATTTCACAGGAGTCATGGGCACACAGAAGCCCCACCTTTTGTGATATATACACAACCTCCAAAACAGAGATCAGGGCAAGCTTCGGTAAAATAACTAGGGAAAGGTAAATTTGGTAATGGTCATTATCTTTATTTTTAATAGAATTTCATTTTAAATGTATATGATTTAATCTTTGAACTCGGGTCCTCTGGTTTCTGAGGCAAGTGCTCTACCACTTAAACCACACCCCTGCCCTTTTTGGCTTTAGTTATATTTCAGATAGGGTCTTGTGCTTTTGCCCATGTGGGTCTTGAACCTTGATCCTCCTATCTCTGCCTCCTGAGTAGCTGGTGGCCCTTAATCTTTGATTTTTAAGCAATGGCTATGTTTCACAATTGGCATGGAAACTCCATGAATACCTAACAATTGGCTCTGGTAAAACAGTACAAAATTGTCACAGCACACCACTGGAAAGACAATCTAAGGGATTAAGATAGGTCAAATGAGGAAGTGCCTTTAGACAACAGCTCCTGCAGACCTCTGTGAGGTGGTATATAATAGAGCCAGCAACACAGTGCTCTGCTACACAGAGGGGCGTGCTCACTGCCCGAGGGTTGGCTGAGGCCAGGCAGGCGAGATGGTGAGGTAAGAGCAGCAGTGACTGCCAAGTCACATACAGTCCGTGGAGCACTGTGAGGCATCTGGGTCTTTCCTTGACCTCTAACAAGGAGCACCAGTGGGACACCCATCCCACAGCTGTCTCTCCAAAGGATTTCAAGTACACCCCCGGCTTCAGCTACATTCCACCTGCTGATGACTGCCCAATCTACATATTCAGATCAGACCTTCCTCTGGTGCCATCATCCAACTTCACTTGGATGTCTCCCAAACCCTTATGATGTATCTGCTCCAAAACATAATCCACAAGTTAAAATCTCACATCTCAAGCTGTCACTGTTCTGCTACCCAGCTAAACCTGCTCCTATTACCCAGAGATCATCACCTGCCCAGTTGCCAAATCACAGAAACCCAACAGTCAAAACCAGACTGACCCTTTTCCTTAGCTACACCTCATTTAAGCTCCACCACATCTCCGGTTACTGCCACCGCGTCTTAACTGAGCTTCATGCTTGCACAGGAGATTCCTCTTCCTACAGTCTCTATCTAGTGAAAGAGGCTACCCACATACATCGTGCCAGAAGCCCAGCAGTCTTCCCAGACTTTCTACAGTGTGAATGGGCTTTCAAAAAGCTAAGCTTTATCCTTACAGGTGCATGAACACATTATACAAAGCTTCTTCAGGAAATATCCTCTGCCTACTTCCTCAGTTTTGTTTCTCATGTCCCCTCTACTTTACTGTTATCTAACTGATCAGTTTTCCCTCATGGGCAAGGCAGTGGCGTTCTTACAATGCCGAGGACAGTGTTTCCCAACCTCACCTACCATTCACACCTCAAAAACTCAGCTCAGTTGTCACCTTTTCTTAGAAGCCTTCTCCAAGTTTCCAAAGAAACTAGATGCCCCTTCCTGACTTGCACAACATGCTGTACTTGCTTCAATCAGTGCCCTAATCCCACTTAATAGTAACAACTCATTTACTTTTATGACTTCCTGTGTCTTAAAGGCAAGGCAGTCTTAGGCACCAAAAATGACTTAGGATATGGCAGGCACTCCTAATGTTTGCTGTTATCAGCAGCATCTTAAATATTTCTAAAGCACCACTTTCAGATTAGCAGAAAGTATTTCAAAACAAGTGTGGCTGATGAAGTAAGGCCAGCCTGCAGTAATAGGAGACACTTCAAGTTCAGGTTGTCATAAAGTAAAGCTGTGCAGTCACCAAGCTCAGCAAAAACTACCAGTAAGGAGAGGGCTGCTGTCCAGCAGCAGAAGCAGAAAATGCTCACATGCAACTGCCTTAGTCCTCCACAAGAAAAAGTCGACAAAAAAGTCTTTTTTTTTTTTTTTTTGGTAGAACTGCAGTTTGAACTCAAGGTTTCATGCTTACAAATCAAGCTGTCTAGTGCTTGAGCCACAACTCCAGTCCATTTTGATCTGGTTACTTTGCAGATTGGGGGGAGGGGGGTCTCAAGAACTATTTGCCCAGGGTGGCCTTGAACCATGATCCTCCTGATCTCAGCCTTCAAAGTAGCTAGAATTACAGGCATGAGTCACTGACAACCAGACGACAAAAATCTTATCTTTAAAGAATCATTGGTGAAGGGGGAAGTGAAAAACCAACTCCTTTGCAGTATACATGAAGAAAACTCCATTTAATTCAGAAACCAGTTTAAAGCCAAAGAAGGACTTAATGAACGCTGGGTCTTACACAACAACCTTCTTTTCCCACATGCCTGTTTTGGAGTAGCAGAGTCAGAAAACAAAGGTGAACTATCAGAGAACTATGGGGTGACAAGGTCAATGAGGAGAGAGGCTTAAGCAATAAACTTTAGAGAAGGCGGCAGTTAACAGCAATCACAAACCCAAAAGTTCTTAACAGAGACAGAAGTTACCCCATGTTCCAAAGAATACTGTCCCAATTTGAACGTGGTAGGATTCTCTTAAAAAACCGGGTTTGGGTGCCCCCTCCGCCCCCTCTTGGATTTTCCCTTCCATAGACCTTCCTGCACAAATAACATTACACTGTACTTAAATCGGGAACTAACTGCCAGGGCACGGACACATGCCTTTAAAAAATTCTTTGGGGCTGGGAGCGTGGTTCACGTGGTACATACAGCACCTGCCTAGCAAGTGCAAGGCCCCGAGTTCAAACTCCAGTACCAAAACAAAGGTGAAAATAAAATGCATTATTTCAATTTTCTCCTAAAATAGATAAAAATTAAGCCAAATCAGTTGCCCCAAGATGGTGCAATCCCAAAGCTTCCACCTCCCAACCCTTCACGAAACTTGTAAGCGACCAACGTTCTTTTGGAAAAAAACCAAAAAAAACAAGCGGACCCGTTAAAACCAGAGAGGGGTTGGGGTACAGAGGGTAGGCTGGAGAGGGGCTTGGGTGGCAATGGCACTCCTCTAAAACGACTAGTGGGAAAAGTTCGTCGATGAACGGAAGACAAAAAAGGTAAGAAAGTGCAGCGCTAGTTCCCCATCTTCCCGGGGCCTTAGGGACTCCAGCCGCACCCGGGCCGGGGGCTTCCCCCCGGGAAGGTGTGGGAGGCGAGAAGTCGCCGGGTCGGGACTCAGGGCTGGAGGAGACACGGGGAGGAACCGCCACCGGTTAACACCGGGACCAGCAGACACGTTTGCACACAGGCACAGCGACACGCGGTTGCCTTGGAAACCAGGCCGCGCACCAGCCCCTGCTCCGCGGGGCCCGGGGAGCCGCTTCTCCGAGCCGAGGGGTCGGAGGACCGGGGCCGGGCGGAGCAGTCCTGGGCGGGGTGGGGTGGGGGGGAGAGGCCCCGCCCGGGTCTCGGTCTCCTGGGCGCCTACCGCGTAGAGGAGCACGGCCGAGCCGGGACTGGTGGGGCCGACGGAACAGTGGGACTTAGAGGAGCTCGGAGAGTCCATGGCGCGGCTGCCGTCCAGGGCGGGCCTGGGCTCGTCTGCTACGCGGCGGTGGTGCAGCCGCTGGGGGCGGTTCTTCCGCGCGGGGCGGCCTGACCTCGCCCAGGGCGGCGGCACCCTCTAAGGCTGCCGCACGGGACCCCGGGCGCCGCCATCTTAGCCAGGGCGGAAGCCGCGCGGGACCTTGTGCGCATGCGCGCACGCCGCGCCGGAAGCGGAAGTGGCGGCCGGGAGTCGTGACCTACGGCGGGGGTCCGCGCGGACGCAATGGCGCCGGAGCCGGAAGCAGTTCCTGAGCTGGCGTCCGGGCAGGCTGTGCCCTCTGGCTCTGAGGCAGCCCTGGACACCCTGCTGCGGACCCTCTACGACCTGGGTGAGGCGGGCGCGGCCCACGTGGGCGGCATGCGCGGGGCCGCGGGATGCGCGGTGTCACCTGGCTCCCTGGCTGCGGGCCGGTCCTTGAGCGTCCGCTGGCTCACCCTGCCGCGCCATCCTTTCCAAGGCCTTTTCCCCACAAGTTGACGGACCTTGTGGTCTCCTCTTTTTTGCAGGGGACAGGGGGAAACTGGCTTTTGAACTCGGGGCTTTGCGCTTGCGAAGCAGGCGCTCTACCGCTTGAACCACTTTTCCAGTCCATTTTGCTCTGCTTATTTTCGAGATAGGATCTCCTGAACCATTTGTCCAGGCTGACCTCGAACTGCCATCCTCCAGGTCTCAGCCTCCCAAGTAGCTAGGATTACGTGTGTGAGCCACTGGCTCCCGGCTCTTTTTACGTTCCTTAAGGGAAAAAAGGAGATTAAAAGGCTCATTAGTGAAGATTGGCACCTGCCTGGCCTTTCAACAAGGAGGACGGCCCTTCACTGACGACCTCATATGGCAATCCTGCTTTTTAGGACAGGATATCTCTTAGTTTGAAGAAGTATTTCGAAGGCGCTTTTGTGTTTATTATGGAGTACTTGCTCAAAATTCTAAGCGCACCTACACAGTAAAAGCAGTAATTCGTAGGTTTGCAGACCTTGCTGTATACTACATGCTTTGCACATTAACACCCCCATAACTTTCACAGCAACCTGTGATTGTGGACCTTAAAGATACTGCCATTAATCCCGTTATTTCAAATGGAGAAACCAGCCCTGGAGGGTTTTTGTTTGTTTTGGCGGTATTGGGGTTTGAACTGGGCTTCTTCGCTTGCTGTGTGGGCTATCATTTGATCCACGCCTCCAGTCCTTTTTTTGCTCCAGTTAATTTGGAGAAGGGGGTCTCACTTTTTGCTCAGGCTAGCCTAGATTGCAGACCTCTTCCCACAGTAACTGGAATGACAGGTGCGCTCCACCATGTTTTGCCTTTTTTTTTTTTTTTTTTTCCCTGTTAAAATGAGGCCTTGTGAACTTTGTCCAGGCTGGAAGCACGATCCCCCATTCCTAGTAAGTAGCTTGGGATAACAGTCTGCAGCCTCGCCCAGCTGTTGGTTGAGATGGTGTGTCATGAACTTTTTGCCCAGGCTGGCCTCAAACCACAATCCTCCCAAGTAGTTAGGATTACTGGTGTGAGCCACTGGCCCCTGTGGTTAAAGAGTCTTGCTGAAGAGTACCCGCTAGTTGTTAGATTGAAGAGAGGCAAGAGAAGACAGGCTGTTCACCCTACTCTAGTAGTTTACAGGGCTGGGTTCAGCGCTCATTGACTTGTCCTGTGAGGGGTATCTCAATGCCTTGGACTGCTGGAGGACAGAGAAAACTTAGTCTTTGATCTTCAGAAGTTTAAAATCTAGAGAAAAAGACTATTCTGTAAAATCCTAAATAGTTTATATCTGCAGAGGCTGGAAATCGTCATGCTAGGAGCTCTGAAGGCCTGGACTATGCCTATTCATTTTTATATCCCTAGTGTCAGAGTTTAGCTGACTCTCAATAAATATTGGGTAAAGACTGATGTTTAGAGAACTCTTATGCTCCTACTGTAGGTGAGTAATGAGGTCTGGAATTTTGGTTAGAACTTTCAGATCGCTGGTCAGAGCCCGAACAGATGAAACAAACAGAAGATAGGGAAATTTAATAGAAAAAAAGGCATTCAAGGTAGGCCAGTCATCTTAGGTTCTCCATAATTCATAACTGAAAGAAACCAGGAAAACCATTACACATACCCATAATCCTAGAAAGTGTTAAACATTAGTATAGAGGCTTAGCGTGAACCAACTGGGCTTCCTAGCCCTGGGAACCATTGCTGAGATGACTGAGGAACAAAGGAAAAGATGACTGTAGTTTGGATTCTGTACATTGTGCAAATACTCTTGACTTGAAGGAAATGGGTAGCCTCTTTCTGTCACATGGTTTGGTATTAGTGTCAGCTAAACTGAAAATACTTGTTTTTCCTTTTTGTGTTTGAATAAGCAGAGACAGAGGCTGAAACAGAACAGAAAAGAGTCAGAAAGAAGAGAGAAAACAAGAAGAGAGACGTGGAGGCTGCAGCCTTCAAGGTAGCAGAGCCAGCTCCACTACCAGGCTGTCTTGTGAGACACCAGAAGAAGAGAGCATCCAGCTTTTTTGAGGAACTCAGAGAAGAGCTGCACTGTGCTGCTGTCACTCCCCCTGCTCCCCCGTCAGGACCCGAAGCCCCTGCCACAGTATTGTCTTCTACCTTCAAGAACAACAGGGAGCGAGTAGAAGTGGTAGAATTTTACAGCAAAAGTAAAAACAGGAAATTGAAGCCAGATCAAGATGAGCACACAAAGGTAATGATTTGGTTGGTTTATACAAGGTGATCAAGGCATTAGGTGACTCCCTTTATAGTCTCTGTCAGGTCTTCATGGCTACCCTCAGACCTGAGAATTTGCTGAGTGGCTTGTAGGATTCAGCACGTAGTTGTTATCCATCACATAGACATACAGAGTGACCCTGGTTATCAAGCTCTGGCCTTCCTTAGAAAAGTAGATGTTCACTGTAAATCTCATTGCTGGGCAGACTTGGTGCAGCAGTGGCTAAGGTCAGGTCTGCAGAAGCACTCTAGTCAGTGGAATATTGTAATTGCTCACTGCTCAGGAGCTGGCCAGCTACAGACCATGAAAATAGGACTGTCTCTGGAGTTTCAGGTTTGCTAAACCCAGACCTGCACAGCTAACCCTTTCCCACTTAAAACCCTTGTGCTTGCTACTCCTTAGAGAAAAACTCAGTTAGTAGCATCTCTTTCTGACATTCCCACTGTGTGGCAGCCATGGTCTGGGGCATAGCAGTGACCAAAATGTACAACATTCTTTGCTCTGAAGAACTTACCTTCTAGTGGAAGAGCACTGGGGTTTGAACTCAGGGCATCATGCTTGCAAAGCAAATGCTCTACCACTTGAGCCACACTTCCAGGTCGTTTTGCTCTGGCTATTGGCTCAGGCTGTCCTTGAGCCTCAATCCTCCCAGTCTCAGCCTCCCAAGTAGCTAGGATTACCAGTGCCCGGCTAATAGGTGGTTTTAACAAGCACTTTTTTCTCTGCAGACTAAAACTAGTATCCCTGAGAAAGATGTGGCTATTCAAGAATTTAATCTAGAAAAGGTATGTACTTGGAGAAAGTTTGTGTTTATATTAAATTTATTATAAGTTTTTTAATACATTAACAGATTTATAGTACCAAAAAATGAATATGTCACCAGTCTGATGGCTAGGTTGAAACAGTTAAGCAAATCCTGCTTCATTCACTTGATTGAGTATTGTGCACTCGTGTAATACCTGATGGCTTCACAACTACATGCCAGTGATACAGTGGTAGGTTAAAGGCAGGGATGTGTGTGTTCTGTGCCTATAACAGGTTTAAACTGCATAAGAAAAGGACAGGAGGAAGTAATTTGGTGGCTGAGAGTGGATGTTGGTGACATTGTCCACTTCCTTGTCGAAGCAGTCTGTTTGAGCTGCATGGGGAACACACAGGTTCCCCATGTGTGGAATATGTCTGCAGAGGTTTCTTTCAGCTGAAATTATTGCCTGGCAGTAAGGGGTAATGACTCCTTTGAGAGGGCATCCTAGTGCACCACAGAGCTCTGCCTCCAGTCCCAGCTCTGTGAGATTAAACGAGGGAGAAAGAAAGATATTGAGAGATAGTGGTGATATGGAAGGAGAGAGTCCATGGAGCCCCATCAGCCACAGCCCTGCAGAACTGCACTGCATGTGCATCCAAAAAGCACCACTCCTAGGAATGAATGGTTTTCTCCTGTGCAGCTGCGGGGAGGCGCGGGACAGACCCTGTTGTGTGTCTACAGGCGCGTTTGGAAGTACACCGCTTTGGCATCACAGCTATGGGAAAGGAAAGGAAAGAGTCCTGGAGCAGGAGCGTGCTATCATGCTGGGTGCTAAGGTGAGGGCTGCCAACACAGGGGATGCTGGGAGATATTTGTAGAATAAAAACTGATGATGTTCCCTGATTCTTTCACCTCAGCCTCCCAAAAATAGGTACGTGAATTATAAGGTTTTACAGCAGCAAATCAAAGAAAAAAGGGCAGCAAAGAAAGAGGAAAAGAGAGAGGTAGGTATGATGTAGTTGGTGCTTTACTCTTACACTAAAACAGAAAAATGGGGTGGCCTGCCCCAGGGGTGCAGGAAGCCGCTCCCTGGAAAGCATTCAGGACACCCCTACATCGGCCACACTCCGCAACACCGCTGGGGATCCAGTGTGCTCGAGGGGAGCTTGGGCTCGATAGCCAGGCTGTAGCTTGTGCTGCTGCCGCTCTGTTCTCTTCCTTGTGGTCATTCAGGATCCAGGGCCTGTGACACACAAGGAGAGACATGACACTCCCTCTTGCATCTGAAATGGAAGACTACTTTTTTTAGAATAGCCTTTTGCATTCTTGAAAAGGTTTCAGGGTGAGACTGTGAGTGTTATGTCTAATATGTCCACTTGAAAAAAGTCTGAAAACTAGAAGTAGCTTGGTGGCTTTTCACCACAAACCTCTTGCCCCTGTTAAAATCATTGTACCCTTTACTGACACACATATTATCTTAAATTCCGAAATCAGATCCAGGATATGGATATTTTCAAGAAAAAGAAGAGGAAAGGGCAGGAAGACAGGTGAGTGAGCACCTTGGGTGCCGGGCAGGACACAGGGTGACCTCTCAGTTCCGATGTGGCACCTCCAAGTGTTCAGTAATCTAGCGCATCAGAGTATGTCTCTGCCTCTCAGTTACTCCAGTCAACCCTGCAAGGGAAGAAGGGCTTAGGAACCCACCTGTGTTAGTCACTGTTGGGTAACTGTGACCCAGTGCTTGACAGACACAACTTAAGGGTAGAAGAATTGATTTTTGGCTTACGGTCTCAGAGGTACCAGTCCATTGTGGTGGGGAGGGCATGGCAAAACGGGCAGTTCACATTGTGGTGCCACAGAAGCAGAGAAACAGGGATGCAAGGAGGGGCCAGAGCAGGATACAGCCCCACCCCCCAGAGCTCGCCTCCCAGTGACCTATGTCCTCCACCTAGGCCCCCACCTCTACCTTTCACCTCCTGATAATGCCGTCCTATGACTCAACACAGGATTGAACCATTTGCTAAGTCAGTGCCATCTGTTCTGAACCCTCTCTGGAAATACCCTCACATGCACACCCAGAGGCGGGCTTTACTAACCTAGGCATCCGTCAGTTCAGTGAAGTTGACAGTCAAGATTGAGCATCACTGCTCAAGACCAAACAGCTGCCCCACACTGAATGCGAAGCCTTCTCCAGTTTCCACTGTCAAGCACCAGACGCCTTAGGTGCTGAAGATGGTTCTGCCCAACTCCCTTCTGTCATGGGAGCCTGCTGATGCCAGCACAGCTCCTATGCCGGTGTTTGGCGTTCTGCATGGTGGAGTACTGACCGCTGCCCAGTGCTTGCTTCTGAGCTTTCATTCCAGGCCCTTCCTCTCTTTCCCACTTAATGTTCCAGAAATGACTTGTTTTAGCCTTTTTTCTTGGATCCCTTCTGATGTACGAGCTGTAAAGTAGTCATTGTTCTGCCACAGGTGTCCGGTGGCAGCACATAGGTGCTTTAGGTGTTGGTGGCTGGTTGTGATCACCCTTAGGAAGCCCTGTCCTCTGGGATATGCATGATAGGGAAGGAGGCAACCTAGACAAAGAAACAGATAATCAGTGCTAGCCAGTACTGGCAAGTCCTGTGAAGAGGCTGCAGAGAGAGAGAGAGAGAGTGTGTGTGTGTTTACTTAAAAGTACTCATTATGCAAGTCCTGTGAAGAGGCTGCAGTGTGTGTGTGTGTGTGTGTGTGTGTGTGTGTGTGTGTGTTTTTTACTTAAAAAGTACTCATTATGCTAAGTCCAGTAGTGTGTTGTCAGAGCATCACTGGAATGAGTTGGGAAGTCACTTGAGGGAGGTGACAAGTGAAGAACTGAGCAAAGGAGGGACAGCCTAGAAAGAGCATGCAAAAGGCCTGAGAGGCCGCGTGTGGCTGCAGTGGAGGAGTTGTGCTTCCTATGCCTAACTGCCCATCCCTCTCACCTCGGATGTAGGAAATCCAAGAAGAAGAAGTCGGCCCCCAGCATCTTGTCAAGTGGACGGATTGGACAGGTTGGAAAATTCAAAAATGGGGCATTGGTTCTGAGCCCAGCTGATGTCAAGAAAATAAATTCTTCCCGAGTGGCCAAATGACACAAGGAGTGGGCACAAGTGGCTGACTTCAGTCTGTTTCCCACTCTGCCTTTTCATTTGAGGAAGAAAGCCAACACTTCACTCCTCGCCACCCACGTGTGTGGCGGGCACCATCCTGTCCTGGCTGCTATGTTGGTGTGCTTGCTGGCAGTACAGCTTTTGTAACTTGTCTCGTAAGTGCTGAGAATAACATTAACTTGCCTTTACAAGTTTTTAATAACTTAATGTTACCTTGTTATGAAAGAACCAAGAACTTAGTAATTTGTCAGCTGCATTGTGGAAAAGCAATTTTAATTTTCAGCTTGCTGTGTGTATAAAATCTAATTTGTAAGAAACTATATAAATAAAACACAACTTTTGTAGAATATGTGGCTGACTACTCACAGGCGGAGTGAACTGTTTTAAGTCGTTTCTTAGCACCTGCACTTCATTAAGTGCTGTATCCCCAGAGCCCTAGCTTCGTGCAGTTTTCTGTGGTTTTTTGGGTTTTTTGTTTTGGGGTGTTGGGGGGTAACTGGGGTTTGAACTCAGGGTCTTATGCTTGCTAGGCAGGTGTTATCACTTGAGCCACTCTGCGAGCTCTGTGATGGGTTTTTTCAAGATGGGATGTCACAAACTTAATTGCCTGGGGCCAGCCTCAAACCACAGTCTCCCTGATCTGTGCCTCCTGAGTCGCTGGGATTACAGGTGTGAGCCACCAGTACCTGGCTTGTATTTTTTATAATGTCTTCTTAAGGGGTCAGCAGCTTCTCAAAGATCATGACACGTTAGAGGGAATCTTCACTGACGGCAATAGTTTTGGCTTTTTTTTAATTGCCAAAAAGTTAAGATCCCAGCCTAGCAAATAATGCAGTTTTAGTCAGGAACCCGAGGAGTAGTCAGTGTCTGGGTTTCCATGGCTTTAAGCTGGCTCCAAGGCCTCACCAGAGGAACTCAAGATGAATGGTGCCAACAAAGTCACACCCAGGGCTTCAGCTTCCCACTTGTGTGGAAAGGCCATTAGGAAATATATTGGACTTTTCAAGAATGATAGAAAGTCTTAAACACAGCAAAGCACTAGGGAAACTCAGGAGAGCCTCATGAGCCATGGCGGCTCAGGCAATGAGCCCCAGGCTAGTCCCAGGTGTGGGTGACTTAAGTTTGCCTTCCATTCCATTAGCTGTCAGTATTTAAAGTTTTCTAAGCACTGAGTATCTTAGAAGCACTTAGAGGTTAAGGGGCAACAATAAATCCATAAGGTACAACAACCGAAGATCTGGCTTACTCTGGGCTCTTTATTTCCTGTTGGTGAAGTTTTCTCCAGCCAGGTCAGCAACAGAAGTGACCTGAAAGTCATCCAAGGGAAGATGGAATTGTGCCAAGGGCTGGCGATAGCCACATAGGAAAACACCTGGTGTCAGGGCCCTGGGCAGTTGGTCATTGCTTCCTGACCCTATACATACCTTGCCTTGGCACAGTTCAGTCCACACTTTCCTGCATGACCGTGTGGACAGCAGGGCTGGGGGAGATGGAGCCTGGACTCTCCAGGTAAGGGCTGCAGAGCTGCCCCCTCTGCTGGCAGATTAAGAAGGTGGAAAGGCACAGTCTTGACAACTAGGGGCTCTTGGTCAGCTCTTGCCTATTTGGACCAATAGTGCAAAGATGCAATGGCTTTTCTTTTTCTTTTTTTTAAATAGTACTGAGAGTTGAACTCAGGCTCTACATGCTTGCTAAGCAAGCCCTCTACCACTTGAGCCATGCCATACCTCCCAACCCCCCAGCCCTATTTGCTTTTAGTTTGCTTTTTAGATGATAAGATCTCTCACTTAGCCTGGGTTGGCTTCAGACTACAATCCTCCCACCTGCCCTCCAGGAAACTAGGATTCTAGACATGTGCCACCACACCTGGCCTATTGCTTACTATGGAGTCAGCCTGATGGGGAAAAGCAGATTTCTCACCCCTGACCCCACCTTCCCTGCTTGTACTCCCAGCACCACTCATCCTCCTACTGGGGCACCCTTCCCCAGCACAGCAGTAATGTGGGTGACATGTGCCTGGCTGCCAGGGCTGGGGTACCTTCTCCCCTCCTCCATATTCCACCCACCTGCCCTCCAAGCTGCCTGGAGTGAGGCATCTCTATATCCTCCCACCCCCATACCACAAATTACAGTCAGAGGTGTGATCAAAGTAGTGTCCCTGCCCTCCAGGGCTTATGCGGGTGTGAGTGACAGTGGTGACCTATGCAAAAGGGACATGTGCAGCCCTGGAGGGACTGCCTCCAGCTGTGAGGGTCTGGTCAGTATTCCTGGAGGAGGGGAACTCTGGCCGCGTCTTACCCACTTAGTTTTATTCACCTGTAGTTATGTGACACTCAGGTCTTGTGCTGGGTATTGCAGTTCGCTAGTGGACAGGACGATGGGAGGACAGGTTGGGGCAGACACACTGGTGGGCAACTGGAATCCCATGGGGAACCAGCTCCTGGCTGGGCCACCCTGACCCAGGGTGTCGGGAGCATACATGGGGTCAGTGGGGATGAGGTACAGTCAGGGAGGAGAGAACTTAGCCCTGCTTGCACAGTGCTCACCCCTCCCCTTCCCAAGTGATCACAGTCAATGAGCAGCCGTTGAAAGGGCACTAAAGGCCTCCAGTCCTTGGTCCCAGCTAGAGTTAAGCTGGCCAAGGCCTTCATTGACCCTCAATGTCTCCCTCTAGGGGAGACACCTTGGTTCCCACCCTAAGAAACACCCACACCCACTCTGAGTCTGCCTCCCTTAAGTTCTGACCTGCACCTGCCCTACCTACTTTGCCCATCTTGGAGTCCAGCAGGTAACTGGCCTCAGGGCCTGCTGGGACATGACATGGCTGCTTGTGAGGACCACTGAGGGACGCGGGTGGGTCAGACATGTGACTCTCTCTCGGTCACATGGTGAAGGGCCAGTTAGTCTCCTTAATGCTTGCCTTAGTTAGGATGGTTCCCCAAAGCTCAGTTTTTGTGTAGAACCCAGATCAGTTTTTCCTGGACGTACCTTTTTGTTGTTGAGAAGGTCACACTCTGTAGCTCCAGTTGGCCCAGCTGGGATGACAGGTGTGGCCACCACGCCCAGCTTGGATTTGTCTTAACCATATGTTGACTCGTTAGGTAGCTCCAGCCCTGTTACCCCATGACCTCCCTACTGTGGGACTTGATGCCTTACAATTCACGGTCATATGTGATCATCTCAACATTTCCAGGGCCCCCCAAGGCAGAAGCACACTGACCTGCTGCTACCAACACCTGCTGGTCCTCTGGGTGAGAGACCAGGTGCCTTGCCCAGGGGGGTGACCAGGACCAGTCTGAAGAAAGGCAGAAGTGGCCCTGAGCACTGACCAAAGATCACACCTGTCTCCCAGTTGTTGGCAGTGTCAAAAGAATTTATTTCAAACCTGCTTAAGAATGTGTTAAAACTCAAGTTTTCCAAAAAGTAAATACAGGAAGTTCAACCAACCCCCAAAGACCAGAAAACACAGTGTTTGCAATTCAAAAAATACAAACGCTTGTGGATACCAATACAAAAAATTAGAAAAAATTACTTTCCTTAGCACTGCCCACCCCTCCGTGTTTTTAGTGAAACATGACCAGCCACAGGACCAGGAGCTGCCACCAAATACCAACCACTAGGGACAGAAAGTGATGCAAGGGGGAGGGGCGAGGAGAGAGGGCAAGGAAAGGCAGGAAAACGGAAGTTCTGTCAACAGCCAAAACAAGGACACAGCTTTTTGCTTGTTAAATTCCTTTGCCAACGTTAAACAAACACCTCTCATGCTTAGTACACAGCTTAGTGCGAAGGCTGCAATTCTACGTCATGCATTTACATTTCTGCCTGCCAGTGCCCTGCTTGGTGCTGAGAAAGGCTGGGGCTCAGAAGTCCAGGCTCCTGGGGTGAGGACCTGAAAGGCCCGTCCCAGGCTGCTCTCAGAGAGCACACGCCAACACGTCCTGCTTCCACAGCCACCAGCAGCCCCAGCAGCCCCCTTTCAGCCCAGGCACCTGTTCCTGGCCTCTGCTCAGAGCCTTGCCCAAAGGCATGGTCTCCGTGTCGCCTTCTGATCCTAAGCTCTGACTAGGCCAGGCCCCCTTGCGAATAATTCGCCTCCAGACAAGACTTCTGTAGAGCCCTCTCCCAACTCACCACTGAAGCCAACCTCATTCACCCCCTTCCCCCCCATGGCATAGGCCAAGAAGTCCTACAGCCACCAGTTGTCTGAAAGCAACCTGTGACCAGCCAGCCCCTTTGCTCCTTAGGTTCTAGTCACTTGCATCTTACGTCACTCACATGCATGACTTTCACAGACAGTCCCACTGCGGAGAGCTCGGGAGACGGGACAGACCATGGGTGGAGGAACTCCTTGGACTCCAGAATCAGGTAACAGAGTTGCAGAAGGATGCAGAAGGCCAGGGTCACCCCTCTCCTTGCTTCAGCTGCCTTCAGCACGCCAAGGGGATTGCTAACAGGTGCCTGTTCAATGCATTGAGAGTTCACCAACCCAGGTCTCACCAGGAAAGGATGTGCGAGTTCTGTGGTCACACGGAACTGGTCTGAAATGCCTCTTGCCTCTGCAAAGCCAGGCAGCTGTGTAATAAATAGTTGTGGGGTCACGAGGAGGCTTGGGTGCCAGACACCATGGTCAGAGGGCTGGAGAATCTCCATACAGGCTGTGAGCCATCAGCCAGACTTAAGAGATGAGAGACCGGGCTTTTTTTATTGTTTTTTATGAGCCTCGTGAGGTAGGTTAATTATGACTAATCCTATTTGCAGGCAGGGATAGTGAGGCACAGAATTACCCTCCCAGGTATGCCTACACCGTGGACCAGTGTCAAAGCCAGGCTCAGAGGTGACTGTCTCAAGCTGCACTTGGTGTCTGCCCAGTTCCTCCTGCCCCACACCCACCCTTGCCTTTGCAGCACACTTACCTAGGCTGTCCGGACCCCCTTCAGGGAGGAACACTGAGGAAGGCTAACAGTGATAGCCACTACCGGCCCCCTTGCAAAATAAAAGTCCTGAGGTTTCCCAGGGTCAGCACAGACTTCGTTAGATATTTCTAACACTATCTGATTTGATTTCTTCAACCAGTCATGAAGAAGCTCCTGTTGCTTCCAGTAAAATATGCAAGGAAGTGATGGTCAGGAGCTTTTCTTCCCAGCAGGGGAGGTGGGGATAGCTGGAATCCTCAGTGAGCCCACACAGGTTGGTTTCTGTTTGTGGCTCACCCACTTTTCCTCACCTGCCCAACTGAAGACCTGAGGTGAGTCCTGGTCTTGGGTTGGCGTGAAGGCCGGCAGCTTTGTGACACAGGCTTTCCTGAACACAGGAGTGAGTGACTCCATGTCTCTGAATGTCAGTACACACCAAAGGCATGACTTAGAGGTCCCCAACTGGGACAGCCCCCAGGGGACATTTGGTGACATCTCTAGATATCTGTGCTTGTCACCAGTCATTGGGATTGCTACTGTCATCTGGTGGGTGGAGGCCAAGGGTGCAGCAAACGTCCTCCAGTGTGCAGGCCTGCCCCAGAATGTCCAAAGATCTGGTGATGGTGTTCTATACCCATGTCGAAACCCAAAGAACTTCACCCGTGTGCCCGCCCTCCCAGCTCCAGGTGGTGTGGGACTGGCACTGGCCACTGCTGCTGAATCGCATCATCTGCGGGGAGGACCAACCCTTCCACTCACAGTAAGATTTAAGGCTTAGGATGCAAAAGTCTCTGGAGGCAATGCACGTGGATCCCACCTTCGGTCCTGACTTGAGAGTGCTCAAGCAAGGTTGGGCACCGCAGCGGGAGGAATGGCTTGGAGACGGCAGCCGCCCTCCTTCTTCTGGGGGCTTCATGGTGTTTCCAGGCTCACTGTGGAAGCCTTGGGAGCCATGGGGCAGCTAAGGGCACTGTTAGAACTGCAGAGCACACACAGGGCTGAAGATGCTGTTGACACCATGTGCAGTGTCATGGTGTCTAGGACAGCAGGTGGGTGCTGCTCTTCCCTGCCGTGAGGGAGGAGCTGGGGTGTTGCATGGGGTGAGGGCCATGGGGACTTCCACAGGAGGTTACAGGAACCGCATAAACTTTGGCCAAAGTGGCTCACTAGCAAAGAACACTGCAGAGCTAAGTTACAGAGGCGTTATTTACAACGCAACCAACTGGACATTGTTAGCTACTTGGAATTCTCTTCTCCAGGAAACTGCTCGACAGATTTACACCAGGTTACTCCTCAGCCAGCCCAACCAAAACTTCGTCCTGGTATCGTTTATGTACAAGAATTTCGTTCTGTTGCAAAGCGGTAGGGCATTTGCTGGGATCAGAATCCCGTGCCTTGGCTGTCTTCCTGCCGTGAGGGGTGACGCTCCTTCTTTGCTTGTTTTCAACCCTCAGTTCAGAACCTTCTCTCTCAGTGCGTTTTTGTCCCTGAAAGCTGCTTTGTGCTGAATGTGGCTGTGCTGAGCCATCTGGTGCTGTCCTGGCATCAGATGTGTATTGCTTCTGAGATCTGGGGAGAGGCAGGAAGGGGAGATGCCCAGCTTCTCACTCTACTCGTGGGGAGTACTACTCGTAGGGAGGCTGCTCTTCTTTGAATTTCAGGGAACTTTTTTCTTTTTTTTTTTTTTAACTTCCCCAAATATGGAACACTTCACGAACTTGTGTGTCATCCTTGCACAGGGACTAGGCTAATCTTCTCTGTATCATTCCAATTTTAGTATATGTGCTGCTGAAGCCAGCACTTCAGGGAACTTTCTGAAAGAGGCCACCTGAAGGGCTGAGGACAGCTCGCCCAGTATGTACAAGACCATAGATTTGAGGCCCAGCATGTTGGAGTTGGCTTGTGGGCCTTCCTTTCTTTGAGTCTGCATCTCCCAGAGGGTATTAACAGTCTGGGGCTCCAAGCTGCTTTTGCTCCAAAGACAAACGATTGCCCTACAGACAGGCTCCCTGGTGACCCCAGCTGTGGTGAATGTGGGGCTCTGCAGCCTTCCTTCAGCCTCCCCCCCACCCCCACAGCTAGCCTTCCCTACTCTATTCTCCAGGGCCATTGGACTGTTTTCCAAAAGAGAGAACATCCCCAAAGCTGCTGGCATCTGCGCCTGCCAGCCACACCCCAGCTTCCCTTGCCTCAGAAAGGTGGCAGCTTGCCTGGTCTTCATCTTTAAGCATCTGGCCAGGGCCTCCAGGAGCTGTAGCTGTGGTCGAAGCTGCTGGAAAGGGACGGAGGCAGGCAGCTGAACCTCTGAGGACAGGGCTGCCCAGTTCTGTTGTGTTAGCTACCTCCAGGGCTCCGGGACAGAAGCAGTGCCAGAAAACACTCACCAGGAAGAGAGATGAAGAAGAGGCAATATCTGGACCTGGATCTCCACTGATCAGATGGTTCTGAGGCCTGGTGTGGAGGCTGGAACACAGCACCAAGCAGCTCCTGGTGACACAGGACAGCTGGCCTTGCCGGCCACATCTACAGAGATGGAGGGGCACAAGGGAGAGCTTTGAGGTAGTACTGTCAGACCTGCCCAACACAGCAACAGATACTCAGAAGGCAGATGTATGGTCTGAAGGAGGACAGCTGAGGAAGCACAGTTGGTGCCGGAGTGCGAAGACAAGTCACTCCTCAATGTCAAACAAAATGCCTGGTAAAAGGGACTCTTTAAAAAGGAGAGAGCTGGAGGCAGCAGGAGACAGGGAAGAGAAACAGTACTCTGGGATCTGGAGGTGGGATGACCTCATGGACCTCAAGGGCAAGGTGAGCGCATTCCCAGAGCCCTGCTGCCCCTCAGGACACAGCACATTCGGGTGCACATGGGAAGAGACAGGTGCAAGGTGCCGCCCTCTAGTTCCAACCTTCTTCTGAGGTCCCTCCTTCCCCACCCATCATGGCAGAGCCACCACTGCCTGCCACGGGGGCTACTTCTTGTGACCATGGTGCTTTCCTGATGACGTTGGGGGTGTCTCGAGGCAAATGGGAGTATTGACATGATCAGAAGATTCCCAGGCTCTCCAGCTTCAGTGCTGATTGGTCTAAGAATGGCCCAGCTCAGAGAAACAGCTTGGATGCATTTCCCGGACACTTCTCAGGAAGCCAGTTCCAGAAAAGAGCTGCCACCAGGCAAGGACATGTCACAGTTGTTCACATTCCAGTGTTGTCATTTATGTCTAAGAACTGAGTGGGTAAAATTAGCAGACTGTTGCGTGTGTGTGTGTGTGTGTGTGTGCGTGTGAGAGAGAGAGAGAGAAGAGAGAGAGAGAAGAGAGAACATAACTAATTGATTAGTAAAAGTCCTAAGGAAGCCCTTTTAAAAGGTTCTCAGCAGTTCAACGAGAGGGACAAACATTAATGGCGTCAATCATCCCTTTCTTTCCCTCCTTTAGTCCTGAATTAGGTCTGCAGAGGTGCATCACACACTGAAGGCTCCAAGGACCAACTCCACCCTGCAGAGAGGCCAGCCCAGGACATGAAGCAGAGCAGAGTGCCCACAGGGCTGACACTCAGGCACAGGTGACACTGCAGTTCCCTAACTCCCTCTTAGAATGCCAGTCTCAAAGGCATTCTCAAAAAACAAGTTTTGCGAACAGATGGCAGGAATCGGACATGTGCAGTTGAAGGTCTTCTGGAGACTGCACTCAGGAAAATCTCAGGCAGTGAGTGTCTGTGAAGCACGCATCTCTACCCACCACTGACGGTGGCAGCCACAATGTGGCCTGTGGACGCCTTCCCTGTTCCCCAAAGAAACCATCTCCAGAGGTTCAATGATGGCTGGGCTGCATCCAGGACTTGTTGACCCTGCCCTCGGGGGTTGTTCCAGTTTGGTGAGGGCGACATGGCTCTGCCTGCAGGTGCCTCTGTCACAGCCGCTGGACAGCAGGTCTGCCACGCTAGTTGCCTGGCAGCTTTGGCCGCCCCAGGTTCGTTGGCACTTCCAGTCCTGTGTGCAGGGTGACCTAGAAAAGAAGGTGGGACAGGCTGGGGACATAGCTCAGTGGCAGAGCACTTGCCTAGTATGTGCAAGGCTCTGGGTTCCACCCCCAGCACCAAAGAAAGGAAGAATAAGGAGAAGGACAAGGAGGAGGAAGACAAGGAGGAGAAGAAGGCACCATGACAGCACAGTGGTCACACTGTGTCCTCCGTGCTCAAGGGCTAGTGCAAGCAACAGCCCAGGGCAGCTCTGCACTGTGGAGTTGGCAGTTGGGGCCACTCCACATTGCCAAGGTCCTTGTCAGCTTGTGCCTGTTTCCTCATAATAAGAGCCACACAGCTGGCTGAGCAGGTTCCCCACTTTACCAGCAGCAGCCTGGTTCTCGTGGCCATGTTTGCACTGTCTTTCCTTGGCCTCCTTCCTGGGGCTGTTCTGTTAACTCTGAGGACTAACAGCCCACACTGCAGCCTGCCTCAAGGCCTTTTGCAAGAGACTGGGAGTGGCTGTGAGGACTCACCAATATGAAGAGCAGTAGGCACCACAGGCAAGTCCCTGCCCACCCCAGGGACAGGAGGACTCTGTTAGAGTTGGTTCTCCTCTCCCACACACCCTCTGCTCATGCATTTTGTCTGCTTCAGGCCTCCTGTGTCAGTGGCACTCCCCTAGGACAGGCCTGGCCCTGAGCTCTGCCCCTTACAGGCTGTGCCCATGGAGCCCCTGCCCGATCAAGTGAACAAGTCAGAACTGACACAGCAAAGGCCACCTTTGCTTGAGTGCCAGAGTGCCTGGTGGTCACTGTGGTCAGCTTTAGATCTACTTTGCTCAAGCAGCAGGGAACAGCCAGACTGGCTGTGGCCTGGAGGGGTGCTAGTTACCTGTACGTTGCGGTTGAGGCTGAGGGCCGGCATGAAGACCCCGTCCACGTGACTGAAGGCTGTGGGACCTTGTTGCTGCCCATTGATGAAGAACGTCAGGGTGTGCTTGTTTAAGTCCAGCAGCACCCCGACAGTGGCCCCCTTGCACACGCCGCCTTCGGTCCTGGGAAAAGAAGCCCCAGGAAAACCCATCACCACCCCCATCTCGGGAGGTAGTTATAACTCAGGAGCACTTACAGGATGCAGGATTCCCTCAGCTAACACCAGCCCCGGATGAGCTGGCAGGGCGCATTCTACTGACCACAGGAAAGATTCTGTGATCTTTCTCCTGCAGCAAACCCACACGCCAGCGGGCCACACAAGACTGGCTTGTTCAACCCCTTCTTTCTGACAGCATCTGAGCTCTGCACGCCAGGGCATTGGGGTTTGGATGGGTAGGCCCCACCTGCAACCATGGAGCATGAAGCAAGGGCACAGAAGTCACGAAAGGAAAGGAACTTGGTCCCCTTTCTGGTTTTAGCTCTGTGAGGGTGCTGGGACCGAGGGAGGTGCAGACACCCAGGCCTCCAGGACATTCTGAAATGCACCCACCCTCTTCAGCTCACTTCCCCAGAACCATGGTGGGTCCCTAGGGGCACCGAGTTGGGAGTCATGTCCTCTGAATCACCATACCCTGTTGGATGACCAGGGGTGGAGAGCTTGGCGAATGTCAGTGGTGTGCGTTGTGGTGAAGGTGTTGGCGGAAACAACTGTATCCTCACTCTAAGGGAGGAATGTGGAAACCTGGCTGATTTTGCCTTTGACCCATCAGTGGACTCTTCCTTTAGCTGAGCTGTTAGCATTGACCTTGCTGGGCCCTAATAGGAAAATAGCTTGTCCCTCCCGGTTAGGACAGAGCTGGGGCAGAGGTGAGCACTGAGCAGGGCTTCTGACAGGAATCCTCGAAGAGGACTTGGGGGGCCAACCAGGAGGGTCTTCCTGGAGAGGGTGGGTGTCCTGGCAGGTGCCAGGGTGGCGCCCATCTAGCTGGGAAACAGGAAATAGAATTGAACTGTTACTGCTATTTGGACACTGACCACCAGGTGGCAGTAATGACCAGCGTGCCGTGCAATAGTGATTCCCACACGGACTCAGCCAGGAGCCGGGGTCAGTGCTTAGAGGAAGCAGCAGGCCTCCATTGGGACTGAGCTAGTTCTGGTGGGAGGGGGTGCAAACAGGGCGAGTCCTCTCTCTGCTCTCTTCTGGTCTCCACTCCCCTGATCCTCTATGGAGGACCAAGGAGCTGGCAAGGGCAGCAAAGGCAGCTGGGGTGGTGTGGCACCCACACCCTGTGGGCAAGGTTGGGGTTGGGCAAGTGCCAAAGAATCTTGTGGCTGGGCTGTTGTCTAAAGTGTCTGCCGGTCTCTCTCCCCGTTCCTTCCCTTCTCCCCCCACTTTTTTTTCTTTTGAAAGAAAGGCTGTATTTTTATTGGGTGGTAATTATGTTTTTTACTTTTGGGGTCTTTTTAAAGTTAGCGTATATTAGTTGTACAAAATAATGTGTTTCATTATGACATTTTCATACCATCCTCTCTGTTTATAACCTGCCTCATAATCTGGGAAATGGAAATAGTAATAGTCTTTTAGGAGGACCAAGCAAGATCAGGTAGGTCAGGAGCTTCCCAAAGTGTTGGGCAAAAGTTAGCACTTGGTACGCGCTCCTGGTTATTACTCCCTCTAGGACATGGGGATCTGGCTGCTGGTTTGCTTAAGGGAGCAGAGATGGAGCTGATGGGTCTGTACTTGGCCCCTCCATGGGCTGGGGGGGGAGGAGTGGTCAGCCTGCATTGGCCAGTAAACCTGTACCACCTGGTCAGCCTGCGTCACCTGGTCACACTGCGGCACTCAGTCAGTCTACGGCAGTCAGTCAGTCTGCAGCATCTGGTCATTTCGCAGTACACAGTCTGCCTGCAACACCTGGTCAGCCAGAAGCACCCAGTCAGCCTACAGCACTGAGTCAACCTACAGCACCCAGTCAGCCTCTAGTGCCTGGTCAGACTGTGACACTCAGTCAGTCTACAGCACTCAGTCAGCCTGCAGCATCCAAGCATCCTACAGTACCTGGTCAGTCTGCTGCATCTGGTCAGCCTATGTCACCTGGTCAGCCTGCAGCACCCGGGTAGAGTGTGCAGAAGGACCAGGCTGCTGGCGAGAAGGGGACTACTAGGAAAAAGATGGTGGGACTGCATGGACCCAAGGGTCTTCAGGCAAGTTCCTGGCCAGGCTGGACCTAGCTCCCTCAAGAGAGGCTGGTTCCTTCCCTGCAGGGAAGGTGCTGGGGCTGATTGCAGGAGCTGTGTGGAACCAGCCCGTGAGAGCTGCAGGACACACCCTGTAGGATTTGGGACCTGGTAAGGTGGACTCCTTGAGGCTTCTGTTCCCCAGGCAGCAGCAGGGGTCATCCCAGGCAAATGCTGGCCATGGCGGTGGCACCTGCCCCCTCCATGGGGAGAAAGGAACTGTTAGTGCTGTGCGTGACTCAGCTTGGCCTGCTGCTTGTGAAGGAAGGTGGGCAGAACCAGGCAGACAACCACAAGTGGGTACCCAGCAGAATCCCATTGTGCAGCTGCTGGGGTGACTGGGAGACCTACTGGGTCAGGGGTAATTCATAGGAAAAATGGTCACTTCTCCTTGGTCATTTTCAAAGCCACCAGGAACTGGGGACCAAAGTGCTAAACATGCCTCCTTCCCCCATCCCGATGCTTGGCCTTGGGGGAGTGGAAGGGACACTGAACACCTGCCTCTTTGAGGCAGAGCGGGCTGCGCACCTGTTGGTGTGGGAGTTGCAATGCATGAACCAGCTGCGGTTGTTGTCCACGTACATGGCCCAGGCTTTGTCATCCTTGCCCAGCATCATGTCCTTGACCACGCTGGCCCTGGCCACCCCAAAGGCGGGGTCTGGGTGGTTGTCATACCGGTCCACATGCAGCTCCCAGTAGTGTACGCCCTTGGAGAAAGCAGCCGTGCCCAGCACCACCCTGTCATCATAGCTGCTACAGGTCGCTGTCTGGTTGTCATTGGATAAAATGATATCCCGGTGCCCAGAGTTGGGGTCGAATGTGAACCAGGCCACTGGGAAGGAAGGAGTTACGAGGCAGAGGGTCAGGTGATGGAGTTTCTAAGGAGCTCAGAGACAGGCTTTACTTGCTTCTATCAGAAAGTCAGCCCAGCAGCCAATGGGTCTCTGTGTGGGAGGCGCGCGCACACACGCACACGCACACGCACACGCGCGCACACACACGCACGCACACACGCACACACATGCACGCACGCACACACGCGTGCACGCACACACGCACACATACACACATGCACACACATGCACACACACGCACGCACACATGCACGCGTGCACATGCGCACACGCACACGCGCGCACACACACACGCGCGCACACATACACACACGTGCGCACGCCCACGCACACATGCACACGCACACCCACACACGTGCACACACGCACACACACAGGCACGCACACGCACACACGCACGCGCACGCACACGTACACACCCACACGCACATGCACGCACGCGCGCACACACGCGCACCCTGCTCTGTGTTCCTCCAACAGCTTCTGTAGGAAGCACACATATGCACATGCACGCACACGTGTGCAATGGTGACCGCAGAACTCAAGGCAAGAATGAATCTGGGCCTCCACGGGGAGGCCTGGTGCTCACCGTCAGACGTCTGCAGGACGACGGTCTTACTGTAAGGCCCGACACCGGAGGCGTTGAAACCTTTGACCCTGGCGTTGTAGGTGCTGTTGAAGTGCAGCCCATCGATGGTGCACAGGGTCTCCTTACCCACGTACACTTCCTGGAAGAGCCATGTGTGCTCCTTAGCCCTCGAGCATTTGAAAAATCCCTCCTAGCAAACGCTGCCGGGTACACACTGACACTGGAGGTGCCATCACTCCCCAGAATTGTCCAACCGGGGACATTGGAACCCATCCTGGTCACCCTGGGAGACCCCAGACCTTGCCAAGCTTCCCACTGGCTGGCTGGCCCTCTGCCTGGGAGGCAGCGGGGAGTTCAGGGTCTGGGGATGGAGTGGTGATATGTCTGCAGCCAGGTGGGACATTGCCCAAGAATGACCTGTCTTCTGCTGGGGTCAACCCTGTCCGAAGACTCTGGAGCCCTGGGAGACCTTGACTCTGATGTCCCTTCCAGTCCTGCAGTAGGTGTCCTCTGCTCCTTGGCTCCATTGGAGCTGCCATTTTCTGGTTCTTCCCACAGGGTGAGATGTTCCCACTCCAGGCTCCAGTTTTCCTTTTCTAGGGCTCAACTTTGTTCCCCAATTGCTTCTAAGTTTCCTTGGCCCTACGCACCCCCTGTTGCAGTGTGGATCTGAATTGTCCCAGCATTCGTGTGTGGAAGGCTCAGTCCCCAGTGCGGCCTCCCTTTAGGAGGTGGGGGGTAATCAGTGAGTCAATCCATTGAAGAGCCCACAGTTTAATGGGTTTTGGAGGACGGGCTCTGTTAGAAAAGCGCTTGCTCCCTTTCTGCTGCCTGGTCGTCGTGAGGTGAGCCCACTCCCCATCATGAGGCTCCATCCCCACAGAGCCTGAAACAAGAGCCAAGACTGGAGCCTCCAAAACTGTGAGTCCATCCTTCCCTCCCCTTGAAGCTGACTTTCTCGGGTATTTTGTCACAGAGATGGATGGCTGACTACCAGCCCGTTCCGTGTCCTGTCATGCAGTCCACGCTGCTCGCTCTGTCGGAAGCCTCTTTCCTGCCTGCCATTTGCGGACTCGCCCTTGACTTCCCATTATTGTCAGTAATTGCTGCGTGCTGGTTGCTGCGTGGCTGTGTGAGGTATCCGAATCACACACCTGGGGCACTATTGGTCCCTGTTTTACACATGAGGAGGCCTGAAGAAGGGGGGCCGTGGGCCCAGGGTAGCAGCTAGTCCATCTAGAGGTGGAGGCTCACAGCCGGGTCTGTCTACCACCGTGTGGCTGGCTGTTCCTCTCGAGCCTCCCTGGCATCTTGCTTTGTCGTGGCCATGCTCAAAGGGGAGCTCTGGGGACTGCTCGCAACATCTCCAGCTTTGGCTCTGCTGCATCCTGGTGTCTGGCGGGGTCACATGCACACAGAGGGCAAGGTCTGCACCACACCTCCACCTGCCCTCTGTGCTCAGGCTACCTCCCCTGACTTCCAGATGGGCGTCCACACAGGCCACAGGAGTTCCCAAGGGTCTGCCACAGTTACTGCCCCAACTCCTTCAAGCTCACACGTTTCAAATGGAAAATGAAACGGCGTGCACTATAAGTCCCTTTCAGAGAAACTAAAGGGGCTAGGGTCGTAGCTCAGGGGTGGAGCCCTTGCCTGGCTCTACATAGGTGAAAGGCTCTGGGTTCTAGCACCGCAAAAAAGAACCAAAGTAAAAAACTTTTTCTCCAAGAGAACTAAAGGGGTGCTGACCCTTGGCTCAATGAGTGCAGCTCCCTGGGGAAGGAAGACAAGAATTGTTTTAAATTTTTTGAGACAGGATCTCACCATGTAACCCAGGTTGGCCTGGAACTCACAATCCTCAGCCTTCTTACCTGCCTCAGCCTCCTGAGTGCTGGGATTACAGGCATGGCCTCCACACCTGGCAATTCCTTTTTTTTTTTCTTTTTGTGGTGGTGGTACTGGGATTTGAACTTAGGGCTTTGGGCTTGCTAGGAAGGTGGTCTACTGCCTGGGCTGAGAATTCTTAATGGCTGTGGAGTTGTTAGCACAAGCCTTCAGTTTTCTTGGGCTGGAAAGGAGTTGATGTGAGTGGGCCCAGGGCTGTGCTCCATGGCACATGTGCACCTGAACCTTGCCATGTGGCACCTCGGGCTCCTCTGCTGGGCTCTGGGCTGGGCTGGGGCAGTTCTGGTTGCAAGCACATGAGGGAGAAGAAGTACCCCCCCCAGCCGTTTAGCCTCACAAGAGCCCTTGCTATTGCCACGATGGGCCACCCAAGGGTGTGAGTGTAGTGTTGTCCCAATCCAACACTCTTTTGTCATGTGCGTTCTGCAAGCCTAGCGTCTTGCCATGTATTCAAGGCCCATGGGAGGTTTTGCTGCAGAAATGCATGCCTTCCCCAGACAAGACCCCTACCCCCACCCCGGTAGGTCAGTGAGCCAGACAGATGTGATGTGACCACACCTGGCAGGGAACAGGTCGCTGTATGAGGGAAGGGTATATGGAAGGTGGGGGGGATGAAGACTGCCCACCGCTGGGCTGGGGTAATCAGGGAAGGAGGGGCACAGGTGACATCTCCTCTGAGCTCTACCTTGCCCCACACCTGTGTCAGTCCTTCCCCAGTATTCCTTGCCAGACACTTCTGCCTATGGCTGGGTCCAGAGCCCCTGAGGTAGGGAAGCCCCATTGCCCATGAGACAAACCAGCCAGTTCCCTTTGTCCTTGAGGCCAGGGCTCTTTTCTCAGGATGGCATTGAGTTAAGACAGGCTGGGCCACTCTGGGCCTGTGCGTTAGGGCCCCCAGTAAACGGTGATTCTCACCCGGAACTGCCCCCCATCGCCGTCATCCAGCTCCAGGATGTAGCCGTCCGCGGGGCTGTGGGTGAAAGGCGGTGTCCTCCAAGCCAGGGTGACACTGTTGTTGCGGGTGCAACACTTCTCCAGCTGAAGCAAGGGCCCGGGTGGCACTGTGACAGGGATGGCTTCGGTCAGTTCACAGCCCCCTCTGCAGGCTCCAGCCCATCCTGGCCCGTCCCAGGGGCTCCTGGCCCAGTGGACAGCAAGGCCGAGTTCTGTCACTAACCTGTGGCCACTCCCATCCTCAGGGTGGGCTGGAGATGGGGAGCAGATGCCTATTTCCTTCCTAGCCCTGGGGGTGTCCTGACATCGCAGGCACTGTGGATGGCTCTCCCCAGGGAGCCTGTCCCCTGAGGAAGGAGGTCCTCCCCACCTACATGGGACTCTAAATGGTCGGGGACTAGACCCAGGCAAGAAATGGAGTCATGGAGGACTGGACAGACAACTCAAGCAACCAGGAATCAAATCAAGTTTGCCCTGAGCTCCCTTAAGCCGGGAGGGAGAGATGTGTGTGTTTCAGCTCTGTTCAGGCTCAAGATACATTAGAAGTTGACATAGCCCACCGTGACCTTTTTAAAAAGGGAAAATGGCAAAATTGGTTCTGTACAAACTGCCTTTTTCAATTTGGTTCCAAGCATGGGGTCTCTGTCTCCCAAGTGTTAGCTGACTGTGCAGTTCGGTGAAATCTGTCTTGATCACAGTCGTGCTCTCAGGCACGAGAGCAAGTGCAGCCTGGCCCACCCTTGGCTTGGCACAAGACGCCCTTCTCCATCCTTTCCTGCTCCTGCCCCTGAATCCTGCAACCCCACAGGGCAGGAGCAGCACCTGGAGCCCCCAAGCCTCTCCCCCCTGGTGCCCCCACTTTCCTGGGCTACCCCTCCCTCCACCATAACCCCCCTCCTCTGACTCCAGGGCATGACAGGTCCTCCCACTTCTGCACTGTGTCTCATTTACACCTGGGCAGGTGGCATTTCCAAACCTCACAAGGTGCAAACTGTGTGGGAGTGAGCCTGGGGTGTTAAGAGACCTGTTTTCCATAGTTTAAAAACGGCCACAAATTCTGCAGGTCAGCGCTGCCTGAGCTCACAGATTCTGCAGGTGTAGCCTCAGTCCACATGGAACGGCTGTATTTCCCCCAGAAGGTGCCCTGGGCATTTCTGGAGAGGCAGAGAGTAAGACAGGCTCTGGTTCTGGTCAGCACTTGCTAATTTTGCTACCAGCTGACTTGTGCAAACTGTACTTAACCCTTTGCTGTTCGTCCTCCTTGACTTTCTGAACCTGGCTTTCGCCATCCTCCACCCATTCCTTCTGCTTGCCTCACACCTTGCTTTTCCTGGGTCACAGAAAGCTTGTTCCTGCCTCAGGGCCTTGGCACTTGCCATCTCTGCCTCCTGAAATGCTCTTCCCTTAAGATGCTTCTCTCTCCACCTCCTCTTTCCCTCCCTTCCCCTCTCCTTTCTTCTTTCCTCTCTTCTCTTCCCTGAAAATACACCCCTTCCCCCGCTTTTTCTCCATTGCACCTGCTGCTGTCAGACATGGCTTTCTGATCTGTTTATTTCCTTCTCTAGTCTAGAAGTTCCGTCTTACGAGGAGCTTGCAAACTTGATCATCACTGCGTCCTGAGACTGGCACCTGACATGTGCTGGACCCTACCTAGTGTTCTCAAGTGGTCCTCAAATTACCAAAGGGAAACTCAAGTTCAGGTGGGGGGCTACTGTCCCAGCTCACCCAGTCAGGCCTGGGACTGGGCGTCCCCACCCTCCCTCTCTGCCATGCTGTGTGTCACAGGCTCCCACTAGCACCCAGCTAGCCCTCAGGCCGGATGCTTCTTGGGGAAAAGCACAGACTGAACTGGGCCGACCGCGGCTCACCCCTACATTTCATCTGGATGAAGTCCAGCTGGTGGATGGCCTGCAGCAGTGGCTCGCTGTCCAGGGTCAGGTCAAACTCCGCAGACACCTTCGGCTCCAGGGCACCTTTGACCCACTGCTCCTGAGACATCTGCACACGCTTGACCAGTGCATCAGAGATCTTAAAGACACACAAGGTCAGGTTGGTACTGAAGATGTGTGCAGCCAGCCATGAGGGAGGGCTGGGGTTTTGCCTCTGCGGCTCGGGGGACCAAAAAGATATGCTGAGCCTGTGCCCTGGAGTCACAGCAGAGAAGAATTGGCTCCTGTCCTGACTGTGTAGAGACATGTTGTATTTTTCGGTGACAGTTCAAAACTGTCACACTGATGTAATGCAAACAACCACTGGCTCTTTAAAGAAATTAGGCCAAACCTTTTTTTGTAGTAAATGAGGATTTCTTAAAATATGCAAAAGCACCCTTTGTTACATCTGCTTGCCAGGACTAGTACTGGTTGAGGTACTAGTGTCATCTGTCCCAGGGTGTGAAGAAGTGTATCCATACCCCCGAGGTCTGAAGCCCACTTCCTCCTGACTGTGTCACACCCACGGCTCTGCTCTCCTGTGCTGGAAAGTCCTGCTGGTCAGACATCTGCACATGTCCCTAAGGGATGCACGTGACCTTCTGCACCCTTCCTGGGAAGCAGCAGAGGGGCTCATCATTTTCCCACAGACAGGCCGAATCACAGTCAAGAGACACTCATGTCCCTGACTCAGCCTGAGTGCTGGGACAATGACCCCAAGAAGGCTGTACTAGCATAGGCAGCTGGTCACCGGCCAGGCCTGTCGGTGGGCATTGAGGTCGTGGACCATATGGATCTGCGACTTCTCCCTTGCAATCTGTCTAGCTTGTTTGGCCAAGGCTGTCCTTTCCCACTTGTGGGGAAATGTCACAGCCTGGCCTTTGGTCCCCATTTCATGGATGATGCCAAATTAGGGTCACAGCTAGTGAGAGTCAGAGGCACGGTGAGAGCCTAGGTCTTCTGGTGTCACTGAGCAAGGGGAGGAGCTTGTCTAGAATGTGGGCTGGCTTAGGGAGGGTGCTAGGGGGCAGAAGGAAGCCGACCTGTGGTCCTCGGGTCTGAACTCACCTGTAGGAAGCCTGAGGGGTCATCCTCCTTGATTACCTCCAGGCAGTACTCCATCAGCCCCGTGGACTGGCGCAGCTTCAGTGTGCAGTGATTGATCTGGTCCCAAACCATCTGCAGCAGAGAGACCCTCTTAGGACCCACCTCTTCAGAGGATGGATAGCTAGCCAGAGAGTGAGGTGGTGCTGCTCTGCCCTGAGCTCCCTGTGTCCCCTTAATGGGGAATAATGGACACACTTCCAGCCCAGCAAACTTTCTGAGCTCTGGGCAGCAACACTGAGCAAGGCATCATCTGCAATGGCCCAGGGACTGTGGCCGGCTTCTTGCCTTGCTCTGTGACCTGCGGCTGGTCACAGAGACTTGGGTTCAGCTGCTTCACTGGTACACCACAGGTCCTCTCCAGTAAACGTCCTTCTCTCCTCAAAAGTAATGTTTTCTAGATGGGCACATGCCTGCAATCCCAGCACTCTGGAAGCTGAGGCAGGGGGATGGAGAATTTGAGGCCTGCCTGGGCTACATAGCAAGACTTTATCTCAAAACCCAAGGGCTGGGGTGGGATAAAGCTCAGTTGATAAAGAGCTTGCCGTGCATGTGCAAGTCTCCGGGTTTGAGTCCCAGCCCTGAAAACAAGTAACATTCAGGAAACGTCTCTGTAGAGACGGAGCTCCCGGAAAGTGCCAGCCCTTCGCTGGTCAGAGCATTCCAGGACACCACCCGAGCCAGGTGTAAGGAGAGGGCCAGCCTGGGTGGAAACCGGCTGTCCGCATGACTGCTGACTGTTGGTGCACGAGTGTCAGAGACAACCCCGGAAGGGGACAGAGCCGCCAGAGTCCTGAGTGAACCAGCCTCCTGCTGAGCAAGATGACATGAAGAAGAGTCGCTCAGACAATGCAAGAGCCCAGGGGGGTAGGGGGAGGGCTCTCTGGGCAGAGAGCGAGCCTGGGTGTTGAGTGGCCTCTGAGCATAGCTGGGCCCCTCCATATTCACTCATCTACTCAGCCACTTAACCAAGATCACCCAGCACCTACTGTGTGACAACCACACCGGATGGGCAGGACGTATCGGGGATCAAGTGCCCACTGAGGCACAGGAAGTATTGGGGTTCGTGTGTGGGTCACCAGTGCCTACCTTCAGCTTGTGTTCCCTCTCTTTGGTCACCTTGGTGAGCAGCTTGGCCTTCTGCCGTGTCAGCGCATCGACCAGGGCGTCACATTGAGCCACCAGGCAGGCTTCGTAGTCCAGTCCGTTTTCCTGGGGAAGCAGGGGGCCTTAGTGAGGGACCCTGACCTCCAGCAGGTGCTACAGCTGGGTCGCCCCACAGCTTTCTGTGCTGCTGGGAAGTTGGGAAGAGGGAAGGGGAGCTGTGAATCACAGCACATCTGCACAACTGTTGTTCTGTAGCCTTCTAAACCTATTCGTAGAGCATTTTTCATGCTGTGGAAGACAGCTGAGGACAAAGGCAGAGCCAGGCACCAGTGGCTCACGCCTGCAATCTTAGTTACTTGGGAGGCTGAGATCAGGAGGATCAAGGTTTGAGGCCAGCCTGGGCAAATAGTTCACATGACTCCATCTCCAAAAAAACCAGAGCGAAATAACTGGAGGTGTGGCTCAAGCAACAGAACACCTGCTTTGCAAGCATGAAGCCCTGAGTTCAGACCCCGGTCCCACCAAAATAAATAATAAATAAAAGTACAAAGGTGGGCTAAGTCAGGCATGGTACAATCCCACACAGAACGTGTGGGTGTGTGTCCAAGGTGGGGAGACGGTGAGTGGTGAGAGAGGTCACCTCTGGTGGTGGATGCTGGTGACCGTTCTCTTAGTTCCATTTTTCCCCTGTTGCACTTACTTCTGCTTCTTATTATCAGAAAAAAAGCAAAACAAGCAAAAAAACTCTCACGGTTGCTGTGGAGTCTGCCTTTCTCAGTTTGACAAAAGGCTGTTCTGAGTCTGGAAAACTGCCGTGAATTCAAACGTCCTGCTGTGGCTAAACTGGGTCCCGTCAGATCATATGCTAAGTCATAAGCCTCAGAATGTGACTGTATTTGGAGACAGGGTCTTAAACTACTAGGCCTGGCACGGTGGCTCACACCTGTAATCCCAGCCACTCAGGAGGCAGAGATTGGGAGGATCACAGTCAAGGTCAGCCTCAGCAAAAAGTTATTGAGACCCCCATCCCAAAAATTAAACTGTCGAGGTGGCATCTGCCCGTCTCCCCAGTCACGCAGGAGACGGGTGGGTAAGAGGATCTTAGTCTGAGGCCAGGCCCGGGCAAAAAATGTGAGACCCAATCTGAAAAATAACTAAAGCAAAAAAAAGGGCTGGGGCTTTGCTCATGTAGTAGAGTGCCTGCCTAGTAAGCACAAGGCCCTGAGTCAAACCCCAATACTGACCAAAAAAAAAAAGAGAGAGAGATCATTAAGTTAAAATGAGGCCATCAGGGTGGCTCTAATCCAATCTCACTGATGCCCTTTATAAGAAAAGGAAATTAGGACACAGAGACATACAGAGGAACGACCACGTGAGGACAGAGGGAGAGATGCCATCTGCAAGCCAAGGAGGGAGGTCTCAGAAGAAGCCAACCCTGACCACATATTGACGCTGGACTTCCAGCCTGCTGAGCTGTGAGCATAAACTTCTCGTTGCTCTGTCCCTGATATCCTGTGATGGTGGTCACCTCTTGTGCCTGTGGACCATCGAGGCCATCATGACTTAGATGCCTCATGGGATCCAGTGCGGTGAAGCATGCCTCTAATCCCAGACTCAGGAGGCTGAGGCAAAAGGACTGCGAGGACAGCAAGAGTCCCCAGTCCCTTCTCTGCAGCCAGGTGCAGGAATGAGTTCTGAATTCCTCCTCCGTGCTGACACTCCGTGTGTGCGCACACGTGTGAGCGCCCAGTAAACACATTTGTTCAGGAAATGAGGCCTTTATATTTCAATGCATTGACTACACGGGCCTGTTTGGGTGCAAAAGCCCCAAACACCACCACGCAGGACTGGAACACATCTTTCTGGCCTCATGCAAATTTCACTCCCACATTAGGTGCCATGCACACATCAACAGGCTGAGTGGCGCCTTCGGCCCCCAAGGCTATGCATGGGGACACGGGACCTTCTGGTCACAGATGTCCCCTTCCTTTCCACACTCGGTGTGTCTCTCAAACCACCCCGCTAAGTGCAGCCGGCTCACCTGGATCTGCTGCAGTATATTCTTGAGCTGAACCAGAAACTCCTTGGCCTCTTTGGCCTTATCTGAAACCCCGTTTAAGGCCTGAGACAGCTGCGCCTGGAAAAAGACAGACATATCGACGTGGGGTTAGGTGCAAAGACAGGCGGGCCATTTGAGCTTCACCAGGAAAGCCTGTGTTGAGGAGAGGGGAGGAACGGGTTCCACAGGTAAGCTTTCCCCATTTATGAAGGGAACATGGCTGATGTGTGGCCCCTAGCACGGTCGCCTGCTCCCAGCAGTGCTGGGCGGTGTGGCCTGGCCATGCTCTTCCACCTGACCTCAAAGAGGCAAACAGATGGGGGGCACTTGCTTAATTGGTTGGAGCCGACACTCTGCCGGTGATGTTTCCAGAGCCCTGGACACGAAGACGGGTAAGCCCTTGCCTTGCTCAGGCCCTTCTCTTCCTGTGGTGGCCTAGCCCTCATCAGTGGGTGTGTATGAATATCCCAGACTCCAGGCCAGCTCTGTCCTCCTCAGCCTCGGACCTGGGTGTGCCCCAGTGGGATGGACAGGAAGAGGCCTGTGGGTCGTATGTGGGTCCATACTGGGCCGTACGGACTGGGATTCCTGAGGGGTCCTCTGGAAAGGGTACACGGGCTCCTGTGTGGGCCCCTCAGCCCTGGGGACCCTCACCCTGCAGAGAGGGGTGTGACCAGCAGAGCCTGTGGCTCTGAGGCTGAGGGCCAGTGACGAAATGCAGCGGAACTGCAAGCTGAGCTCAGAGCCATGGCTTTGGCACTCTGCTTCCTTCCACCAAACCACCCGCACGCAATCGAATCTGCCTCTAACCCAGCGACGGAGCACACTTGATTTTTAGCACGAGCTGCAGTTTTCAGAGTAGAGAAGTTGAAAATGGAGCAAACCGGACCGGAAAGGCCATGGCTCCCCTGCCCCACCCTTTCCTTTCTGCAGGAGTCTGCTCAGATCCTCCTTGTCCGTGAGGCCTCTCTTCCCTTCCCCTGGTCTTCAGACCGTTGACAGCACCTGGCCTGGAAGGCGTGTCTGCCCTCTGTCTTCCTTCCTAGGACAGGGCTGTCTACACACAGCACCGGCAGAGCCTGGCGCACGCAGCACGAGCTCAGGTCTGCTGCATGAGTGAGCCGAGTGCAACTCTAGACTGGACCATGGCTCTCACAGTGGTGGCATCACAAGGGACCTCGTTAGAAATGAGGTCCTGGTTCCACCCCAGAACTGCCCTGAGAAGGAATCTGGGCTCAGCACGGCCTCTGGGGACTCTAGAGCAGTTAGAGACCAGCCTCAGCTGGACAGCGGTGGTGACTGATTTGGAAACAGTTGGGAAAACACTGAGATGTCGGAGGCCAGCTCAGGTGAGGTCCAGTGTGGGCTGCTCATGGAGCTCTGGAGCCTTGGATGGAGGCCCAGCTGGGTGGTTCCTGGGTGATGCATCCCTTAGTCTGTGACTTCACTGACCCCAAGTTGGGCTGAAGCTGCCCCCCATAGCTCCCCCAGGAGCACCCCCCTCTGCTGTGGCCTCTAGGCCGTCCCCCAGCCAGCGGGACTCAGGGCAATGACAGAGGTGCTCCATGTCACTCTGTCTAGACTGGTAGCCACTGGCCACAGGTAGCTCCTGAGCAGTGGCAGTGGCTGATGTGACCAGAGTTGCTATCTTTCTATCTATCTATCTATTTCTTTTGGCAGTACTGGGATTTGAACCCAGGGCCTCATGCTTGAAGCAGGCACTCTACCACTTGAGTTGCTCCCCCAGCTCTTTTTGCTGTAGCTACTTTTCACACAGGGTCTAGTGCTTATTACCAGGGTCAGCCTGAATCTTGATTCTCCTACCTATGCCTATGCTGGGATTACAGGCCTAAACCCAGCACACCACCTTGCTTGTTGAGATGGGGTCTTGCTAACTTTTTGTTTGTGCTGGCCTTGGACTGTGATCCTCCCAATGTCTGTCCCCCAGTAAGGAGCTGCTTTTAAAATATTACTTAGCTTACGTTTGAACTGGCACACGTGACCAGCAGCTACTGCAGGGAGCACAGGAGTTCACCCCCATCTTTGGAGGGCCCAGGCCCCAGCCTGTCTCAAGATACCTGCCCTAGAAAGGAGGTTCAGGTGCCAGCATGGTTCACAGGTCCTGAAGGGCATTTTAATGACAGGGGCTTCCAAGTCAAGTTTTCAGTGTCCAAAAGAACAGCATCCCTTCCGGGAACACTGGCCCAAAAGCTTGGCCATGAGGCTATACTGCCTCTCCCCCGCCCCCACCGGCACACACACACACACACACACGCACACACACACACACATACACGCGCGCGTCTCAGGCAACAGAAGCCCACAGACCACAGACCAGGTGGCTAAAAACCAGACATTCCCCCTGGGGCTGGAAGTCCTGGATGAGGGGCCAGTGTGATTGGTCCCTGGAAGGGGCCCTGTACGTCCTGTGCACACCCACAGCCCTGGCTCTTTCCTTTCTAGAAGGTCCCCATCTCATCTTGGGGATCCACTCTGATGCCCTTACCCATTCTGAAGATGAGGACCTAACATATGAGTTTGGGGGCACACCCACACTCAGCCAGTAGCATCTTGCCACAGAGGGCCGCCTCCCCACCCTCTCACTCTGCATCATTTCAAAATCCCTTCTTCTGTCTTTGCATTTCTTGGCAGCAGCCTTCACAAAGCAGAGCACAGGAAATGCTCCCAGCTGAATGAACACAGAATTGGCTGACTAGAGGCCTGTCCCCACCACTTGGTGTGGGTGGGGTGGTAAGGTCTGGCATTCCTGCTTGTGCTGGAGAGGCCAGTGAGTGAAGGCCACCCCCTGCACAGTCCCTGGGCAAGTCCAGTAATGCCCTGGCCAGTGCCCCCACTCCCAGGGCCAGCTGACTCTCTGCTTGGTAAGGATAAGAACAGAAAGGTCTAGAAAGAGACCATGACCTGCTCAGTGCCTGACCCAAAGGGGACTGTCTTCTAGCTCAGCCCGCACAGCTTCCAGGCCCCGCAGACTCACTGCCTGATTTTCACTGCTGTGCCATCTGGAGAGGTTCCCAAATAGAAGCCACCCCAGGGCCAGGTGTGCTCAGCCACATGAGGATCCCCTCACCCTGGTGTGGAGGGCGGAGGACCCTAGCTGGGCAGTGTAAGAGCCAGCTGCCATTGAGGGATTCCTTTTCTCCACCTCAGGGTCTTCTTGTGTGAAACGACTGCAAGTCAGCTGTCCTTGTCCGGGGAGAGTGCCATGCAGTCTTCGTCTGAGTTGGCCCTGGGGGCGTTGACCATGCTGAACTCTCAGAAAGAAGTGAAATGTCCTGACAAAGATGGAAATCGTTTTTAAGGCCAAGTGGATTTTAACCTGAATCCCAAAGCTGCGCTTTGTAGCTTCCTGGTCCCTTGAGTTACAGTTGCCATTCCCGTAGAGTTGAGTTTAGATACGGTGTCCTTGCTGGGTCCAACCAGCGCCTGACTGCCCCGCTTCCGTGTTCACCAGCAGCACGGGAGCAGCTCGTCTGCACACCAGGAGCCGAGCTCAAGATGCTTGTGGCTGCACTCAGTCCCTGGAGCACGCAGTGCACGGGGCAGTGGGCAGGGCAAGGGCTTGGGCCAGCGGGCTTCCGATCCTGGATCTGTGTTGTCCTGGGCAGATTCTTCCTGAGTTCTTAGTGTCTGCCTGTCCTTGGTAGAGGGGACTGAGAATATGTTAATTCCCTACCTACACCTAGAAATGCAACACAGGTGTCCCCTGCGTCCTTTATAATTGTCCAATCTGGGTCCCCCATCTGTGAGTGTAGCTCACCCCGGGACGCACCTCTATTTTCAGTTCATACAGCTGCTTATCCGATTCCCACATGTGTGCTTCTGTCTGCGTGGAGAGGCCCCTAAGTCACCTGTGTAAACCTTGCCCCATGGAAGGACAGGATGTTAGAGGCAGGAACTTAGAAATGGGAAAGTCCAACTCCTTGTTTTGCATTTGAGGAAGCTGAGCTTCTGCTGGAACACACGCACTGCACAGGAGTGGAGGAATGTGTCACCTACATACAATGTAGCTATTGCGTATAAATGTGTCACTTACACACAGGAGTGTATAAATGTGTCACTGTGTTACGGTTCAAAAGCACTCAGTAGCTTACATGAGCAGTCCCCTCTCTAAGCGTGCAGACTAAACTTGTCCACGAGCGTGTGGATAATTTAGAGCCATTCTTATTTGACGGAAAGGGCTGGACATGGGCAAGCTCTGTCCTATAGGCATGAAAAGCGTGGGGACTAGGACCCGTGTCAGTAAAACGTCTGGCTATGTGAACGCCAGTAGAGCCACCCACTAATGTTTGGGGGACCCTGTGCCACTTAGGAAGCCCTTCCGTGTGGCACTGTTGAGGCCAGGTCCCCCAGTAGAACTCAGTACCCTCCGCAGGAGTAAAGGGCAGGTCCTGGCTCAGTGTCACCGGCTTGGGGGGGTAGAAGCAGTGCCCAGAGACTTGGCAATGGCCACTGCTGAATGTTCCCTCTAGGGACTGAGTCCTGAGTATCTGGACAACTTCAGAAAGTTCGATTTATGCCTTTTCCCTTTTGCACTGTAGCAGAAGAAATGGAATTTAAGCCAAATTAGACTGTCCAGAAAAAGGTTCAGAATATAAAAAGAAGTTCAAAAAGACAGTGCTTCCACCCTCTGGGCGCTGGGCCCTAGTCCAGGAGCTGTGTGCGGACCACGGAATGTCCATCTCTGCAGTTCAGAGGCATCAAGGAAAAAAGGCCAAAAATTACAGTTAAAAAATAAGTCTAAATATTGGCCTGGGGGGACGCTATTGATTTCCAAAGCATTTCCTCGTTTTCTGCAACAAAAGGGAAAGGCAGAAAAGATAACCAGGGCACACACGGGAAGGAGAGGCCAGACGGTGGGACCAGAGGAGCGTGCTGACCCCAACGGCCCAGGCTGCGACCTGCGGGGTCGCACCCCGCCAGGCGGACGCGTCCAACAGCAAAGATGGACCTCTGTTTACACCGAATGCTGCTGCAGGTCACTGGCTGCTCAATTTCATATCCTCTGCTGTTCAGCATCCAAACCGAGGGAGCAACGCCCACCCGAGGCATCCTAGACC